GGAAGACCCGACATAAACACCGATACGTGGCATAAAAAACTCCTGTTGGTCAGTTCGATTCAGGTTTTAAGATAGATCATTGTCAAGCAGGTATAACCCACCCCAGTTGGCGGCATAGCCTTCAAGCTGGAATCCACAGCCCACTTTTTCACCCGCCAATGCAGGCAAAGCCGCATAAGTGGTGCAGGATTGTGGTTCTGATGCCTGTAGCATCGCAATACAGGTGACGGCTCCTGGTGCCAGCCAATCCAGCCAGGGCATATATGATGGCTGCCCAATCTCAGCACCCAGCAGCAGTATCGGACGTGATAAATCCAGTACTTCTCCAACCGGTTGCGCAGGTGGCTGGTTCGCAGTATAGATGGTTAGTGGAAAGATCAGGCGGCGCAATAACATGCCGGCGAACATGAATCCATCTGGCAGCACACAGATACATTGTGGCGTTTGATCTTGAAAGGCCACGGTTACTTCAACACTCAGCTGATCCAGGGCTCGTTCAATATCAGTGTGCGAGTATTGCAGTGTGGCGGAGCTCAATCGTTTATTCAGATCGGCTCTTATCAAACTCGACTGGGACAGCGCCTGTTGTTCTTCAGTCACCTAATGTGCCGATACATTCGCTGCGAGCACGTCTGGCTCAGCGGCCAGGTGCAATGTCTGAGTAGGAAAAGCAATCTCTGCACCATGGGCTTCGATGATCTGTGCAATCTTCAGCAATACGTCTTGTTTAACCTCGTGAAATTCCGACCATACAGTGGTCTTGGTGAAGCAGTAGACAAAGAAATCCAGCGAAGACGGGCCAAATTCGACGAAGTTGACCATCAGAGTGACGCTCGTATCTATCTCTTGGTGGTTTTTCAGCATGGTTTTAACCTCATCCACAATCGGCTTCATCACACCTATGTCATCGTAGCGAATGCCAATATTTTCATAGATTCGCCGATTCAGCATACGCGAGGGATTCTCCACCACAATGCTGGTGAAAATGGCGTTGGGAATATAAACCGGCCGTTTATCGAAGGTGCGGATACGGGTTAGACGCCAGCCAATTTCTTCAACCGTACCTTCGATGTCTCGATCCGGAGAGCGCACCCAGTCTCCGACTGAAAACGGTCTATCCAGAAACACCATGATCGCGCCAAAAAAGTTCGCCAGCAGGTCGCGCGCGGCAAATCCTACCGCGATGCCGCCAATACCACCGAAGGCCAGCACACCTGAAATCGAGAAACCAAAGGCCTGTAACACCAGCAGTACGCCGGTGATCAGAACAGAGGCGCGTAACAGTTTGCCTACTGCACGTGCCGTGGTCAGATCAACCTTCGGCTCCCCTTCCCGGCCGATAACAATATGCTCTTCGATGTAATGGATAAAGCGAATCGCAAACCAGACCAGCAGCCAGACAACCGCAACATCTCTAACCGTAGCCACCTGATCAAATATTTCAGCAGCAGCCGCACCGCCGACAACTTCGGCAGCCATGGATACGCCGATAATCCATATCGCCCAGCTTAACGGTTTGCGCCCTGCCTCAAGCAGCGCATCGTCATACAGGTTATGGGTTTTGTCTAACTGATGGCCGATCCGGTTGAGCGCAAGCTTAACAAACAGGTGCACAAAGCCCGTGCCGAGCACAATCAGGAACACCTCAAGCATCCAGAAATGCTCTTCTATGTAGGTCACAAACTCATTCATGACGGCAGTCTATCGCGCTGAGGGTGAGTTAGAAAAACTTTTTAAATTCCACCTGCAGATAATCATCTTCCTGCAGCCATGCTGTCTTGTTACGAGGGTCAAGTACGTCCTGTGGGGGCGCATCTGATGGCAGACTGTTGCCGCCGGCGAAAAAGCGCCCTTCGATACTGAGCAGCCAGCTGTTGGTTAATCGACGTGAGGCTTCCAGTGTGACCAGGTAGTCGTCATTGTTGGCATCAACAATGACGCCAAGCAGAGCTTTGGTATCAGCAAAGTCATTCAGACTGAGTCGTCCGCCGAGGGCGATATCATTTTCGAAGAGCGTATTAAAAGCCTCGTCACCCCGCTCGTCATACAGATATTCGCCAATCAGGCCAAAATCTGCACCGGTATCGAAAACCTTCACAAAGGTGCGTTCAAAGCCCAGGTTCGCGGCAGCATATCGGTCACCCTGGCCGGAACGTGACAGTCCTTCAAATTTGAAAGCCCAGTCACCCAGGAACATCTGAGCATCAATGCCGGTCTGGTCAATCACAGGATAAAAAGGTTGCAGCACAACGTCGTTGTCTGGCGCCACAAGAGGAATAAACGACGGATCACGTCCGGTGCCTGAAAAATGGTGTACACCCACTTCAAATGGTCCGAGATAGTGTGACCAACGCACAGCCACGTCGGTACGTAACTGCTCGGCGCCGGATTCATACTCTGCATTATCCAGGATCTTGAATGGCACACGCAGTCGACCATCGGGTCCGGGGAAAGTACGCTCTCTGAAACCGGTGAGTAACATGAGGTCCAACACACCCCAGTCGCGGATCAGCGACAGGTGCACCATAGGCTGCCCCAGCTTGTCTTCTGTATCGAGGTTCTCCACCAGATCGGTCTGGTTAACAATATCAACCAGATGATGGAATTCCGTGACGCCCCAGAAAACACGTTTTGCGCCGATGTGCAGGTCCCAGCTGTCACCAACGGAGCTGAAGAAAAATTCTCGCAGATCCGCATGGGTGCGCTGCGAATCCGCACTGTCGACACGCAGAAACGGACTCAGGGTTATGCTGCGTCGATCGTTCTGCCAGCCGCGATAGTATTGAAATTCAACGCTGACACTGGCTTCAAATCGATCCTGACCAAAGGTCCCTTCGTTGAAAAATGAGCGGGTCTGCAGACCGAGATCCCATTGTATATCAGCTTGAGGACCTGTCGGCAGGTCCGCTTCGGTGAGGGACGAAGTGTGCGTGGTAACGGTGGTCTGTGCTGCTGGCGCTGGTGCGCCACTTTGTGCTCTGGGAATGCCAAGCGCTGCCGGCGCCTCAACCGGGCTGGGTGGTTGCAGACGTGCAGCACCTAGCTGCGGTGTGGTGCGTATTGAGGAGACGCTGCGACTGTCTGCATCGACCTCTTCAACGCCCGCATACAAACGCCAATAGGTCACACCTGCTGCATCCGCGCGTCGCCGAAGCGCCAGAAAGGCGGCTTCTGTAAGCGCTTCACTCTGCACGCGATAACGGTCCTCGTCTTCGATCACAATCGGTTCAACAACAATGGACAGATCAAACTGAGCACTGAGCTTTTGCGCCCAGTTCTGCGCGTTTACAGCGGATTTAAAGCTACCGAACACCAATTGGTCGGCATGCAGCTCAAAGCTGCACAACAGCGCCAGACACAGGCTCAGAGCACGCAGCAACACGTTACCTGATCCGACGCAGGGTATTGATGCTGAAATCCCGCTCAGGTTGAAAACCTCTGCCGAAGCGATAGTTCTGCCAGACAAGGTCCGTGCTTTTTCCTGTCTCGAGGTTCTGCATCGACATATAACCCGCTTTCCAGAAACGGTCCGCATAAAGCGTGTATTGGCTGAAACGAAGTAACTTCGTCTGTCGTTTATCCTCGTCAAAGTATTCAACCTGCTGAGCGCGCAGATGCGCCTGATCAATCCAGAACACTTCCCTGCTGTAGCCTGAATACTTACTGCGGGCGATGCGCTGCACAACATAAACAGGCAAGCCATCGAGAACATCATCGCGCAGGTAAAGATAATCGTATTTTTCGAGTTCTGGAACGGCGAGATCTTCAAATGTGAATTCGCTGCCGAGAAAGGCGCCGTTGCGGTTGCGCAGAGCCACTTTTTTAACCCGCCGTAACGCGGGCAAAAACAGCCATTGGTCATCGTCTGCGGTTTTGTGAGCATGGCTGAGCAAAGCCGTGCCGCGGATATCTGCGGGGCTCTCAAACTCTATCAGCACGCGATCGCCGTCAGCGGGCATCTCCATCTGACGGATGCTCAAATTTCGTTCGGTTTCCGTGCCTTTCGCAGTACGCAGAATCATCTTCAACGCCACTTCCATGTCGCCGTATCCGCTCTGACGCTGGTCTGCTTCGGTGAATATCTGCAAGCCTCTTGCTTGCGCTGCAGCCAGGGAATCTACCGTTTTAGTTGCACCCGTTACCGGCAGGATTAGTGCCAGCAAGAGCCCAGTCAACATAGCCTTCAAAGTATGTATCACTTTATTGAAGCCGGGGCGCGGATACTAAGGGGAAAAAAAACACTGTGCAAATATACAAAGCACTGTATATACTGACAGCCTACTGTATGTTTAAACAGGGATATTTATGCAGAGTTTAACGCCTCGTCAGTCTCAGGTGTTGGAGTTGATCCGCCAACACATTATTGATACCGGTTATCCACCCACCCGGGCAGATATTGCCCAGGAGCTTGGTTTCCGCTCGCCCAATGCGGCCGAAGAACACTTAAAAGCCCTGGCGCGCAAAGGCGCCATTGAGATGATTCCCGGAACATCCAGGGGCATTCGTCTGCCAGAAGATATCGAGGCGGGTATTCCATTGGTAGGTCGGGTTGCTGCGGGTAATCCTATTCTGGCTGAAGAGAACATCGAAGATCGGGTAGATATGCCGGCAGGATTCTTTCAGCCGCGGGCTGACTACCTGCTCCGCGTCCGTGGAGACAGCATGATTGATGCAGGCATCCTCGATGGCGACTTACTTGCTGTACATAAGACCCAACAGGCCACTAACGGACAGATTGTGGTGGCCCGGATTGAAGATGAAGTGACGGTGAAGAGATTCCAACGCACGCGTAAGCGCGATCAGATTCTACTGTTACCGGAAAACTCTGCGTACGACCCGATTGAGGTTGACCTCACAACCCAGGCTTTTGCCATAGAAGGGTTGTCTGTGGGTGTTATCCGACAGCATCTCTAACGCCTGAACATTCAGCCGGCCTCAGGCTGGCCGCAGATCTGGGACTGCACTTTTAGCGGCTAACAGTTAATCTTTAGCCGCTTTTTTTATGCTGTCTTTTTCTTGGCCACCTTTTTCTTCGGCGCTTTCTTTTTTGCAGGTGCCGGGGGTTGCTCTTCTACCCATTTGCCATCCACATAAAAAGCTTTCCAACCTGTGGCTTTGCCCTCTACCTCTGTCTGCACATACTGCTCTTTGGTCTTACGACTGAAACGGATGATGGCTGGATTGCCAGCCGAATCCGCATCCGGTGCTTCCAGCAGATACTGAAACTTTGGATCCAATTCGTTGGCGTGAGGTTTTAACTCACTGACCTTCGGCGCGCGGGTTTCACGATGTTTTGGGAACTGACTGGCCGCCAGAAAGATACCGGCTGCACCATCGCGCAATAGATAGTGGTCATCAACTTTTTCACACTGCAGCTCAGGCATGTCGATAGGGTCTGCCTTAGGGGGCGCAGGTTCACCACTGCGCAGCAGTTTGCGGGTATTTTTACATTCCATGCAGCCAAAGTATTTACCAAATCGGCCCGACTTGAGCTGCATTTCAGCGCCACATTTATCGCACTCGAGGACAGGCCCATCGTAGCCTTTGATTTTAAACTGACCCGCTTCAATTTCGAACCCGGCACAGTCCGGATTATTACCGCAGATATGCAGTTTGCGTTGCTCGTCAACCAGGTAGCTCAACATATTGGTGCCGCAAACCGGGCATTTATGCATGTTACGCAGACGTTTAGACTCACCTTCCTCGTCTTCTTCGACATCTACCGCTTCGTCACCTGGAATCAGGTTGACGGTATGTGTGCAGCGCTCTTTAGGCTTCAGGGCATAACCCGAGCATCCCAGAAATACGCCGGTTGAACCCGTGCGAATCTGCATATGACGACCACACACGCTGCAGACGATGTCCGTATCCGTAGGATCGTTGGCGCGCATACCGGCTTCTGGATCTTTGGCCTGGTCTAAACGTTCAGAGAAATCGCCATAAAACTGATCCAGCACTTCGTTGAGTTTCGCCTCACCTTCAGCGATCTTGTCCAGCTGCTCTTCCATGGTGGCAGTGAAGGAATAATCCATCAGGTCCTTAAACGATTCGGACAGACGGTCAGTCACCAGTTCACCAATCTTTTCCGCATAGAAGCGTCGATTGTTCAACGTGGCATAACCGCGATCCTGAATGGTGGAAATGATCGCCGCGTAGGTGGAGGGCCGACCGATTCCGAGCTTTTCAAGTTCGCGCACAAGCGACGCCTCGCCAAAGCGTGGCGTCGGTTTGGTGAAATGTTGTATGCCTTCAACGTCGAGCAGATCCAGGGCATCTCCCTGAGCCAGGTCAGGCAACGGTGTATCGTCTTCCTTACGGGACGCAGGAGGTAACACCCGGGTGAACCCGTCAAATTGAAGAATACGTCCACGGACGCGTAATTCGTATTCACCCGCGGAAACGGTGATCGATGTGCTCAGATACCTCGCCTCAGTCATCTGGCAGGCAACAAACTGACGCCAGATCAGATCGTAAAGGCGTACAGCATCTGGATCGACACCTTCAAGGTGCTCGGTTCGGGTGCCAACATTGGAAGGACGGATCGCTTCGTGCGCTTCCTGAGCATCACCTTTCGATGAATATTTCTTGGCCGCTTCAGGCAGATAGTCTGCACCGTATTCTTTTTGAATATGTTCCCGGCACGCATCCACCGCGTCTGCACTCAGATTGGTTGAGTCGGTACGCATGTAGGTGATGTAACCCGCTTCGTAAAGGCGCTGGGCCATGGTCATGGTTTTCTTTACGGAAAAACTCAGACGTGTACTGGCGGCCTGTTGCAGGGTCGATGTAATAAATGGCGCATTGGGGCGGGATTTTGTTGGGCGATCCTCTCGTTTCGAGACTTCATAATCAGCTGCCCGCAATGCATCCAGCGCGGCCTGGGTGTCATCTGCGTTGCCGGGTCGAAAATTTTCGCCATTATGCCGGGCCACCTGAAAACGAACAGGTTCAGCCGCTTTGTCGCTTTTAAGATCAGCAAACGCTTCCCAATACTCTTCTGGCACAAACGCACGGATTTCCCGTTCACGCTCAACAATCAATTTAACGGCGACACTCTGCACCCGACCGGCGGACAGGCCTCGTGCCACTTTTGCCCAAAGCAACGGGGATATTTCAAAGCCAACCACCCGATCCAGGAAGCGCCGGGCCTGTTGAGCATTGACGCGATCCATGTCCAGCTCGCCGGGTGCCTCGAAGGCAGCCGTTATTGCTTTACGGGTGATCTCATTAAACACCACGCGGCGATAGCGACCTGGATCACCGCCAATGGTCTCGCGCAGGTGCCAGGCGATGGCTTCCCCTTCGCGGTCAAGGTCAGTGGCGAGGTAAATCATGTCGGCTTTAGCTGCGAGCTTGGACAATTCGTCCACAACTTTTTCTTTACCGGGTAGAACTTCGTATTCTGCAGCCCAGTTTTTATCCGGATTCACACCCATACGCTTGACGAGTTGGTCACGTGCCCGCTTCTTTTTATACGCCTCGCGTTTGGCCGGTGTCAGTGCTTTGGTTTTTGCTGCTTCCTGAGCACGCGCCTTGGGATCGACCGCTTTTCCGCCGGTGGGGAGGTCGCGAATATGCCCCACGCTGGATTTCACCACGTACTCTTTGCCGAGATAGCGGTTGATAGTCCGCGCTTTCGCGGGTGATTCGACAATGACCAGTGATCGAGCCATAACGCTCCAGTATTCCTTTTGTGGCGACCCGGTAGAGACGCGTGTTCCTTTGTCGTTGTAGATCTGTAATCAGGCAACGATGGCGCGGTTTATAGGCGTGGCAGCTGGCACTGTCAAGAAAAGTGGGGCCTGATTAGGTAAATTTGATGAACTGCGAATAGCTTCAGGAGGTACCAAAACGTGCCTGAAGGTCTGCTCGCAGGCCTTCGAGTACCCCTTTGATTATTTCAACCTGGCCTGCATCTGCCTTAGCTTTTTCCTGCCAGAAACACACCACGTTGTGCCTTTCTATGGCTATCGCCAGGGTATCTTCAGGCAGCCGATGGAATGCATCCTGGATTAATTCCGCTGCGATGCCCTGCGCGTTGTACTGCTGCCACAGCTGTTTATCTGAATCTGCGCTCAAGGCCACGCCAGGCAGCACTTCATTGACAACCATCGACGGTGCCGGCGGCAACTTGATCAGCATCACCTCTCCCTTTACGAAAAGTTTCTTGCCGACCGGGAGTTTGTAACCTGCGCAGGCGGTCTTCGGTTGCAGAGCCTTGCCACCAGCGCTGACGCGCTCAGCGGCAGTGGGATCTAATTTGGCCACCGTCGTGATCTGCACGGACATACCCTGGGCGCGTGCTGTGCCACGCAGGGTCATCAGGCGCTTGTCGCGGGGGTTGGGGAGCAGATACAGAACCGGTCCAACAACCAACGCGACAACAAGAAAAATAATTAACCAGGTCAAATTTGTATGCCATGCTTGAGGGTAACCAGGTGACGTTGTATCGTCGCGCCAAACAGGGTGAGAGAGCAAGATGTCCGACTACAAAAAGATACTACTGGCTGTAGACCTAACCGAAGATTCTAAACCCGTTGCGCAGCGGGCATTGGCACTTGTCAAAGCGTATGACGCTGAGTTGCACCTTGTGCATGTTATTGAGCCGCTGAGCCTTGCTTACGGGGGTGATGTACCGATGGACCTTTCCTCGGTGCAGGAGCAGATTCAGGAGCAGGCCAAGTCGCATTTAAGTGAGTTCGGCGCGGGTATGAACGTACCTGCTGAGCGTCAGCATCTCATTTTTGGCCGTCCTGAAAGCGAAATTCAGCGCGTTGCAGATGACCTCGGAGCGGATGTGATTGTGATTGGTAGCCATGGACGACATGGTCTGGCTTTGTTACTCGGCTCAACCGCAAATGGTGTTTTACACGGCGCGATGTGTGATGTGCTGGCAGTGCGTGTAGGTAAAGAAGAATAAAACTCACCACTTGTTTACTGCTATTTCTTTGTCTCAGCAGCGTCAGTGCAACAGCCGCACAGGTTCGCTCTGATTTTGCGCTGCGTGCGGACTATTTAAAGGCCCGGGAATACCTGCGCAAAGATGCTGACGCCGATTATCGTCGCATTGCTGAGAGCCTGCAGGCGTATCCACTTTATCCCTATCTCAAATATTACGATCTGCGACGTCGACTGAATCGAGCATCGAGGGCTGAGGTCATCTCATTCCTGGAAACCTATCCCGATCTTGCGGTGACCTCGCTGACACGCAAGCGCTGGTTAAGGGAGTTGGGGAAGCAGGCCCGCTGGCAGACTTTTCTGAACCACTATGAAGCAACCAGTGATGCCGAACTGATCTGTTTTCAACTGCAGGCGCGTGCTGCAGCCGGCGAGACCAGCGCCGTATTGGATCAAGTGACCAGTATCTGGGTGCAACCGCGTTCCCAACCTGCAGCTTGTGATCCACTGTTTGCGGACTGGCGAAAAACTTCACGGTTTACCCAGGATGTTGTCTGGCAGCGATTTACTGCAGCCATCGAAGGCAACGCCCGTAGCCTTGCGCGTTATCTGATCAGATACTTTAACGACGCCAACAAGTCACTGGCTGAGCGTTACTACAACGTCCATGTGAATCCGTCACAGATTTCTCGCAGTGGTGACTTTGCAGACAATTCACTGCGGGTGCAGAACATCATCGCACACGGATTATCCCGCCTCGCCTCCCGGGACGCTGCTGAAGCGGCAAAACTCTGGCGGCGCTATCAACGTAGTCACACATTTGACCCTAATGTCCGACAGCGTATCGATGGCGTCGTTGCGGTAGCTTCCGCACGGGAAAATCAGGTTTTTCCTACCGAATCGATGCGCAGCAGAATAACGTTGAGCAATGTCATAGAAGATTTAGCTGACGCTGCCGTAAGAGCACAGAATTGGGCTGAAGTGATTTTCTGGACAGGCCAACTGCCCGCGGACATCAAACAGAAATCCCAGTGGGTCTATTGGGCAGCACAGGCACATAAACGTTCTTCAAGTGGTGCGAATTTTGACAACAGCGCCCTGGTTGCCCTCGCCGGCCAACGACACTACTACGGCTTCCTGGCCGCGCAGGAGCTTGGGCTGCCTGGCCAGATGAATGCACAGAGTGCCAATGTAACCAACGTCGACCTGGCCCAAATACGACGCCATCCGAGCATTACACGCAGCATCGAGTTGTTCGCCGTGGGGGACAATCTCAACGCCCGTCGAGAATGGTACAAGGCGCTGAATGCTCTGAGTTTTGATGAGCAGGTGATTGCCGCCGAGTTGGCTGCAAGCCTGGGCCTGATACACCTTGCCATCAGCACTGCAAATATTGCAGAAGCGACCAACCATCTACACTTAAGGTTTCCGTTGGCTTATGAGGCGCAGTTCAGGCAGGCTGGCTTACGTACAGGCTTACCTGTGCCGCTGCTGATTTCTATAGCAAGACAAGAATCTGCCATGCAGGCTGATGTGCGTTCTTCTGCTGATGCGCGCGGGCTCATGCAGCTGTTGCCCAGCACCGCTCGTATCGTCGCGCGCCGAGCCGGACTGGCGCAGCCATCAGCCGCTGATCTTGCTGATCCAAATATCAACATCCGTCTGGGCAGTTATCATCTGGCCTGGTTGATTGAGCGATACCAGGGGCAGACCCCGTTAGCCATCGCTGCTTACAACGCAGGCGAACACCGCGTAGATCGCTGGATCAAAGATGCAAACGATATGCCTATGGATGTCTGGATTGAACGCATACCCTTCAGAGAAACCCGCAACTATGTGAAAAACGTGCTCGCCTTCCGTCATGTCTATGGCAGCAAGTTGAATACACCCACCCCTACCCTCGGGGTCAGCGAGCAGCGTCTAGCGATTCGCTAGAGTCATCGCTGCTACTGAAGTTGAGCCAACCAGGCCAGCAAACCATTTTTCTCTATGGGCGCACTCAATTCATTTCCTTTGTGTTCAAGCACCGGTATTTTTCTGCCGTATAGCTCCAGCAACTCAGGATCGTCGGCAATATCTATGGTCTGCACCTGAAATCCGGCCAGCTCTGGTGTACTTAACAAAAGGTCCAACGTCTGCTCACATAAACTGCAGTGAGCAGTGGTATAAAAATTCAGTTGTGGCATGGAAAAGATGTTTTGTTGCAAGCTCGCGGGTAAGATCTTGCCATGAACTTAGCCATCCGACTAGCTGACACCAACATTGAAAAACTCTATCCACTGACGGTGGATGGCGCAGCGAATTGGTACGCCGGACCTGTACAAAATACCTGGCACGCAGATGTTGCTCTGCCCGCGCTTCCGGAAAGACACATCATTGTACCCAGCTACATGCAATTGCATGACCACGGCAAATACTATTTTGAGTTCTGCAACGGCGATACAAAAAGTACCCTCCAACACGTTCCCGGGGTTGCTGACCAGCAGCAAAATGCCACAACCCAAGTTGTCTCGGGCAAAGAGGCTGCTGTTTCAACGCATATCGATTGCTGGCACACGACCACAGACACAGCTGCCAGCAGTGTCACTGTGGTGGTCGAATCTGTAGAAAAGCCACGCGATTACCTGCTGGTAGTTGGCCTCCGGCCGCTGTGCACAACGCCGGACATACCGGTTACCGGCGGCAAGGCGATAGTGTCCATTCCAGCCAGCATCAGTCAGATGCAGGCTGAAGCGGCCATTGCCCACCGTATCTGCTCGCCAACAGCACTGCAGATGGCGCTCTCAAAATTCACCCACCACCCTTCCTGGGCGGCGACCGTGGCCGCTTGCTACGACCCGATCAGTAAAGCCTACGGTTCCTGGCCCCTGGCCATACGCTGGGCCAGTGAGCACGGGATAGTAGGCGCCGTTGAAGTATTTGAACACTGGGCCGACGTGTTTGCGCTACTGCAACAGCAGATCCCACTGGTCTGCAGTATTCGTTTTGAGACTGGCGAGCTCAACAATGCGCCATTGACGCAAACCCCCGGGCATCTGGTACTTTTATACGGCGTGGATGACAATGAGGTGCTGGTCATGGATCCGGCCGCAGCTGACCATCCGGAAGTTGAGCGTCGCTATGCACTGGAAGAGTTTATCAACGCCTGGTTATCACGGCGCGGCGCTGCTTATGTTCTGGCAGCACAAACTTCGACTGGCCCTTAATATGAGATTGACCACGGCATGTATTTTCGCTTTCTGATCCGCTTTTTATTGCTCTCAGTCGGGTTTGCCTTAACCACCGCAGGCCTTTTAGGTTGGCAACAGATCAATTTTGACCTGGCCAGCGTCTGGCCTATGGCAAATACACTCAATGGGCACCCGGTGTATCTGCTGATTTTCGGTCTGGCACTGATCCCGCCTACGCTCTGGGAAATATTTCTACTCGAAAATCGAGAAGCTGGTGAAGGATAAGCCACGGGTTTCTATTCGACGCGTGCTGCGCGAAGACGAACAGGAATTTGTTCATCTGATGCGCGGCAGCATGGCCCTGCACGAGCCATGGATAACGCCGCCCACCAACCCCGTACTGTTCAAATATTATCTGCAGAGAGTGAATCGTGAAGACCACGCGGGTTTTGTGATCACGCGGAAAGAGGACAACCGCATCGTTGGCGTAATCAATATCAACAATATTGTGCGTGGCTCCTTCCAGAGTGCTTCACTGGGCTATTATGTGGGCGCAGAATACCAGGGCGAAGGATATATGCAGGAAGGTCTGCAACAGCTGGTGGCTTATGCTTTCAACACCATGGGTTTACATCGACTGGAAGCCAATATTCAGCCTGAAAACACTCGATCAGCTAACCTGGTTGCGCGATGTGGTTTTATCAAAGAAGGATATTCCGAAGCCTTTTTATTTATTAATGGTGCCTGGAGAGATCATGAGCGCTGGTGCTGCATTCACCCGCGCCCGGGCCTGCGCTCCACTCATCAACCTTCAACGGTGATGGCACCCGTTCCATCCCAGGGTTTTGCAAAGGATACGTAACCCCTATGCCTGAACAGACACTCAGCATTGCCGTTTTGATGGGTGGCGCCTCTGCGGAAGCAAAGGTTTCACGCAATTCAGCCCAGCAGGTCGCGCAGGCGCTTGTCAACGCAGGCCATGATTGCCACCTGGTTGAATTGGATGAAGGCTGTATGGCAACACTGCTGAACATAGCGCCTGACGTTGTATTTCCGGCACTGCATGGACCTCCCGGAGAAGATGGCACGGTCCAGGGTATGCTTGAGATGCTGGGACTACCTTACGTCGGCAGCCGCGTGCGCGGCAGTGCGATGGCTATGGATAAAGCCGTAGCCAAACATATTTTCCGTCAGGCAGACCTGCCGGTGGCGCCTGATCTGGTAGTTACACCAGACGATGATCTGAGTGTAGCCAGCGAGAAAATTCTCAGTGTTTTAGGACCAGCCGTTGTCATTAAGCCCTTGAGTCAGGGTTCTGCTATTGGTGTGACCCCATTGCCTAACGGCGGCGATCTTTCAGGCGCATTAGAACAGGCGCTTGTTTTCGGTAATTGCCTGATAGAACCCTACGTGGCCGGCAAAGAGATCACCGTGGGCGTCCTCCAGGTTGAGCAAACTCTGCTGGCACACCCGGTCATCGAGATTATTACCGCGCACGCGCAATGGTATGACTATGAAAACCGTTACACGCCAGGACAAAGCGAACATCTGATACCAGCACCGCTGCCGGCAGATGTGGGACAACAGTTACAGGATATTGCGGTGAAGGCACACCAGGTGCTGGATCTGCGGGATCTATCCCGGGCTGATTTTATCGTTACAGACGATGGTGCTATTACCTTGCTTGAGGTAAACACCCTGCCCGGCATGACGCCCGTCAGTCTTTACCCTGAAGGCGCCGAAGCAATTGGTTATCCCTTCCAGAAGCTGGTGGACCATCTGGTCAGACAAGCCGCCAGACGCGGGGCAGATTTAATCCTAAGCTAGCGTCTACGCGGATTTAGCGTTACCCGGCCTCGGCTGTATCTTTATCGATCATGTCGTCGCTGGTGGTATCTTCGAGTTCAGGTGCAGCGATCTGTTGCGCCAGCTCGGCAAAAGGCTCAGACATCATAGGTGGCACCAGCGAGCGCACTAATTTGGCAGCACTTGGTGCGTCAAGCATGTTCTTAGCCATGTCAATCAAACGTTTTTGTTCTGTGGCCATGAACTCAAGCGCCTGGCCAATGTCCGCATCTCGGTTTTTGAGATCATGCAGATAATCACCGCCATCATGATACGCTTTGGACACCGTTGCTGATTTACTGAGCGACATATTCAAAGACATCTCAGCCAGCTGTGCTCCGTCAAAATCCATGGCTTTCAGCTTGGCAACAGCATCACCGGTTTTACCCGTGAAAAAAGAGTTAACCGCTTCGATCACGGTAGACATCACTTTGTCGATGGCGGCCTTTTCATCGTCTGACAGGTCACCTACCACGTCCATGTTGACCACGCGTTCAGACTCTTCTGTAAAACGACTGTCCCGCATGGTGTCACCATCCAGGGTTTCACCGTTAAAACGCATTGTTGAGGTGGCGTCAATCTGGCTGAAATTGAGCGTGATCTGATCACCGTCTTTTGTGGTCAGTGAAAAGCTCAGATTGGTTTCCTGCTGCCTGCTCTTTTCTATGAGCTTGTAGTCAGCGAAATCATCCGCCTGTAGGGAACTGATCGGCAAGGCTGGCAAACTGGCGGATGGTTTATCCGGTTCAGGCTGTGGCACGACATCAATGACCGTCCCATCAGTATTCACAGGCGCATCCGGCACAGCCGCGGTTTGTATCTCAGGCGCTGGAGCTGTTGGACTTGTGGGCACCTCCACATCATCAGGCGCTGCTGCTACCGGGTCAGCTGCCGGTGGCTGTGCAACGGAACCCTGGAACACCATGGGGTAACCCATCTGCAGGAAAACCGGCGCCATCATCATTACCGGCATAGCGTAGCCTGCATAACCTCCCACACCGCCGTAGCCACCATATCCCCCCATAGCTGGGGATGTGTATGGGGATGCACCTGCAGCGGTGGAATTGGTTGGATTGGCGGTCACATGCCCCGCGCCGTTTGAATTACTTGTGGCGCTCGCGGCCATGCCCTGGCCTGCACCGGCCGCAGCCATTGGCGCACCAGGCATAACCCCGTTGAAGCTGCTCATGGCCACAGGCATCTGCACGTAAGCCATTAAATAGGCAGGACTCATCATCGCTACCGGGTAGGTTGACGCCGCAGCGGCGACCTGGCTGTTGTTCTGTACCAGGGTCTGGGTTTGTGGATTCCCCACTGCCGCGGACACAACAGGCGCCTGGGCGTAACCCGGCTGAACTGTTGCGCCACTGGGATTTGTAATTTGCATGGCTAAGTCCGTCATCCTTGATCGGTCTTTTGGATAACGGCAGCCCGCGACAGAACTTTAGCGTTGTCCTCTACAAATCGTAACCACGTTCGTTATGGGAGACTAAGTCGAGGCCCTCGAGTTCTTCTTCGTCTTCGACACGATTACCAAATACAATGTCCGTGAACTTCAAAATGGCAAAGGTCACAACAGCGGTGTATGCCAGGGTTGCGATCACGCCAACTGCCTGTATGCCTAACTGGCTACCGATGTTGATCTCTTCCTGCCCACTGAAAATGCCCAGAGCATTGCTGGCGAATATCGCGGTCAGCATTGTGCCCAGGATTCCGCCCACGCCGTGGACCGGGAATACGTCGAGAGAGTCATCAATTTTCAGCGTTCGTTTGATGTAATTTGTTGCCAGAAAACATATCGCACCGGCACTGATGCCGATAATCAACGCGCCACCGGGGCCGACAAAGCCGGATGCCGGGGTAATGGTGCCGAGACCGGCGACCATGCCTGTGACCGCGCCGAGTGCTGATGGCTTGCCATATTTAAGGCGCTCAGCCGCCATCCAGGTAATTGCACCAGCAGCCGCAGATACATGAGTGACCAGCATGGCCATGGCGGCGTCGCCGTTTGCGGCCAATGCGCTACCCCCATTAAAGCCAAACCACCCCACCCACAACATGCCTGCGCCGGTGACCGTCAGGGTCATGTTGTGCGGCGGCATGGCTTGGGTCGGAAATCCTCGTCTCTTTCCCAGCATGATCGCGGCAACAAGAGCGGCAACACCCGCAGTAATGTGAACAACGGTGCCACCAGCAAAGTCCATAACACCAAGGTCGCTCAACCAGCCGCCACCCCAGACCCAGTGACAGACGGGTGCATAAACCAACAACAGCCAGGCGGCGCTGAAGACCACCATGGCAGAGAATCGGATACGCTCTGCAAAGCCGCCGACAATCAGCGCCGGTGTGATAATTGCAAAAGTCATCTGAAACAGTGCAAAAGAGCTTTCCGGAATGCTGCCTGCCAGGGTGTCTTGTGAAATTGCGCCGAACATGACGTTTTCGAGGCCGCCAATAAACGCGTTGGCTGAACCACCATCACTAAACGCCAGCGAATAACCCAGTACCAACCATAAAATGGAAACGATGCAGGTGATCGTAAAACACTGCATCAGAACACTGAGCACGTTTTTGGTTCTAACTAACCCGCCATAGAACAGAGACAACCCAGGGATTGTCATGAACAGGACTAATGCCGTTGCAGTTAGAATCCAAGCCGTATCTGCACCGCTGAAGCCCGTATCACCCCATGCCGGTAAACTCAACATGCCTGCCATCAGCAAAATCAGTGCTCTGCTCATATTCTCTCCCCTAAAAGCCGTGCAATTTTCAAATTATCTACAGGGCATTATTCATGACGGTTTCTCGATATGCCACATTTTCGTGCATGGAAAAGGTAACCGAGCTGTATGGGGGCAGGAAAATGCGTTCAAGTGGTTTGATGCAGAAATTACGCACCTTTATTGTGCGTAACGATAGCTTTCTGAGTATTTTGGTAGCAATTTATCAGTACTGGCAGTCTATCTATAACCGTTCTATCTTCTTCAGCCTGTTGTGCTGATCAACATCGATAACAAAACTTCCAGTAATTCCACTGTGATCAATGAATCGTCGCAGACTCGCAAGGGGGAATGCGATACGCAAACCGTGCCGGTCGCGGGCAGAAACCTGACTGACGGCACCGGCGTAAAACGCCTCGATCTGCGTCGGTGTCAGCCGCAAATCGACCACGAAACGTCGCTTAGGTGTAGCTGTTGAGGGTTTAACACTAGCCATTCATTTACTATAGACACAATTTGCAACCTGCTAACGCTGGACCTCACTAGACCGACCGCTACAATAGCCCGTTGCGCAACTTCCGAGAAATTATGAACACCGTTTCAACCGAGTCGACATTTGAATCTATCAACCAGGCATCCCGTTGGTTGGAAACCAAAATTATAGGCCAGGACCTGTTGATACAACGACTCATGATGGCGCTGCTGTGTGGCGGCCATTTGTTGGTCGAGGGTGCGCCAGGACTTGCAAAAACCCGTGCGATTAAAGAGTTGGCAAGAGTGATCGAAGGCGACTTCCACCGGATTCAGTTCACACCCGACCTGCTGCCCAGTGATGTGACCGGCACCGAAATCTTTCGCCCTGAAGATGGTTCTTTTAAATTTCAGGAAGGGCCCATCTTTCACAATCTGATTCTGGCCGATGAAATCAACCGTGCGCCTGCCAAAGTTCAATCAGCTTTATTAGAAGCTATGGCGGAGCACCAGGTCAGCGTCGGGAGAGAGACCTTCCCTCTTGCAGACCTGTTTATGGTCATGGCAACCCAGAATCCCATCGAACAGGAAGGCACTTACCCGCTTCCGGAAGCGCAACTGGATCGATTTCTACTGCACGTCATTGTTGAATACCCGGACGCAACGGCGGAAAGAAAAATACTCGATCTTGTTCGCCATGAAAGTGCGTCAAACAGCGACGCACAGCCTCCACCGGTAGTTTCCCAACAACAGATATTTTCCGCGCGAAAAGAATTGCTGAACCTGCACATGACCGATTCAGTGGAACGCTATATTGTTGCGCTGGTGATGGCTTCAAGGAAGCCGTCCGAAGATCAGGCCAGATGGTTAGAGTTTGGCGGCAGCCCAAGAGCAACAATCGCCCTGGACCTGTGCTCGCGTGCGCTGGCATGGCTTAACGGCAGAGACTTTGTGACCCCGGAAGACGTTCAGGCCGTAGCACATGATGTCCTGCGGCATCGGCTGATTCTGTCATTTGAAGCTGCTGCACAAGGCGTCACACCGGACCAGGTCATTGATGCTCTGATCGACCAGGTACCCGTACCATAAGTCAGGTGCCGGCAATGCCAAGTACAGTAGAGCCTGAGGTTTTGAGCGGCGCATATGTCGCGCTGGACCAATTATTAGCGCTACGATACAAATCCATGGTACAGAATCCCGCAAGCAGCTCTCGCGTGGTCGGCAATCGTGCGGGTTTAAAGCTGTCAAAAGTAAAAGGTCGTGGCGTGGATTTTTCTGAAGTACGAACCTATCAACCGGGTGACGACATTCGGGCGATAGACTGGCGTGTCACCGCACGGAAAAACAAACCACATACTAAAATTTTTCGTGAAGAACGAGAGCGTCCAACGCTGCTGGTAGTTGATCAGTCACAACAGATGTTTTTTGGCTCTAAAGTGCGGCTTAAATCGGTTGCGTGTGCTGACCTGGCGGCACGCATAGCCTGGCAGAATCTGGCCGCAGGTGACCGCGTTGGCGGGGTTGTCATAAGCAACGATCAGCAGATTGTGCATCGCCCGTATCGCACCGCAAAGGCGGTCGCCCGGTTATTAAACGATGTGAGCGAGTGTAATCGCAGTCTGAAGCCGGGCAATATAGACGGCACCGCCAGTGTTGATGAAGGCATGTTGCGCGTTCGGCGCTTAACGAGAACAAATTTTCGGATCTTTATCTTGAGCGATTTTGCGGGTGATCTGGAGCGCTGGCAGCAACACCTGCATCAACTCGCCCGGCATAACCAGGTTGTGTTGGTACACATCTACGACCCACTGGAACAGCATTTACCGCCGGCGGATCACTATGCCGTTACAGATGGAAAAAGCCGCCTGCAGTTTTATACCGGCGACAATCAGTTGCGCAATAAATATGCAAAACGGTTTGCGGATCGAACGGAAGCAATCAAACAAATGTGTCGACATGACGCAATGACTTATGTCGGCGTACAGACAGACAACACCAACCTTGACGAGATGGTCTGGGTGTAATGGAAGGCGATCCCCTACAGCAACTGCGCGACGTTCATTTGCCGCCGGATCCCTCCTGGTGGCCGCCCGCCTTCGGCTGGTGGCTGTTTGCGCTGCTGCTCCTGCTGGCCCTCATCTGGGCCTGCCGACAGCTCATTGATCACTTCAAACGACGCGCGCCGTCCCGTGCCGCCAAAGTACAGCTGGCAGACCTATACCGTCGCTATCAGGCGGGAGAGATCAGCGCTGACGAATACCTGCACTCTGGCAATGAACTGTTGAAGCGTCTCATGGTCCGGGCTTATCAAAAAACCAGTTACGCGCGCTTATCCGGCGATGCCTGGCTGGATCTGCTGGACGAGCTTTCCGGCACTTCAAAATTCAGTAATGGTGCTGCCAGCGTGCTTGGTAACAGCCGCTTCAGCGCGGCACCAGAAATTGATGTTGAGCAACTGCATAGCGCCTTGCAGCTGGTGCTGGCCAAGGTGAAACCATGATTGAGTGGTTATGGCCCTGGATGTTTGTCTTGTTACCAGCGCCCCTCGCAGTGCGTATGCTCTGGCAGGCGAAAAGCAGAACACAAGCCGCGTTGACGGTACCTTCATTATCTCGTTTTGCAGAAGTGTCTGATGAACAGTCATTTATCGAACCAGGCCGGCGCTGGCAGCATATCCTGTTGTGGTCCATATGGTGCCTCCTGCTGGTTGCTGCAGCTCGACCACAGTGGACTGGGGACGCCGTTACGTTGCCTACCAGTGGACGAGATCTAATGCTGGCTGTAGACATCTCCGGCAGCATGGCAACCGAGGACATGGCGCTCAATGGAGACTTTGTTGATCGGTTAAATGTCGTGAAAGCAGTGGTCAGCAGCTTTGTCGAAGAACGCAAAGGTGATCGCGTTGGGCTTGTGTTGTTTGGTACAAACGCTTATCTGCAAGCCCCCCTGACTTTCGACCTGACCAGTGTGAATCGTCTGCTGATTGAAGCCCCTATTGGTATCGCTGGCGGTAAAACCGCAATTGGAGATGCGATCGGATTAGCTGTAAAACGCCTGCGCCTGCGTCCACAGGAAGATAAAATACTTATTCTGCTGACCGACGGCGCTAACAATGTGGGCGAAGTTGAACCAGAGAAAGCCGCTGAACTTGCCGCCTTCGATAACATCAAAATCTACACTATAGGTGTAGGTGCTGACGAGATGCGGATGCCCGGTCTGTTTGGCAGACGCATTACCAATCCTTCTGCAGATCTTGACGAAGACACGTTGACTGCCATTGCACAAACTACCGGCGGAAAATATTTCCGCGCCCGCGATACACAGGGGTTGTTGGAAATCTATAGCTTGATAGATGAACTGGAGCCCATTGATCAGGACCCTGAAACCTATCGTCCGATACAGGCGCTTTATTTTTATCCTCTGGGTCTCGGCCTCGCGCTGTTTGCACTTCTGCTGCTGATCGACATTGCGAGAAAACGTTATGTTTGAAGAGTTTCATTTTCTCCGTCCGTTGTGGCTCATGGCTTTACCCGCGCTGATACTGTTGGGGTGGTATTGGGTGCGCAAAACCCAGACAGGATCCGGGTGGGAAAGCAGCATCGATGATAGCCTGCTCAATGTCCTGCTGGATGGCGCCCATAAACAAGCCAACCGCACGCTTGGCATCTTCCTGATCAGCGCGTTGGCAGCAGCCAGTATCGGCGTTGCCGGGCCTACCTGGCAGAAACTTCCGCAAAGTGTTGAACAGAAAAATGATGCTCTGGTTGTGCTGCTGGATCTCTCATTATCTATGCTTGCAGAGGATGTGAAACCCTCCAGGATAGAACGTGCGCGCCAGGAAATAGCAGATGCCCTGCGCCTGCGTGACGAAGGCCAAACCGCGCTAATTGCCTATGCCGGTGATGCACACGCCGTTGTGCCGCTGACTGATGACGTGGCGACCATCACCAATTTGTTAGTGTCTCTGAGTCCGGAAATGATGCCGGTTTTTGGCAGCAATCCAGATCACGCGTTAACCCTGGCCCACGAGCTGTTCGAAAACAGTTTTGTACAGCAGGGTCGAATTCTGATGGTGACCGATGGCATTGACGATATCAGCTCCGTCACCCGTCATCGCAGCCGGGCTTTTCCTATTTCCGTTCTTGGTATCGGTACCTATGACGGCGGCGTTATCCCGCTGGATCGGGTGCGGCAGCCAGGACGGTTTCTGCAGACCCAGGAAGGTAATCAGGTCATTGCCCTGCTCGACGACGTCCGTCTGCGTGAAGTTGCCGAGTTATCCTACGGTAAATACGCCCAGGCAGACGTAGGTGATCGGGACATTCTCTCTATCCTTGACACCCCGCTACCCAGCGACGACGAAACCATTGAAGTAGAACGGGAATTTGACACCTGGTTTGATCAGGGGCATTGGGTCACCCTGCTTTTAATACCCCTGCTTCTGCTCAGCTTTCGCAAGGGTGTTTTAGTGTGCCTGCTAGCAGTGACTATTCTGCCAGCGGTTCCGGCCCAGGCCGCTGGTATCAGTGATGTCTGGGACAGCTTCTGGCAACGTGGTGATCAGCGCGGTTACAAAGCGCTGCGAGGCGGCGAACCTGAGCGCGCGGCGACGCTGTTCGAAAATGAACAATGGCGTTCTGTAGCTGAATATCGCAGCGGAAACTATGCTGCTGCACTTACCGGCTTTCAGGCAAATGCCGGCACAACAGGACGTTACAACGAGGCCAACACACTTGCGCGTCTGGGAGACTACGAAAACGCGATAGCACTCTACGACAAAGTACTTGCAGTACAACCTGATCATGAAGATGCACTGTACAACAAAGATCTTATAGAGCGTCTGTTAAAGGAAAAACAGGACGCCCAGCAAGAGCAGGAACAGAACCAGCAGAGTCAGGCGAACAACGACAGCAGTGACAGCCAACAAGGCGACCAACAGGAAAATCAGGATCAGTCCGAACAACAGGATGAATCAGAACAGTCCGAGCAGGAACAGCAGGATGAGTCTGAGAGTGAACAGGACAACGAACAGGAAGGCTCCGAACAGCAAATGGCGGAGGCTGAAGAAAACGAGAACGCCAGAGATGAAAAGCAGGAAGCTCTGGAGCAGTGGCTGCGACGCGTTCCCGACGACCCCGGCGGTTTATTACGTCGGAAATTTTCTCATGAAACCAAGGAACGCCTGCGCAATGGCGACTTCAGCAACCGCCAGGGTGAAAAACTATGGTAAGCAGGTTTTGCGCTGCGCTCAGCATCGCCGCTTTTCTGGTGTTTTCTGCACAGGCCCACGCCGCCGTTTCAGCGCAACTGTCTGCACAGAACATCGACGAACTGGAAACCGTTCGGCTAACCATTAAAATCAACGAAACCCGACAAACGGAGAATCTGGACCTCAGCGCCCTGGAGTCAGATTTCCACATACTCAGCACCAATACAGTCAGTCAGTCGCGGTTTCTCAATGGTCGAGGAGTCAGCTGGGTTGACTATCAAATCACCCTGCAACCCAAACGCACCGGCACATTGAAAATTCCGAGCATCACAGTGGGTAATGAGCCGACGCCGACGCTGGAACTGAAAGTTCGCCCCTTGTCAGCAACCACCAGGCAAACGATCAACGAACTGGTATTTTTCGAAAATGAAGTGTCAGCACAGGAAATTTATGTCCAGAGCCAGCTGATCCTGACTCGCCGTCTGCTTTATTCACAGGGTGTGCAGTTGTACTCCGATTTGCCGGGAGCACCTGAAATCAGCGACGCAGTTGTTCTCACCCTGGGTGAAACCCGATCAGACACGACGACGCGTAATGGCAAAACTTATGGACTTGTCGAGCAACGTTATGCCATATATCCCGAGGTCAGCGGCACATTCGAAGTGCCAGGTATCAACATTACCGCCAGCGTCAGGCTGATTGAAAATGGACGGGTGTCACGCAAAGGGGTGCGCGTTGGTACACCCACTGAATCCGTTGTCGTTCTGCCAGTCCCCGACAGCTACCCTGCTGATGCGCCGTGGCTACCGGCGACCAATGTTGACCTGATGTACGTCATCAGTCCCGACAGGCCCGACCATGAGGTTGGAGATACCCTGAAGCATGAGTTACTGGTCTACATACAGGGAAACATTGGATCTATGGCGCCACCGCTGCCTCTGGAATTAAACGAAGATCAGTTCCGAATTTATCCTGCCGCACCGGTGATCGAAGATGATACCCGCGGTGATACGGTGAAAGGCTCCCGCCTGCAAACCAATTCTATTGTGCCGTTACAACCAGGTTCCCTGAGCCTGCCCCCTACGGAAATTATCTGGTGGGATACCACCAACAAAAAGGTTCGGATCAGTACAACTTCCGCTCGCACGCTAAACGTTTCCGGCACCGCGGTTGTAGGTCCGTTAGACACTCTGGATACCGCCAGCGACAAAACTCAAGACCCAGCACTGGACGACAATGCAACGAATCCTATGGTGACTGCCAACTGGTCTGCTGGGAAGCTTCTCGCTCTGATCGCCGGCATTACAGCTGTCGTTATTCTACTCGCCTGGTTCTTTCTGCGCGGCAGGCGCAAGACTCGAACGAACACAGAAAAGACCGCTGGTCAGTGTTATCGCGCTTTCAACGAAGCGATCGCCGCACAGGACGCAACGACGGCCATCACTGAGCTGAAACAGTATCTCAGCCGTCGCTACTCAAAACCCGAACACCTCGCGCTGGCGAAGTTCAGGCAAGCTGATGATGCCGCCCATCGCGCGCTTACCACTATAGATCAGCACTTTTATCAACATGCACTGTCGGAGAAACAGCTCGACGAGGCCTTTAAGGTGCTGCAGCGCTGCGTCGCCAACCTGCGAGATCGTGAGACAGCGCCGCAACAGCTCAACCCCCTGCCTCCGCTTTACGCCGACGGCGTCTAGCGTTCAGCGGCCGCGGTGCCAGGCGGCCAAATCTATCCAGCTTGTAGACTTTTACTGACGATTTCGAACAGGTCTTTAGAAATGTCAGGTGAATGAGACAGCTGCTCCAACCGCGCCTTCATCAGGCCCTGCCTTTCATGATCATAACGATGCCATCGGGTCAGCGGCGTTGCCATACGAGACGCGAGTTGTGGGTTTAACTGGTCGATCTCACCAATTGCATCGGCTATGAATTGATAGCCACTACCGTCCAGAGCATGCAGGCGATGATGGTTGTACATACCAAAAGCACTATATATCGAGCGGGCGCGATTCGGATTTTTTACATCGAAAGCGGGATGCCGGGTTAAGGCCTGCAGATCGTTGATGGTTGATAATGGGCTTTGCGCCTGCAGGCTGAACCACATATCAATAACCAGGGCTTCAGCCTGCCACGCGGTATAAAAATCTTCCAGCATTTTGCTGCGCACAGAGGCGGCGAGTTTTTCATGACGTACCGCCACACTTAACGCAGCTCTGCGGTCAGTGAGGTTATCCACCTGGGAAAAATATCCGGTCACAAACTCTGCAAGCTCATCACCTTCAAGGCTTTGTGCATAGTAACTGAAAGCCCGATTGGCTAATGCCCGCCGCGCCATACCCAATCCGTCTGGCTGATAAGGCCCAGATGCAGTATTTTTCTCAAACAGTTCCAGCCAGGTTGCTTTGTGCTGCGTGCCGATGGATGCATACAATTGATCGGACGTACTTAGAACGTGATCGACGTCAAGTGTGCTCAGCTGTTCGAACAGATAATTTGCTTCAGGCATAGTCAGCAATGTCGCCGCCAACATTTTCTGCTCTGCATCCTCAGGCGCATGCAGAGCCTGTTCAGCAATGCCTCCAACGATATCTATCAGGCTGCCATGGTCAACCTCTTTACCTTCAAAAGACTGCAGCCAGAGAGAAGTCATTGAATCCCATTTAACAAACCCATCCGTATCATGGTTAGCCAGAAGTTTCAGGTCTTCCGCAGGTCGCTCATAGTGAACGCGGACAGGAGCAGAAAAGCCTCGCAGAAAGCTTACAACCGGTTTGTCATCGAGAAAACTGAAAGACACCGTCGAAGTGGGCTGTGTCATCGACAACAGCAGCGAAAACCCACCGTCTCGACTTTCAAACTGTTCTTCACAATCTATCACCAGGTCAAAAAATGAAAGGGGGGTGCCCTCTTCATTGAGTAATCCCAGCTCTATCGGTATCTGAAAAGGCAGTTTCTCCTTCTGTCCAGGGGTGGCTGGACAACTTTGAGTAATGGTCAGTTTGAATTCACCTGCGCTGAATGACTCGTGCACGGTGAGAACTGGCGTACCCGCTTGTTCGTACCAGCGTTTGAATTGAGTCAGATCCCGCCCGGAAACTTCCGCCATCACACCCGCAAAATCATCTGTGGTTGCGGCGCTGCCATCAAAGCGCTCGAAATAGAGGTCACTGCCTGCACGAAACTTTTCGTCGCCCAACAGCGTTTTGTACATACGTACAACTTCGGCACCTTTTTCGTAAATTGTGGTGGTATAGAAATTCGATATCTCGATATAAGACGCTGGTCGAACAGGGTGGGCCAGCGGGCCAGCATCTTCGGCGAACTGCACCGCGCGCAGAAAAGTAACGTCGTCGATACGTTTTACCGCACGCGAATTCATATCAGATGAAAATTCAGCGTCACGAAACACCGTAAAGCCTTCTTTAAGACTGAGTTGAAACCAATCTCTGCAGGTCACCCGATTGCCTGACCAGTTGTGGAAATACTCGTGAGCGACAACCGCTTCAACACGCTCGTAAGCAGCATCTGTGGCGGTATCTTTGCTGGCTAAAACACAGGATGTATTGAAAATGTTGAGCCCCTTGTTTTCCATGGCACCCATGTTGAAATCTTCAACAGCAACGATCATGAAAATATCGAGATCGTATTCCCGTCCGAATTGCTCTTCGTCCCACTTCATGGAGCGCTTCAGCGCACCCATCGCATAGTCGCACTGAGCAATATTGTGTGGCTCAGAATAGATCCGCAGAGTAACAACACGGTCGTTCATGGTGGTAAACGTATCTTCGATCATCTCCAGGTCGCCAGCCACCAGGGCAAACAGATAAGCTGGCTTAGGAAATGGATCTTCCCAGGTGACACTGCGGCGCCCATCGACAATGCTTGGGCCCTCAATAAGGTTGCCGTTGGACAACAATGTGGGATAAGCAGCGGCGTCCGCCACAATTGTTGTGGTGAATTTTGCCAGCACATCCGGTCGATCCTGGTAGTAGGTGATGCGCCTGAAACCCTGGGCCTCACACTGTGTGCAGTACATGCTGCTGGATCGATACAAACCTTCCAGCGCGGTGTTCTCCTCGGGTTTGATACGGGTAACAATTTTGATCTCATGACTGGCATCAAGATTGTGCAGGGTCAGAGATTCCTCATCAATCTGGTATTCGTTGCCAGCAAGCTCACGGCCATCAATGCTCACGGCAACGAGTTCGAGGTGTTCTCCGTCCAGCTGCAGAGAATTCGCGGCATCGTTACGACGCTCAACCGACATCAAGTTGGTAACAAGCGTTGCCCCATCATTGATGTCAAATGTCAGGTGCGTAGCCTGCGTGTAGTAATCAGGCGCCTGGTAATCCGCCAGTTTAATTTCTTGCGGCTGCCCGTCTTTCATCATTATGTCCTTGGTTGACGTTTCTGTTTGTCATGCTGAATACTCCCAGGCGAAGCTAGAATAGTGAATCCTGCTGCGACAGAGGTTCTGATTCGGTTTGATCGGTCATATTAAACGGCTCGCTGATTGTGATATCCATTGCCAGTCCACGATAGTCAGGCAAAAATACAACACCACGAGTCAGCAGCAGATACTGGCCAATCACGCCTTGCAGATTATCGCAAATCTCCGGCGCTTCCGGGGTAACTTTTAAGCGCTGTGCCGGGCTGTATCGCAGCACCGGGTATTTAATGGTCAGCTGCACCGAATCTTCGAGCCAACGCACCCGTGCCTGTTCCAACGCATCTGCTGGTGTATTGCGAAACGCATCCTGCAGATTCACAGACTGACGCAGAGAAGCCGCAAGCGCGTTCAGGTCCTGACCGCCGCGGACACCGGTTACCAGCTGGCGCCAGTTGGTCTTGTCACTCAGCTGCTGCTTTAACAGGCGCTCTACATAACCTGCACAACGGCGGGATGGCGTTTCTACTATCGCTAATGCCTGCTCGGCGCCCTGATCCAACCAGCGGTTAAGTTCCCGGCCACCGCGGGTAATGCCTACCTTGGTGCCGCTGGTATTCGCCAGATAAACCGTATGAGGCTGCATGCAGAAGGTTTCACCCCACTGTGGCTCCCTGCAGCTATGCAGATGAAAATGACAACGTTCGGGACTGACGATACATAAATCGCATCGAGCCAGCGTACTGAAACAGGGATAACAGTAACCGCCGCCGTAAAGTTTTGCGCTGGCGCTCTGACAGTTCAGACAGGTGGGCTGCCCCCGGTAGGTGAAGCGGATGCCACAACCCAGAAACGCCCGCAGTGCCAGGCGCTGCCCCTCGAGGTTCAGGTGATACTCTGGTGTCACTGTCTCTGTGGTTCTGACCACATCAGAGGTATCTGCCTGCAGGCTCTCCAGGCGGCCGGAAATGGGTGTAAAAGACATGAGTATGGCTACCCGCGTTTGTATGACGCGAGTCCGTTGCAGATGGTGTAAAATTGGCGCCAGTGTCCCGTGCCTTATCCACCTTTGCAAGCAGGTGGAACAACCGGTCCAACAGCGTCAGCGAGGAATTTATGCAAGCTGTAGATAAAGAAGTGCTTACCCAACTACTTAAGTGGCTTGGCGATCAACAGAAGTGTTGGCTGGCCACGGTAATCCAGACCTGGGGTTCATCACCACGACCGGTAGGTTCACTGTTTGCCTGCAATGAAGGCGGTCAAATGGTGGGTTCGCTCTCAGGCGGCTGTGTAGAAGATGATCTGCTGGCGAAACTGGCTAATTCAGAGCTGGCAGCAGAAGGCCCGCAGTTTTTTGAATACGGCGTCAGCACCGAAGAAGCGGAACAATTTGGCTTACCGTGTGGTGGCACACTCCACATCGTTGTGGAACCACAGCATCTGAACCCGGACGCGCAAGCAAACCTGACAACCTTGACTGAAGAGCTGGATGCCAGGCGCTGTGTTGCGCGCCAGGTCGACTTGAAAAGCGGTCGCAGTACTGTGCGTTGCGTAACCAAACACAGCCCCCTGGTGTTCGATGCAGAGACGCAGGTGTTAACGCATACCTACGGCCCCCGTCTGCAACTGTTTATTATCGGCGCCGGAATGGTCAGTCAGTATCTCGCTGAAATGGCGTTGATGCTCAATTATGAAGTGACGGTCTGTGACCCGCGACAGGCGATGGTGGACGATTTCAGCGTCGCAGGCGTGCGGACCATTGTCGACATGCCGGACGATGCTATCAGAGCCTGCGCCAATGACGAATTGACGGCCATTGTTGCGTTGACCCACGACCCGCGTATTGATGATATGGGTCTGATGGAAGCGCTCACAACGCAAGCATTTTATATTGGTGCGATGGGTTCAACCCGCACATCTGCCAGCCGCCGCGAGCGTCTGCTTGCCCTGGATGTCAGTGCTGAAAACATCGACAAACTGCATGCCCCTATCGGCCTGCCTATAGGTTCCAAAACTCCGCCAGAAATTGCGATTGCCATTCTCGCGGAGATAAGCGCTATTCGCAGCCAGCGCCTGCCGGAAGTTATCCAACAGTTAAATTCAGCCAGTGCAGGTTGACAGCGGCGCTCTGATCCTTGGCGCGGGGTTTTCACGTCGGTTCGGTGCAGATAAAAGGCTTGCGCAACTCAACGGTGTCAGCGTTGCAGAGTTAACACTGCAGACATACTGCCGTGTATTCAGCGCCGTTCGTGTGGTCGTGAAACCCGAAGATACCGCGCTGATCAGTCTGATCGAAGCGTTGCCTGTAGATATTATCCGCTGTCCTGATGCCCATCTGGGCATGGGGTATTCACTGGCCTGTGGTATTCGCAAGCTTCCCTGGGACTATGCTTTTATCGGCTTGTTAGACATGCCGTTTATACAAGTTCAAACGCTTGAAAACCTTAAGCGGGCGGCATTGGATGCACCTGCAAAAGCGATTATTCAACCCCGGCTGGGGGGTACTTCTGCCGGACACCCTGTGGGTTGGCCCCGCCACTACTATCCTTTGTTGGGAGAGATTAATGGCGATCAGGGTGCGCGTGGTTTGTTAGAGTATTATCAAAAAGAGATAAAATACGTGGTCACGGATGATATCGGTATCATCCGTGACATAGATCGTCCTGAAGATTTACAGATACCGCTGTGAAACCACAGTGCACATCTGCAACGCGTTGTGTTTATTTGATCTTGCAAAATACAATGAGGGGCATAGGCTTCGCGTTGTTCATTATGCTTATTTAAGGCTGTTGATATGCATCCGGTTGGCAACATCACTGATCGCTTTACGCAGGTCATTGCGGGCACGCAGAATCCAGAACTGGCTAATGTCAGCGGCCCTGGAGATTTGTGGCCCCTGATGCGCGAAGAGGCGCAGCGCAAAGCCCAGGAAGAGCCCATTTTGGGCAGCTATTTCCATGCGACCATCCTAAACCATCAGACTTTTGGCGATGCGCTGAGTTTTCGCCTGGCCAGTAAGCTGGATAACCCTATGCTGCCTACGATGTTGATTCGAGATGTCATTGCGCAGGCTATGGAAGCTGATCCAATGCTGTTATCCGCCGCGGAAATAGATGTCCTTGCTACCTACACGCGCGATCCAGCGTGTGACGACTTGTCAACACCGTTCCTGTTTTACAAAGGCTTTCATGCTCTACAAGCCCATCGTGTAGCACACTGGTTATGGGGCCAGGGAAGACGCACTCTCGCGCAGTTTTTTCAGAATCAGATTTCCGTCACTCTCGGCGTTGATATCCATCCAGCGGCACGCATGGGCTCCGGCATCATGTTTGATCACGCAACCGGCATTGTTATCGGCGAAACCGCAATTGTCGAAGACGATGTCTCGATGCTGCACGGCGTAACTCTGGGCGGAACCGGCAAAAGCAGCGGTGACCGACACCCGAAAATCCGCAAAGGCGTTCTGTTGTCAGCGGGTTGCAAAATTATTGGAAATATCGAAGTGGGTACAAATGCAAAAGTTGGTGCCGGCAGCGTCGTGTTGCAAGATGTGCCACCTAATGTCACCGTAGCCGGTGTACCCGCCAAAATTGTTGGGCCTCTGAACAACAATATTCCCGCGCACGAAATGGATCAAAGCATCTGAGGCTTGCGCCGTTCTCACCCGAAGAGGTTTTATGGCTGATCAAGACAACAACAGCAGTCAATCTGCTGTCGCTCAACCCAAATGTCCGGATTGTGCTGTCACCGGCAGCGAACACATTGTCAGCACACCCAGCCGCGAGCGCTCAAAGGCAAAACAGCCGTGGTTTTACATTATCCACTGTGACAGCTGTGGGCATGTGTACAACACGCTGTCCAAACATACCTTTACTCAGGCGGTAACGCCTAATTTTGTGCTGCCAAAACCCAGCTAACCCTGTTTGTCAGTACTTTCTGCAACGAGCTTGTCTTTCACCCGTTGAATGATCTGTTTCATAGTCGCCTGATCCTGGGCACCAGGCAGCAGAAATCGATCAGCCAGATAATAGCCGGGCACACCGCTGAGCCCGAGATCTGCCGCCCTTTTTCGCTGCAGCTCTATTTCTTCAAGCCCACGGTTTTCGGCAAGATACTCCTGCAAGAGCGCCAGGGGTATATCCACCTGGTTGGCGGCAGCCATCAGTTGCTCAATATCGCCGACATCTACACCGCGGCAAAAGTAGTCTTCAAACAAAATCTGAGCCAGCGTGTGCTGCACGCCATAGGGAAACGCAAATGCAAGCACCTGGTGAGCCAGACGGGTATTCGGCATCCGTTTGATTAAGTCATAGCGCAGATGCAAGCCCTCTGCCTTGGCTTCCTGCACAATACGTTCAGGGACTTTTGCCAGGTCGGCCTGTGCACCATAGCGGCGAGTGAGATAAAGCCCTCGATCGAGCCCTTCCGGAGGTATTTGGGACTGCAGCTGGTAAGGTCGCCAGCGCAGGTTTATACCTTCGCCAACAGAGGTTTGCAATACGGCATCCAGACGCGCCTTGCCGATAAAACACCAGGGGCAGATCACATCCGAAAAAATTTCGATCTCAATCACGTTGGGCTGAACCCCGATTGGTGCTGACGGTTAGATGTCACCTCGTAACATCTGCTGGAGCCGGCGACTACGCCCCTGCTCCTGGCGAAGTGTTACTTTCAGCTCGTGTATCTCTTCGCGTGCACAACGCAGTTGATCCAGGTAGCTCATCTGCTGAGCCTCCAACTGATCGCGGTATTGCAGTTTCGCCTGTTCAAGCTGCTCAGTATGCAAGCGTATCAGATCCTGCAATGACAGTTTGCCAGCATCGCCAAAAACTTCTGTCAGCTTCGCCGCAAACAATTGAGTTTTATCCTGGGCCTGACGCTCATCCGAACTGGAGAGGTTGGCAAAGCCGTTTCCCTGTAATTGATAGTCTAAGTCTTGCCGAGAATCCGAAGCACTCAGCTCTATGGTGAGGGCCTGGGGGGGGAAGAAGTCTTCATCTCGGCAGCCAGTCGAATTTTTCAGCTTCAGCTTGTTTCGGTAGATCCGGCTTTGCACCTGTGACAAACCCTTTTCGGTTTCAGGTTCCCATAAATTGACCGCATGCCAGGGTACCGGACACTGCCCGCGGGACGCCTTACGCACGCCGCCCTGCCCAAGGTCTTCTGCAACGCCTGCCTGTTGCACCAGATAACGCAGCGGCAGGTTAAACGAAGGGTCTATATAGCCTTCTTCATTGACGGAAAACAGGAAAAACACCGCGCCGCGCACCGCCAAGCCGTTACCCACCACGCAGTAAGCCGCTTTGACCACACTGGCTGCGTGCCCTTCTAATGTGTTGTCTCCATTCAACAAACGCTCAAAGGTGCTGAAATACATTTCAGCCATGACACTACCTTCGTTGTTGAACAACATGACCACTTCTTGTTGGCCACCATTTGGCATGTTTTCGACCACCTTTAATGACAATGTGCAGGAATCATCGAGTGTCATCCCGCTGCAACTGATGGTAGCGATTTCAGGTTTTGCTTGAGTCGACATACATCACAACATAGCGCTTGAAAACAGTAACTTAGATGGGGTTGGTACCGGTAATACTGCTGTTAAGCAGAGCCAGGTGTGGCATCCGACAGCGCCCCTTGCTGGGCATTCAGGGTCGTCTCAATATCAACATAACGGAACGCAGCCCGGCCGGGACCTGCCTTGGTATTCAGCGGCTCTGCATAGACCATTGCATCACCGCGTATGTTTCTTACATCAACCACAGCATAGTCGCATTCGTTGATTGTGAACTGTCTTCCTACTAAATTCTGCACGATAAATTACTCCAAAAGTCACGGCTCACACCTTAACTCAGACGCTGCGCGCACCCCGTGATAACAACGTAACAGGTTGTAAAGAATTTACCGATGCCACCATGTTATGGCCAAGTTGACCACCCCAGCAGGATTCTCGAATGATACGAGCTTTATATATCCTTAAATAACAATGCGTTATGACTTAATTAAAGACTGGCATTGAAATTGCTTGAAGGTAGAACCTACGTCAATAGTTACTTTTGGAGTGAGCCTGTGAGAGTTGTTGTGCTGTTTCTACTCGGTTGTGCAAGTCTGGTTCTCGGCCTGGTTGGGCTGGTTATCCCCATCGTGCCCGGTTTTCTCTTTATTCTGCTTGCACTGGCCTGCTTTGCCAGTCTGTCACCTCAAATGAAGCGCACGCTTAACAAACACCCACGCCTCGCACGCTTTTTTCATCGCCTGGAGAGCGGCGCTCACTTACACTGGCTGCTGAGAGTTAAACTCGCCTTCTGGGCCAGTTTAGAAGCTGTAAATCCGAAACAGAGGCATCGTTGGTAGCAATCCACCCAGATATCGCCGTTATTGGCGCACTTGCATACGATCAGATCGCAACCACCCCAGCGTCTCTCACAGGTTCTGATGAAGCACCCGACCCGCACACGCCCGCCTTGCTGAATTGTAAAATTGACACGCTCACGGAAGCGTTTGGCGGTTGTGGTGGCAATATTGTTTATAACCTGGCGCACAACGGCAGCACCAGCCCCCTGCTGATCAGCGTTACTGGCACAGCCGACGATCAGAAGTATGTGCATCACCTTGAGAACCTGAACATCAGCAGTGCGGGGCTATTGCGGGTGGAAGCCGCGTATTGTGCACGGGCGATGATTATCACCGACCGCAACGGCCACCAGTTCACCGCTTTTTTCCCCGGTGAGGTGCCCAGCATCGAGCGCTGGTGCGCGCATCTGGAAAATCTGCCGCTGGCAGAGTGTCCCGTTTTTGTACAAGCCCCCTACCCGCCTGAACTGATGATCGCGTCGCTGGGGTTTGCGACGCAACTGCCGAATCGCCCTTTGAAAATCTGCTGTCCGGGCCAATATGCTGACCAGCTTAAGGCAACAGAGGCCCGGGCGCTGGTCAGGCACGCGGATTGGATTGTCGGCAACGCTTACGAAATCAAACACCTGCAGCGCGCCGCGTCGCTGGCGGAAAAACTCATTCTGCAAACCAACGGTGCAAACGCAATTCAGGTCTTTGTACCCGGCGCTGAGCCGTTAAGTTTTACGGTTCCAGCAGCACCCGCGAATGTCGACCCAACTGGCTGTGGAGATGCTTTCCTGGCAAGTATTGCTAATGATCTGGTGAGATACGGCGCCTTCGACGGCGATCGGCAACTGGCTGAAGCTATTCATACAGCTTGTGCAAATGCCGCACGTTGTCTCGGCTTTCATGGCGGCCAACAACATTACTCACAAGGCAGCAACACCCATGTCTGAGAAAACACCCTGGGCTGATCTACCGCGATTTATATTAGGGCACTGGCCTACACCACTGCAGCACCTGCGGAAACTGTCTGCGGAACTGCAGGGCCCAAACATCTGGGTTAAGCGTGACGATTGCACTGGCCTGGCGATGGGCGGCAATAAGACGCGCAAACTTGAGTTTCTGATTGCTGATGCCTTAGCGAAAAACTGCGACACCGTCATCACCTTTGGTGCGCTGCAGTCGAATCATGCCCGGCAGACTGCCGCTGCCTGCGCCGCCGCCGGTCTTGATTGCCATCAGATACTTACGCGCTCAGTCACGAGTGACCACCCCGATTACGAGACCAGTGGTAACGTCTTGCTGGGCGCCATGCTCGGTGCAACGGCACACGTCGTTGAACTTCAGGACGCCAAAAACTTTTCCGCTGATCTTGTTGCTGACCTGGAAAAGCAGGGAAAACACCCCTACCTCATTCCCGCCGGCGGTTCTAACGCCTTAGGTGCCTTAGGGTACGGCACCTGTGCTGCAGAGCTTGCCGAACAATGTGCTGAACACAAGATCAATCCTGGCGTTATTATTCATGCTTCATCTTCGGCTGGCACACAAGCAGGTTTATTGCTCGGTTTGCCAGCGGTAGATATGTATTGTCGGGTGATGGGCATCAACGTTTATCACGAGGACCCTGATCGTCTGCGCAGCGAAATTAATAAGCTGTGCAACACAATGCAGGAACGTTTCGAAACGACGGCTCCGCCCCTGCCGATGGAAGTCAATCATGCCTATTTCGGCAAAGGATATGGCATACCCACTCAGGAGTGTCTGGATGCAATCAGAACCATGGCCCGACTCGAGGGGATTCTGTTTGATCCCGTTTATTCAGGTAAAGCCCTGGCTGCGCTGATCGATCAGATCACGCTGGGCAACTTTGATGACTATGAAGATGTTGTGCTTATACACACCGGCGGTACGCCTGCTCTCTGGGTCTATGATCACCTCCTGCGCTGAGCTAACAGTAGCGACCCGCTTCATCGAACAGATCAAACTCAAGCAGATCTTCAAGTAACCAGGGCGTAAACTGCTCTGGGTTGGTTTCAACGCGCTTGTGCAACTCCACCAGCGCAACATACTCAACAGCCTGGACTTCTGCCGGATCCAGGATCAACTGGCCGTCATATACACCCTGGTAGGCCTGCTGAATCTCACGATCCCAGAAGCCATCGCCTCGCTGTACAACCCACCTTTGCACACCCAGAGGTTTGAGCTGTATGTGCCTGATACCAAGTTCCTCTATCAACCCACGATAGGCTGCCATTGCATGGGTCTCACGAGGCTGCAGGTGCTCCCCTACAGAATAATCCCAGAGATTTGCGTACAGATCTTTATCCACAGCGCGCTGTGCCAGCAGCAGTTCACCCTGACTATTGAAGACAAAAACCTGTGCTGATTTATGCCACATGCCCTGTTCGTGAACGGTTCCTCTGGGTACTTCGCCCAACAGCACGCCGTTATTGTCAAAGATTTCAAAGAGTTCCAATCGTTCGCCCTTGTGTCTATTCTATGGTGGTTAAACCAGTGGGTTGGAGAGCATGAAAAAAGTATCTACGTATTGCCGCATCTGTGAGCCGCAATGTGCGCTGATTGCAGAAATCGACGAAGACAGCGAACAGGTTATTCGCCTGCAACCTGACAAATCGCACCCTGTCCATAAAGGTTTTGCCTGTCATAAAGGGCTTAATTTTGTAGAGCTTCACAACGACCCTGATCGCAACAACTATCCCATGGCTCGAACGACCAGTAAAACATCTGCTGACCCACAATTCGAACGGCTCAGTTGGGATAGCGCAGCCCACCAGATCGCCCAGGACATCACTGAATTGACACAGACGCATGGTGCCGACGCGCTGGGAATGTACGTGGGTAACCCTTCGGCATTCAACAGCACAGGACGTGAGGCAAGCCGCTCCTTCGCACGCAGCATTGGGGTGAAATACGCATTCGGTTCAGGCACTCAGGATTGTTCCAACAAATTTGCGGCTTCTGAAGCTGTCTTTGGTACCGCTAACCTGCATCCCATTCCCGATTATGCGCATACCAGTTATCTGTTAAGTATCGGCTCCAATCCTAAAATATCCCATGCCAGCTTTGTACACATGACCAATCCGATGGCCGCGCTGCGCGATATTGTTGCCCGCGGTGGTACCGTCAAACACATCAACCCACGTCGCATTGAGTCAGCAACACCGGCAACTGGCGATGTTCTGCAAATCAAGCCCGATACCGACGTCTACTTTCTAGCTGCCTTAATTCACGAAATACACGCCGCAGGATTGGTAGACCTCGAGCAACTGGAAAAACAATCAGATCACGCCGAAGAGCTCTGGCGCTTTGTGGCGCCTTACAGCGCAGATACAACCGCATCTGTTGTTGGTGTCGCGGCATCCGAGATTCGTGAGATTGCGCTGGATTTCGCCCGGGCCGATGGTGCATCAGTGCACATGTCAACGGGTGCAAATATGGGGCGTCAAGGCACCTTTGCTTACTGGTTAGTCCAGATGTTAAGTCTGATTACAGGCAACCTCGGTAAACAAGGTGGCAACATTTACTCACCGGGTTATTTCCCTGCAGCCACCGTCGGCAAACCCAAAACAGATGACCCGTTCTACGAGACTGAATTTGGCGAACTGCGACGCATCGCCGGCAGCCTGCCAGGCAATCTGTTAGTCGAGCATATCGAAGCCGGTTTGATCAAAGGCCTGGTTTGTATGTCAGGCAACCCGATTCTTTCCATGGGCGGTGAAAACCGGCTTAAAGCAGCGCTGGCCAAGCTGGAACTGCTGGTGGTCATTGATATCTACAGCAATGCAACCGCCACCTTTGCGGACTACGTTCTGCCTGCAACAGACTGGCTTGAACGCAGCGACGTGAATTCACTCTCGCTGGGATTTCAGCCTGAACCATACGTGCAATATACCGATGCGGTTGTCGCGCCAAAATTCGAGCGCCGCTCGGAATGGTGGATATTTGCTCGATTGATGCAGGCGCTGGGTTTACCCTCTTTGCTTGACCAGGACAGTGCCAACCCGATGGCTAAGATTGATCGTCAGCTGGAGAACAGCAATTTGAGCCTGACTCAGTTGCGATCACAGCCCAGCAATACGGTTGTACTACCACTGCCCTCTCCTGATTTACTTTTTGACATTGGCGTGCAGCGCGAAGACGCCAAAGTAGATTGCTTTCCAAAACTTATCGAACGTGGGGTTGCGGCCTGCAGCGATATTTTTAATGAACTACAGAACGAACAGGACGATGTACTGAAACTGATCACGCTGCGCACCAACTACATGGTCAACAGCTGGATGCACAATTTGCCCGCCCTGAAACGCGATGTTGCGCTTGATAATCCGCTGCACATGCATCCGACAGATACAAAGCGCCTGCAGCTTGATGATGGCGCCGAAGTACGTGTTGCATCAGCCCACGGAAATATCATCGCCACAGTTGTAACTGATGAAGACCTGCGGCCTGGCGTTGTCGCCATGACCCACGGGTGGGGTCATGCAGGTAACAAGCGTATGAACGTCGCCAGCAACCACCCGGGCATCAACGTCAACGCTATTCTGCCAACTGGACCAGGTAGTTTTGATCCGCTGAGCAATATGAGCTTTATGACCGGTATTCCGGTCACAGTGGCTCAGGCTTAGTTTTTCAGCGCGGTGGCAAGTCCAGAATACTTCGGCTGATCAATCGCCACTTGATTAGCCACGGTGTTGCGTAAGTGGTCTGCAAGTCCCGGAGTATCCAGGGCTATCTCACCCTGCCGCAGGCCATTAACCAGTTTCCAGCGCAGTGTATTCAGATCACCTTCGCCAAACAGGTTCTGCAGGCGCTGCAGCTCAGCTTGACGACTGGGCTCACCAAGCGCGGTATCACGCAGCACAATATCGAGTGAATTGCCGGCAACACGAGACAGGAAGTTCGTTCGACCGCTTGTTTCTGCCATAACATCGTTACGCAAAAAATCTCTGACGCTGACTAACAACTCGTCTACACGTGGCATGTCAGTTTCGTTATCAGTGTCCTGCGCTTTTACCTGCTCAACCGGGCCAGGTATCAACAGGTTTACACAATCTATCTGGCACTCCGACGAGCGTCGCCCGATCGCAGGTCGTTCTACTGTTTTATCCGGACCTGTGCGGAAATGTTCCGCCATGCCCAGACAGCCAATAGCCCACCAGAAAGAGCCGAATACTTCCCAGAATTTCACCTGTTCTGGATCTACATCAATACCGCTGACGTTTTTATATCCCGCAAACAGGTCGGCATAGCTACCAAACCCGCCAACAGGAAGATCCGAACGGCCAAAGCGCCATGAGTTTGTGCATATCCAGCCTAAATCGCGCATGGGATCGCCAATATGTGCCACTTCCCAATCAAGCACTGCGACGATACCGTTGGCATCAAACATGATGTTGCCGTTGCGAAAATCATTATGTACAAGTGCTGGCGTGAAATTTTCGGGCAGGTTGTCCATCAACCAGCGGCCCGCGTAGTCGATCATCGGCACCGGTGTATTGAACGCGCGATAACGCTCCCAGGTTTGTTCAACATACTGTCCAGGTTCAATCAGAGACAGTTTCTGATCAAGGCCTGTCGCAACAAGGTCTATGTCATGAATACGCGCGAGGGCTTCGCCGCACATGTAGGCCAGCTGAGGGCGGATCTCATCTAACTCAGGCGAACGTAATACACGTGCACCCAGAGCGATGCCTTCAAGCCACTGCATGAGGAATCCATCTCCCAGATCGTCCTCGTCATCAAAGACGTGGAAGACCTCAGGCTCAGGCACGCCCGCGTCCCGCGCACTGGACATCAGCAGCGCTTCGACGTCCAGGCCGGGGTGTCCGGCAACCGGTTCGACTTTAACCCCACCAGGGGCTCGACGCATGGCCAACAGTTGCGTGCCATTACCAGTCTGGATTTCTACCTGGTAAGTTTCCTGGCTGGCACCACCGGAAAGTCGCTCTACCTTCACAAGGCTTTGAAACTCCGGTAGCGCCCGCTCCAGCATGGCGCGGACTTTGTCTTCAAATTCCGCCATGATGCGCTAGTCCTCTTTAACCCCTTTCGGAGCCCGTTGGTTCATAAAGCCAAACATATAGCCGGCTACTCTGCGCATTTGAATTTCTTCGGCACCTTCGGTTATACGATATCGGCGGTGATGACGATAAATATGTTCGAAGGGTTTGTGCCGTGAATAACCTAAACCACCATGCACCTGCATGGCGCGGTCTGCTGCATCACAGCAAAGACGGTTTGACCAGTAGTTACACATTGACACTTTGTCAGAAACAGAGAACGCGCCGTATTTATCCATTTGCCAGGCTGTCTTATGAATCAGTGCCCGTAACATTTCACATTGCGTCTGCAATTCGACCAATGGGAACTGGATACCCTGATTGCTCGATAAAGGCTTGCCAAAGGGTTTACGTTCCCCGGCGTACTTGACGGATTCGTTGATGCAGAACTGCGCAGCGCCCAGAGAAGATGCGGCCTGGCGAATACGGTTTTCATTAAAAAAGTGCTGTACTACCTGCAGACCTCGACCTTCACCGCCGAAAATTGCATCGTTGGGTACGCGCACCTCTTTCATGGAAATACGACCGTGGTCGGTGGGCATATTGAATGTCCACAACATTTCTTCAATTTTCAGGCCTTCGCTGTCCATCGGCGTAAGAAACGCGGTGATGCCTTCACCGTCACCAGCCTTGCCGCTGGTGCGCGCAAAGATCAGGTCGTATTTGGCTTTGTGGATGCCTGTATTCCAGGTCTTGGAGCCATTAATGACCCATTCGTCACCATCACGGACCGCGTTGGTTTCCATGTGAGTTGCATCAGAACCGTGGTCCGGTTCCGTGATGCCGAAGGCAAATCCGCGTCTGCCCTCAGCCAGGTCATCAATCCATTCAGCTTTTTGCGCGTCGGTGCCATAGCGGATCATCAACAGCAGGCCGACGTTGTTGCCGACAATGGAATGTTCGTTCTGCAGGTCGTTGTGCAGCCCCAGCCCTTTAGCCGCCAGATGCTCACGAATAATTGCCATACCAAGGTTTGTGCCTTCCTTGCCGCCAAACTCCTTGGCCAGTGGATATCGATAGTGGCCTGCGGCATCAGCACGACGTTTTGCCTCGTGCAGCAGCTGTTCCCATTCTTCATTGGGTAAACCGCCCCTCTCCCAGTCAGTACGCGCATCTTCTCGACGATGGTCAAAAAATCGATTGTTATCGTTTTCCATCTGCAGTGGCGTGATTTCTTTATCGATGAAATCATCCAGTTCCTGAAGGTAATCCTGCATCTCTTGAGGAATATCAAAATCCATAACCTGCCTCTCCATCTCTTTGAATACTGGTGACGACCACTAACGCTCAGGGTGTTCTGAGCATCCGCAAATCGCCTGTTCGTCATAATCTCCGCTACGGATCATAACCAATCCAAACGCAGTTGGCACAACAGTTGGTGCTATTGGAATAAGGTTTTGCCTCAATCGGATTTGACCCTGCGTGCAAGCCACAGGACGACAAAGATAAACAACAGCCAGAAAGACACCAGCAGACCCACAAAGTTATCGTAACTGCTGACCAACACTTCAAAAGGGTTATAAATGTCGCGCACGGTCACTTCCTTGAAAAGCCGAATCGCAAACACCCAGGCGGCATGCAGACCGATACACCACCACAATCCTGCGCGCTCTCGAATCCAGCAGAAGAAAATGCCAAGCAGAAACAAAGCAATAAACGCATCCCAGTATCCAGCTGGTGACGCAAGACCTGAAAATGCAGCCCATACATGAGCGTATCCCGAGTACCAGTGAATTTGCAGGCCATCAATTGCTTCAGCGTCCAGGAAATGCACGCAACTGTATAGAACACCAACCACACAGGCAGAAAACCCGAAACCAAGCGACCTTCTCAATACGCTGAACAGGACACCGCGAAACAATGTCTCTTCGAATATGCCAACCAGAAGCCCGGAGAGCAGCGCTGTCAGAACGAACAGCCAGATGTCGATATCTGTGTAAATCACCCGATCATCAATGACCCTGAAGCCCGACACCATAAAAAACAGAATCAACGGCGCAACAATGATCAGACCCAGAGGGTAAGCTTTGAACAGCTGAGACAAGTTTATCGGGCGCAACTGCAGATCTGCAGCCGTCAGACCGGCTATGCGCCAGAGAGGAATCAGACCTAAAGCTGCCCATAGAAGAATGCCGCGAGACAGGATCTTGATATACTCAAAATCCAACACCCCATGCAGTAGCCACGCCAGCACTGAGCCCAGCGTCGCTGCAGCAAACAGATACCCTGCGATCAGTCCCAGGGCTGTAGAGGTGGCGCGCAACATCTTGTGCAGAAACTAGTTTGCTTTGAGTAACATAGCAGGATCAACCATCAAAACTTGTCTGCGCCCGATAGAGGGCAAACATCGGCACGCAAAAAACCAACCCGGCTATACAGGCGCCTAGCCAACCGGCACCATTTTCATTAACAAGGTTCCAGACGAACATCGCAATGACAACCTGTGCCGCGTAGACCGCCGCCCAGGGCCACATCCAACGCGACATTTTCCAGAATCCATATGCGCCAGCGCCATAGATCAGCCAATGCAGCGGCGCGGTTGCCTTGGCCCACCAGCCTGTCAGTGAAAATCCAAACCAGATTTCATGATCGTCAGCCACTGGCTTGTAAAAGATATCAAAGGGCATGTAGATGAAGGTCATATACACACAGAAATAAAAAATAAAGTTCATCCACCAGGGGCGTCGATGCCAGTCTGCAAGCACCGCCTGAATCAAGGTTTCACCTCGTCCGGCAATGCCTGCCCGGCCGCAAACGCTTCAATATTTCGAAGCGCACGCATGCCCATCGCTTCACGGGTCTGTTGAGTGCCACTGCCCATATGCGGCAGCAGAACCACCTGCTCCAGGGCTTCCAAACCGGCATACAGCTGTGGCTCGTGCTCGTAGACATCAAGCCCGGCCCCTGCAATCTTTCTGTCACGCAGAGCCGCCAGCAATGCACCTTCATCAACGATGTCGCCCCTGGCGGTATTGATAAGAAAAGCATGGGGCTGCATCAAGGCAAGGGTCTCCGGGTTGATAAGGTGTCGGGTTTCAACCGTAGCGGGACAATGCAGGCTGACAAAGTCCGCAGCACCAAGCAGTTCAGGCAACGGTAATCGGGTTGCACCGAGTTCCAGCGCCACAGATTCAGCGAGTGGTGATCGGGACGTATAAACAATCTGCATGCCAAGACCATGAAACGCCATGCGGGCGACTGCCAGTCCAATACGACCCATACCCACTATGCCTAACACGCCGCCACTGACCTGTGTAGACAGCATGTGGGTAGGCGACCAGCCCTGCCATTGGCCACCCCGCACGTGGCGCTCACCTTCACCAGCCCTGCGGGCCGTCATCAAGATCAGCGTGAGGGCGATCTCAGCAGTTGCGGCGGTAAGCACTCCCGGGGTATTGCTGACTGCAATACCCAAACGTTGCGTTGCAGCCAGGTCAATATGATTAAAGCCCACGCCGAAGTTGGCCAGCAGGCGTGTGCGGATATCTTTTGTCTGGAAAACCTCAGCATCGAAACTGTCAGTAACTGTCGGGCAGATGACGTCATAATCGACCAGCGCCTGGCTTAATTCTTCCTGAGTGAGCGCTTGATCCGCCTCATTGAGCGTCACCTCACCCAGAGCATGCAGTTTGGCTTCGACAGTTTCCGGCCAACGCCGTGATACCAGTATTTTGAGGGGGTTCGACATAATGAAAGCACGTCAGGCGAAACATAAACCGATACAATAACAAGGTATCCAATGTTTGTTGACTGCGCATTTAAATCTGTCGAGCCAGGGCATAAACTGTGGCCACCAACATCAACCAAGTTAGGTAATGCAGGGCAGCTATGCAAGCCTCTTAAAGCATGCTTGCCCCGCAGACACGCTATGCAATTTGCTATAACCGAAGAACAGCAGGCCATTGTAGATATGGCTCAGCGATTTACAGCAGACGAAATCACCCCGCACGCTGCACACTGGGACGAACACCATGTCTTTCCCCTGGACACCCTGCATAAAGCCGCAGCACTGGGCTTTGGCGGTATTTATGTGGACGAAGAGCATGGCGGCAGTGGCTTGACCCGGGTTGAAGCAGCCCTGGTCATGGAGGCGATGGCATATGGGTGTGCCAGTACCTCTGCTTTCATCTCCATTCACAATATGGCTGCCTGGATGATTGATGCGTTCGGGCGCGATGAGTTACGGGCTAAATATTTACCCAGTCTGACGCAGATGAATCTGATCGCCAGCTATTGCCTTACCGAACCCGGCGCAGGCAGCGATGCCGCCTCGCTGAAGACGTCAGCCACGCTGGATGGCGATCATTACGTGATTAACGGCGGCAAAGCATTTATCTCTGGTGGCGGCGTCAACGATATCTATCTGGTCATGGCCAGCACCGATCCATCTAAAAAAGCGCGTGGCATTTCCTGTTTCGTGGTTGAAAAAGACACACCTGGGCTGAGCTTCGGGAAACCTGAAAAGAAGCTGGGCTGGCATTCGCAACCCACAACTGCAGTATTATTTGACGACGTCCGGGTGCCTGCCCAGAACATGGTCGGCAACCCCGGTGATGGGTTCAAAATTGCCATGCAGGGGCTGGATGGTGGACGCATTAACATTGGCGCCTGCTCGCTCGGTGGCGCTCAGCGCTGCCTTGACGATGCAGTGGAATATGTCAAAGCACGCAATCAGTTCGGCCAGCGCATTGCAGACTTCCAGAATACACAGTTCATGCTGGCGGATATGCGCACCCATTTGGAGGCTGCACGTGCTTTGCTGTATATCGGAGCTAACAAGGTTTCCGAAAACGCTGCGGATAAAACTCAGTGGGCCGCGATGGCTAAATTAATGGCCACAGAAACCGGCTCCAGGGTTGTCAATGACGCGCTGCAGCTGCACGGTGGATACGGCTTTTTAATGGACTTCCCGGCTGAACGTTTTCTGCGTGACCTGCGCGTACATGAAATCCTCGAGGGCACCAGCCAGATCATGCGCCATGTCATCGGGCGGGACCTGGTCAGCGACTGATTACCGGAGCTATACGCCCACTAGACCAGACCTCTCACAGGCAGCAGCGCGCCATGCACCGCGCGCGCCTGATCTGACAGCAGAAAGCAGATAACCGCGGCCAGGTCTTGCGGAGAAACCCAGGTGGCATAATCTGCATCAGGCATATCCGCGCGATTGCGCGGCGTATCAATCAGACTCGGCAACACGGCATTGACGTTGATTCCCTTACCTTTTACCTCTTCACTCAGCGCCTCCGTAAGGCGCATCACCGTCGATTTCGCGGCTGTATAAGCGCCCATATTCCCCAGCCCCTGCAGTGCACCAAAGGCGCCTATATTGACCACGCTGCCCGCACCTTTCGCTACCAACCTGGGTACCGCATGGGTCAACATGGTGCGTAATGTTGTCACGTTAATCGTCTGCATCTGGTCCCAGAGGTCATTAGAAGTCTCAAAAACAGAGGGGCCCATGGCAAACCCACCTGCAACATTGGCGAGCCCGTCAAATTCACCTACCTCATCCAGAGTGCGAGCCACCGCATCCGAATCAGTCAGATCAACCGAAAAGCAGCGCCCCAGCGCTGACTCAAAGTCAGGCACAACATCCAGCAACGCCACTTCAGCACCCTGCCGGCGGGCTTCCTCAGCGACGCCCTGGCCTAAAATACCGGCGCCTCCGGTGACTATGATGGTTTTTCCTTCGAGCTGCATACCTACCTCGTCAGTTGATGTACTTTCCACGGTGTACACTTTAGGCTGGGCTAAATTCAACGGCAACCACTGCTCAGTTGTCTTAAACCTTGGAGAGGGTGATATGGGGAAAGAGATCTGGATGAGAATACCAGCAGCACTTGTTGCTCTGGCCATGGGGATAAGCGCTATCCAGTGGTTAATCAATCCGGCGGCGGCAGCCGAAAGCCTGGGTATGCCTCTGCTTTCAGGGTTGGGCTTATCCAGCCAGGTAGGTGACTTCAGCGCCTTTTTTGTGGGCACGACCGTATTCTGTCTGCTGGGCCTGATTCGTAACAACCCAACCTGGCTGTACAGTGCGGCATTGTTGCTGGCGATGGCCGCTGTGTTCCGCACGACAACATGGCTGTTTCACGGCGCGAGTCTCGCTGCCCCGCTGATTGCGGTAGAAATTATCCTGGCGGGATTGGCTTTGCTCAGCGCCCGACTGATGGCCAGGCCACAGATTTAGATTCAATTCAGAGAATCGCAGACCTTGTACTAGGCCTGCGCATCTGGCACCTGGATCACCATGCCGGACAGCTGTTGTTGCAGAACAATCTGGCAGGAAAGACGGCTATTAGGCGCAACCTCGTGAGCATACACAAGCAGGTCCAGCTCATCCTGATGCGGTGCAGGCAGCTGTTCAAACCAGGGTTGCCCGACATAGACATGGCAGGTGCAACAGGTGCATCCGCCACCACACTGACCAATAATTCCGGGCACCAGGTTGTCCAGCGCAGCATCCAGTACCGTTTCACCTGCCGCTGCATGACAGATCTGTCGGCTGCCATCTGCCTGGATAAACTTAACTTCAATGCGATCAGCAGGTTCCGACGATAATTGTGTGGGCATAAATTTGTGGCCGGCTGCAGTGGACACCGGGCTGACGAGGCATGCTCGACGGAACCCACGATTGAAGACGGCGCATATATTACCCGCTTCGTCCCGCTACCGATATCGACATGCGCATTGGGCTGAAACTCAGCCCTCCACTCTGTTAATATTGGCGGCTGCCTTCGACATAACGGATAAACATTGATCATAGGAATAACCGGCGGTATCGCGTCAGGCAAATCTACCGCTGCGCAGACCCTGGGCGACTGGGGTGCACACGTCATAGATGCAGATAAATTGGGCCACCGCGCTTATCTTGCGGGTACCCGGGCGTTTGACCAGGTCGTCGCCACCTTCGGGCAGGACACCGTCGGTGAAGACGGTGAGATCGATCGCCGAGTTCTCGGCGGCAAAGTCTTCGGCCAGGCTGACAGACTTAAGGCGCTCACAGATATTGTCTGGCCGGCGATCAGAAGCATGGCTGCCCAAGAGATCAGCCAGGTACAGCAGAAACAGCCCCAGCAACCCATTGTTCTGGAAGCGGCTGTCTTGATCGAAGCGGGCTGGCAGGATCTGGTGGATATGTTATGGGTATGCGTTGTTGATCGCGAGATTGCGGTCGCCCGGGCTTGCGCCCGAGATGGCTTCGAGCCCAGTGCGGTTGAAGCCCGGATCGATGCACAGCTGACTAACGAAGAGCGTATCGCTGCAGCAGATGCTGTGATTGACAACTCCGGAGATCCTGAGCACATGGTCAACCAACTGAAACAGCTATGGCAACAAACAGGAGCGGCTACACAGTGATTCTAGATCTACATGCCCATTCAATTAAGTCTGATGATGGCCGAGCCAAAGTGCAGAATTATTGCCAGTGGATAAAAACGCGCAACATCCCGATTGACGGATTTGTGCTCACCGAGCACCGTCAATTTGATAACGAGTCCGACTACAGTGATCTGGCAGCCAAACATGGCATCACCATTTTAAAAGGCAGTGAGGTCGAAACTGAGTACGGCCACGTTCTGGTTTTTGGCGTCACCAAGACACTGCAGGAGGCGTTCGACTTTACCAATATCCACCTGGCGTTAGCTGATGTGATCGCAGCGTGTGATGCCCACGGCGCTGTTGCGGTGCCCTGCCATCCTGGTCGTAAACGTGTCGGTATGGCCGCCCACCTTGAAGAGCATGGTGTGCCTGCTGGTGTCAATATAGTGGAAGTCTACAACGGCGGCTCACGCGGCGCAGAAGATCAGGTCGCCCAGGACATGGCGACCGAACAGAACTATTTAGGTATCGGCGGCAGTGATGCACATATCGTCAGTCACATTGGCCGCTGCGCCACAAAATTTGAAGACACCATCCACAACGAACAAGAGCTGGTCAATGCATTGAAAGCTGGCCGCTTTGAAGCCATCAAACTACAACAGGAAGCCTCATGACCGACGTCAATGCCCCCCTGGACGTGGAATCCCTGCGAGAGCAGTTCCTGAATGTTGTATTCGACGAATACACGCTTACTCTTGAAGCCCAGGCGCTTGCGGACTACGCCATCGCCTGTGGTGAAACCGCTGCAAAGTTCACCAATCCTGAAGATCCGGATTTTCAGGCACCGCCAACCATTGCATCCAGTTTTCAGCAACGTAAACGATATCCTGACGGTTTCCCTACGTTTAAAGGTCTAGGTATGGATGCCGGCAAAGCAGTCGCGCCGGACAAGCCTATGCGACCAGGCATACCGATTACCGCGCGCACCCATATGCACGATATTTATACAAAAAGTGGACGCAGCGGGCGGATGGTTTTTTTCGTCAACCGCATGGAGTTCACCGACCCTGACAATAACCTTCTGGGTTCAGCAGATACCAGCATAGTGATCCGGGAGAAGCCACAGTCATGACTGTTAACACGATTGCCGACGTAGAGTTCGGCGTTGAATTGCCGTCTGTTTCTCCAGATACCAGCCTTGCAAACGTAAAACGGTTTGTTGTGGCAGCAGGCTGGGACAGCCCGCGCTTTACTGATCATGCCGCTGCTAAGGAGCAGGGCCTGCCTGGCGCATTGGTCCCAGGCATCATGAGCCAGGGTTTTTTAAGCGCGATGATCCATCACTGGGCACCATCCGCTGAAGTCAAACTGGTTGATACAGTTTTCAGAGCGCCGTGTATTGTCGATGAACAATACAGTATCAACGGAGTCGTTACAGATCTTGATGAAGACACCGGCGAAGTAGAGATCGATCTTACGGTGACCAACGAAGCCGGTGAAAACCGGGTGTTTGGTACCGCAAAAGTGCTGATACCGGTGAGTTAATCTTTCACCGGCTCAACCAACGGGATGCTCAGTTCCGGATGGATTTCCCAGCTGAGTTTAACCCGCATACCTATCTTTATGTCCTGTAGAGGGTCTTCGACACCTACCATATTGGTGAGCAGACGAGGACCTTCATCCAGGTCAACGTAAACGACAGCATAGGGGACTTTGTTACGAAAGAAAGGGTGATAACTCTGTCTGACAACACTATAGGTATACACCTCACCTTCGCCTGCTGACTCCCGCCACTCAAGCTTGCCGTTTGTGCACCCTGAACAGTGCGCGCGCGGATGCCATACAATGGTGTTGCAGTTTTCACACTGTTGAAACCTGAAAGACTGATTCTTTGTTGCCCGCCAGAAAACTGCAGTATCCGGCTCGTTCAGCGACGGTAGTGGCCTGGTTATTTCAGGCAGATTGTCTGTGTTCTTAGCCACCATGATCAATCACCTCCGAGAATTATTGTACCGGCAGAGTGCCGTGAACCGAGCATTCCACCGTTGCCGTGTGCAACCGCAAGTTGAGCACCAGCCACCTGAGCGGTAGATTGTCCGCGCAGTTGCCGCGCAGCTTCAATCAGCAGGAAGATGCCCCGCATGCCAGGGTGATTCGAAGAGAGGCCGCCGCCGTCTGTATTCAGCGCGGGTCCGCCAGGTTGATCAAAACGTAAACGACCACCTGCAACATATGCACCGCCCTCTCCTTTTGCGCAGAAACCTAAATCTTCCAGGAGGGCCAGAACCGTAATGCTGAAGGAGTCGTAGATCATGGCGACGTCAACCTCTGCCGGCGTGATGCCTGCTTCGGCAAAAGCAATCGGCGCAGACTGCGCGCCTGCCGAAGTTGTGATATCACCGCCACTCGTTGGGTACCTGGTCGCTTCACCGCTGCCAATAATCCACACCGGTTTCTGCGCACACTGACGTGCGACATCAGCGCTGGCGATAACCACCGCCCCGCCGCCATCGGAAATCATGCAGCAGTCCAGCAAATGCAGCGGATCAGCAATCATTCGCGAGTTAACCACATCGTCAATTGTCGTTTCGCGTATATCAATGAATTCAAGATCCTGCATGGCCTGCACGGCTTGGGGATTTTGCATCGCGTGATAACGGGTTGCGGTTGATATCTCAGCGAGTTGTTCCGAGGTTGTGCCATACAGGTGCATGTGTCGGCGGGCGACCATGGCATAGTTGGCAACCAGAGTCTGACCGGCAAAGCCTTCCATGTTCTCTGCAGGTGTTAAACCGCCAAAACCGCGCCCGCCTACGCCTATGGCGGTAGCATTGCTGTGCGCGGTGGAACCATATGTCAGCAGCGCCACCTTACACTTACCGGCCTGGATAGCCATACGCGCATGTGCTGCCTGAAACTCGAAAGCGCTGCCTCCAACCGCCGTTGTGTCAATTACCGAAGGCGATAAACCGAAGTACTCGGCAATCATCAAACCACTCATCGGCGCCGCTTCCGAGGCATCATAAAGTGCGTCAACGTCCGACCAGTTCAATCCCGCGTCATGAAGCGCAGCAGCGGCACAGGCCGCCTTAATCTGCAGCGCGCTCATTTCGCCGTCAACGTCGCGACTGGGAAATTCGTACACACCAACTATGGCGGCATCACGTTCACTACGACTCATGTTATTAATCCCATAAAGAATCCGTGTTCCGCAGAACTAGTCCGCATCATTAGCTGCCGGTTGCAGGCCCCCAAAACCACCCGCTGCCTGCACTTTGCCAATGAATGTGTCTTCGTATGCCTCTTCCGGGTTTTCCCGCACCAGCCGGTCCAGGACTTTTGCATCTTCACCCACAAGAATTCGCCATTTGTTCTCTTTCACGCCATCAAGAATAATAGTGGAGGCTTGCGCCGCTGTTGTTGGCGCCTTGTCACGAAAATCCAGCGCCCGTTGATGCATCATTTCTCGAATATGGTCATCAGGCACGTTGTCTACAGGTAAACCCGCTTCAGACAGTCGTACACGTATTTTCCCGACTTCTTCCGCCGACATCTCCAGCGCGCCGCCGGTGCCCAGTACTTTGCCTGAGTTGAGCGCAATAGAGGTGCCGATATGGCCAGGCATAACAACCGAGGCATGCACATGTGGGGCGTTAAGGCGCAGGTCTGTAATCAACGCTTCGGTGAAGCCTTTGACCGCAAACTTGGCAGCAGCATAAGAAGTATGTGAAACCGTTGGGCCAATACTCGCCCAGAAACCGTTCACCGAACTGGTATTTACTATATGACCTTCATCGCTGGCCACCAGCAGGTCCATGAAAGCACGCGCGCCGTAATAAACCCCATACCAGCAAACCCCAAAGGTTCTTTCCCACAGTGCCCGATCGCCGGTCACAAACTCACCACCTCCACCAATACCCGCATTATTGAATAAAAGATTGATGTGGTCGCATTTGTGCTGTTCTACAACCTCGTCGCGAAATTTGAGCATCTGTTGCTCTGAACTGACATCACACAGATGGCTGGTGAGTCGCTGACCGGGTTTGGGGTTAGCCAGTTTGGCGGTTTCTGCCATATTCTCTTCAGATACGTCACACATGGCCACATGTGCACCCTCAGCAATCAGCTGACAGACCAGCTCACGCCCCATGCCAGTACCGCCACCGGTGACTACAGCGATTTTATCTTTGAAATCTTTCATTGTTTCCCCTCAAGTTTTCTTATCACAAATGTTTAGCGATCACGCGGATCAGGACGATCCGCGTTGATCTTCAAACTCTGCAGATGTCTGTTCAACACCTGCCCATCAATTAATTTGTTCCGATACAAGCCCGTCAGCGCCGCAGCACAAACATGCTGGCCATCTACTTCAAAGTGTTGCCGCAATGCAGGCCGGGATTCCGACAGTCCGTATCCATCGGTACCTAACACCTCAAGCTCACCTGGCAACCAGGGTGCAATGCCAGCAGCAAGGCTTTTCATATAATCGGTCACCGCAACAAACACACCTGGAGCCTGAGCAAACAAAGCCTCGACGTGTGAGGTTCTTTGTTCATCCAGCGGATGCAGCCTGTTGTAACGCGCGCAACTCTGCGCCTCGCGCTCAAGCTCAATAAAGCTGGTCACACTGTACAGCGCAACATTGAAACCCATCTCCGTCAGCAATGTCTGCGCGTCCAATGCCTGCTGAAAAATACTGCCACTGGCAAGTATATTCACCCAGGGCGCATCCGGATCCACCTCTGCGTGGGCGAATCGATAGGCACCCTGGAGCACACCGGTTTCAATGGCACTTTCGCTCAGACCGGAGGTGTTGCATACGTCATCTATCCCGGGCATCAGATAGTTTTCGTTGTACAGCGTCAGGTAATAGAAGACGTCTTCCTGCTCCTCGAACATGCGCCGCAGACCTTCGCGGACGATAATTGCAACCTCGTAGCCGAAAGCTGGATCGTAGCTGATCAGATTAGGAATGGTGCTGGCAAGCACATGGCTGTGTCCATCTTCATGTTGGAGACCTTCGCCGTTCAGGGTTGTACGCCCCGCCGTGCCGCCAAGCAGAAAGCCGCGGCACATCATGTCACCGCAACTCCAGACCATGTCACCAACTCTCTGGAAACCGAACATGGAATAAAAGATATAAAATGGGATCATCGGCAAACCATGCACCGCATAGGCGCTGCCTGCAGCCATGAACGACGCCATGGCGCCGGTTTCACAGATGCCTTCCTGCAGAATCTGACCGTCCGATGCTTCGCGATATGGCAGCAGTGAGTCTGCATCTACCGGTTTGTATTTCTGGCCTTCAGGTGCATATATACCGGCTATTTTAAACAGCCCGTCCATACCAAATGTGCGGGCTTCGTCAGGCACTATGGGCACCACATATTTGCCTAAGGTTTTATCCCGCAGGAGCGTTCCCAGCAGGCGCACCATACTCATTGTCGTCGAGACACTACGCTCGCCGCTGCCTTTGAGCAGTTCTTTTAAAACTGTGCGCTCAGGCGCAGGCAATGATGGACTCACCTGACGACGCCTGGGTACTGAGCCGAACAGCGCTTTTCGCCGGGCCTGCAGATACAGCATTTCTTCGCTGTCCGCTTCCGGTTTATAGAATGCAGCTTGACGTGCCTGTTCATCATCCAGCGGAATGCCCAACTCCCGCGCAACTTTGACCCGTTCTTCGGGCCCCATGTTTTTGTACTGATGGGCGGTGTTCTTGCCCTGGGCGCCGATACCGTCACCTTTCACTGTTTTAACCAGAATGACCGTCGGCTTGCCTCGAGCCTGGGCTGCGGCATCAAACGCGGCGTAGATTTTTTTTGGATCCTGTCCGCCGCGTTTAATTTCTTTCAGCTCCGCATCGGTGAGCGTGTCCATCATGCGTTTAAGTTCTGGATTGCCTTCAACCCAGTGCTCTCGCTGAACATTTCCAGGCAACACAGAGTACATTTGATAGTCGCCATCAAGGCACTGGTCCATACGTTTGCGCAAAACGCCATTTTTATCTCGCGCAAGCAGCGGGTCCCACCCGCTTCCCCATATCACCTTCAACACATTCCAGTCCGCGCCGCGGAACATGCGTTCCAGTTCCTGGATAATTTTCCCATTTCCCCTAACAGGACCGTCAAGTCGCTGGAGATTGCAATTTATAACCAGGATAAGGTTATCCAGTTTTTCCCGGGCGGCAATGTTGATGGTGCCCATCACTTCCGGCTCGTCTGATTCCCCATCACCAATAAAACACCAGATTTTGCGGTTACTTTTCGGCTTGAGGCCACGGTTTTCCAGGTACTTGGCAAACCGCGCTTCGTAGATGGCCGCTGGTGTTGACAAACCCATGGACGCATTTGGCATCTCCCAGAAATCAGGCATGCTGCGGGGGTGCGGATAAGAAGAAAGACCGCCACCAGCACCTAATTCACGTCGATAGTTTTCTAACTGTGCGGTTGTTAATCGTCCTTCTAACCAGGCTCGCGCATAAATACCAGGAGCCGCATGAGGCTGAGGTAGCACCATATCCGGATCATTATTTTCATCGAAACCTTGGAAAAAGTGATTAAACCCAACTTCCAGCATGGTGGCACACGAGGCGTAAGTAGCGATGTGACCACCCACGCCAACCCCCGCATCCTGGGCGCGCAGGACCATCGCCATGGCGTTCCAGCGAATAATTTTTTCGATCCTGGCTTCCAGCGCCAGGTCGCCGGGATAAGCAGGCTCGTCTTCAACGGCTATAGTGTTGACATAAGGCGTATTCAGCGTCGCCTCACCTAACGGCACATTTAAGCGTAGAGCGTGATCCTGCAGGCTCCGTAAGATCTCACGTACGCCTGCGTCACCAAACTCCGCGTGAATAGACTCCAGGGATTCCAGCCATTCCTGCTTGTCTTCCGACAGGTAACCGGCATCCAGGCTGCTTGCGTCCTGATCGGCCTGACCGTCAGTCATGAGCAGCGAGGCATTTGCGGATCTGTTCAGCATGTGCTTCCAGGATAGCAAAATCCTGCATTTCCCTGGCATGCATGCCCAGGGCCAGGCCATCATGTCTTGGCATAATGTGAAAGTGCAGATGAAATACTGTTTGTCCCGCCGCAGCGCCGTTTAACTGTGCGAGCATGATGCCTGGTGCAGAGAATGCTTCTTTCACTGCCGCTGCGACCAGCTGTACGCTTTGGATGGTTTTCGCCAGCACAACTGGATCTGCGTCGGACAAGTCCTTCGCTTCACATTTCGGTATAACCAGAGTGTGTCCGTCAACCTGAGGCATGACGTCCATAAACGCCAGCGAGTATTCATCCTCGTAAACTTTAAAGGCCGGCGCCTCGCCACGCAGAATTTTGGCAAATATATTATTCGCGTCATAAGTCATAGGTTTCACTCTCTCGAAAGGCGATACAGTCAGCTGTTTAAGACATCGGTGTTTCGATACCGCATATCACGTCAGGCAAAACAGCAGCGCTGCCCGGACCTGTGATCATAAACAACTTTGGGGACACTGGCGAAAGTAAGCTCAGCGTGGACTAGTCTTCGAGCATCAACCACGCGACAGGCATTAATCCAGCGGCTGCCACGATGGGCACAATTAACGCTGTAGCAACAGATGTGTAACCGCCCAGGAGACTTGCTGGTAGCAGTTCAGTCAAACGCTCCAGAGGTAAGGCCTGTAAAGACAGCACAAAAATAGCGCCTCCGACGAGCACAGCGAGCAACAATATCCAGTTCAGACCAATACGTGGTGCAACCGGACTTGGTTCAGGATCAACCTGCGGTAGCGTGGCAACCTGCGCCATAATATCCGGCACCAGATTAACTTCGCCTTCGGGTCGCCGTAGAGATTGAAATTTATTTTCCAGAATACTATCTAACTCTTTGTTATCCATATGTTTTACCCTCCCCTTGACTGGCTTGTATTTGTATCTCTTCAAGTTGTTTCTGCATCTTCTGTTTCGCTCGATGGACATGAGATTTTACAGTGCCTACGGCTATGCCGCGGCTGTCCGCAATCTCTTTGTGGGTAAACTCAAAGCCATAATACAGCACCATAATTTCGCGCTCGATTGGGTTACACAACGCCAGGAGCTCATTGAGTTCAGCATCAACATCCGCTGGATGTTCAGCCTCTACAACAGGATCAACCGCTTCAGGCAGGTGTTTCTGCTCAGTCTGTTGACGCCGATAGCTGTGTAGAAAGTGACGGTAAGCCAGCTGTTTCAACCAACCGCCAAATTTCTCCGGTGCCGTGAGGGTGTTCAGCTTCTGCCAGGCCGTCAGAAATGTATCCTGGGTAAGATCATCAGCCAGGGCTGGCTGGCGGGTCAAACCCAGCAACATCGAACGGACAAATCCCTGGTAGCGCGTCACCAGAACGGTGTAAGCCGTGTGGCGCTCCGCGCGGGTACCTTGCCGCGAACGCAGAACTAATTCTGCGTCTGCAGTGTCAGCTTCCGGCAGGTTTACGCGAGCGGGAAAAGCCAAAATCATTGATCGCTTTTTTGCCTGAGATAGCCCATCAGCAGGTAGGCGCAACCCGTGAAAATCGGAAAAGTCGCGAAACCCAGCATCGGCCCGAAGGCATCTTCGTCACCAATAAGAAAGGCAAGGCAGATAAACGCCAATCCAAACGCCAGCAAAATAACGCCACGCCGAATGTCATTGCTCTGTGGCTGCAGCGCTGCCGTTAGTTGTTCCAACAGTTCACTGGATAGGGCTTGACCCGAATCCAGCGTGGCTCTAATCGTCATCTGCAGTTCCTGACGATTGCGAAACCGATAGAACGAGACGATTGCGACAATGCCAAAGATCATCAAAAACAGTACTACGGGGACAATAGCTTCTTCCATGAGATTCTCTAATTGTGTGTGTCTCTGATAAGAGCCCTAGCTGGCAGGAAAGGTTGCAGGCAAAAGATAACTATTTTTCGCGCAACCATTCCAGAACGCTCTGGGTATGCGCCCCTGTTTTTGGAATTTTCAGATGATTATCGACCTCCTGGTTAGCCGCACGCCCCGGAACCACAGGCAGTTCGATGTTTATACCATGCACATCAACATTAATGGTGCGCAGATCCGCATGTTCGGCAAACGCTGACACACTGTTCACCGGCGCAAAAGCCACGTCAGCTGCATCAAGCTTTACCGCAAGGTCCTCATAGGCACAGCTGGCAAAGTACACCTGCAAAGCTGCATCCACAAAAACACGGTGGGCCACGCGGGTTTCGTTGTCCAGGCATCGGTCATCTTGCGCCAGCGGCTGCAGTGTTGTGTCCAGCTGACACAGACGTTGCCATTCTGCTTCGTTCTGTACAGACATGACAAAGGCTGTGTGATCGGCGCTTTCGAAGACGCCATAAGGGCAGATCCCCGGATGAGCCAGGCCGACCCGCCCAGGTGGTCCTGAGCCATATCGGGTTAACAGGTAAGGCACGCTCATGTACTGCGCAACCGCATCAAAAAGGGACACGTTGATGCGTTCGCCAGTGCCGCTGGAACGCCGCACAAGCACAGCTTCTAAAACCGCTTCGTAAGCAAACATACCGGTTGCGATGTCGACCACTGAAACGCCGACCCGCCCAGGTGCGTCGGGAGAGCCGGTAATGGATGCAAGCCCGGCTTCAGCCTGCATCAGCAGATCATAAGCTTTGCGCTGCGCGCCAGGTCCGTCCGGATGAAAGCCCGTGATCGAAACTGAAATCAGATGCGGATAGCACTCATGCAGCTTTTCCAACCCCAAGCCAAGTTTGTCGAGGGCGCCAGGTTTCAAATTCTGCACCAGCACGTCACTGCGGCTGATGAGTTCTTGCAGCAGATCTAGCTGGTCCGGTTCGCGCAGGTCGAAAACCACAGACTTTTTACCGCCGTTCAGCCAGACAAAATAAGTGCTTTCACCGGCTACTGCGGTATCGTAGAAACGCGCAAAATCGCCTTCCGGGCGCTCAACTTTGAACACTTCAGCACCCGCCAGCAGCAGTCGCTTGCTGCACAAAGGTGCCGCTACAGCCTGCTCGATAGAGACCACTTTAATACCCTCAAGTGGCTGCATGGATCCTCCTCAGATGTGAGTTGAAGGCAAAAAAAGAGGGCCACATAGGCCCTCTGTTCTTTCGTCCAAGAGACGCGTTTTATCCCGCGGCGTTATAGCCCATGATTGCTTTGGTTTCGAGGAACTCTTCAAAACCATGCAGGCCCCATTCACGACCATTACCAGACTGCTTGTAGCCGCCAAAAGGCGCGTTATTGTCAACCGGCGCACCGTTGAGGTGAACGTTACCCGTGCGGATCCGACGAGCTACGCGCTTGGCACGCTCCGGGTCGCTGGATGAAATATAACCACTCAGGCCGTAAAGCGTGTCGTTGGCAATACGCACCGCATCTTCTTCATCTTCGTAGCCAATCAATGACAATACCGGCCCGAAAATTTCTTCCTGGGCAATGGTCATATCGTTGGTGACATGAGAGAAAACCGTGGGCTTGATGTAATAGCCTACGTTCAAACCGTCAGGACGACCGGTACCGCCAATTTCGAGTTTGGCGCCTTCATCTATACCCTTCTGGATCAGATTCTGGATTTTGTTGAATTGGACTTCAGACACAACCGGACCAATGGTGGTGCCTTCCGCTGTGGGATCGCCTACCTTGACCTGCTCAGCAGCAGCTTTGGCAATGGCGGCAGCTTCATCCATGCGGGCATTGGGTACCAGCATACGAGTAGGTGCATTACAGGACTGACCTGAGTTCATGCACATGCCAAACACGTCACGAGAGATAGACTTCGTGAAATCAGCGTCATCAAGAATGATGTTGGCTGACTTTCCACCCAGTTCCTGAGCCACACGCTTGACGGTTGGCGCAGCATTTTTAGCCACTTCAACGCCCGCGCGGGTAGAACCGGTGAAGGACATCATGTCGACATCCGGATGCGACGACAGCGGCGCGCCGACATTTGGTCCATCACCGTTGATGAGGTTGAATACACCCGGTGGTACGCCGGCATCATGCAGAATTTCAGCGAACACAATGGCGTTCATAGGGGCAACTTCCGAAGGCTTCAGCACCATGGTGCAGCCAGCAGCCAGTGCAGGTGCAACCTTGCACGCAATCTGATTGAGCGGCCAGTTCCAGGGTGTGATCAAACCACAGACACCAGCGGGTTCGCGAATTACGTGAGATGTACCGATATCTTCTTCGAACTCAAAGTTTTTTAACACTTCCAGTGTCGTCATGAAGTGTCCAAGTGCCGAAGGCGCCTGAGCTGCATTAGCCAGTCCTAACGGTGCACCCATTTCCTGGCTGATGGCGGTTGCCACATCACCCATACGTTCAGCGTATTTGGCGATAATCGCTTCCAGCAGCGCGATGCGCTCTTCTTTGGTTGTCTGCGAATAAGTTTCAAAAGCAGCTTTTGCGGCAGCAACTGCAGCATTGACGTCTGCTTCGCCACCCATGGCTATCTTACCAATGGACTGTTCCGTTGCTGGATTGATGACATCAAGCGTGTCAGTGGTTGAAGGCTCAACCCACTGACCATTGATGTAGAATTTTAATGCGTTTTCCACGTTTTTCGTTCCTTTGGTTGTAAATTTGTGCGGGGCGGAATATCTCTTAATGCTGAAGCTAAGGTTGGGTCTTATGCGCCCACTCGAGATAGCCATCCTGCCCTCATCAGCCCGCTAGAATACCTCTTGGCGTGCGAATTAAAAAGCACAGCTGAACTGACAATGGACATTGAAACTACCGCGCGGCAATTGTCTGCACCTACCCTTCTAACGCGACTTGCGGCAAACTGGCGCCCCAAATTTTTAAACCCAGTTGAGAGGGACTATGAAAGGTACTGTGCACTACGAACAGCGCGGCAACATTGCGCTTCTGACCATTGACAACCCACCGGTTAACCCGCTGTCCTCAGGCGTGCGGCAGGGACTGTCCGATGGTATCGCCAAGGCTCTGGCAGACGACAGCGTAGAGGCGATTGTGCTCACCGGCGCAGGCCGCGCTTTCATCGCTGGGGCAGACATTTCCGAATTTGGCGGCGCTGCACAGGGTCCCAGCCTGCACGATTGTCTTGCAAGCATGGACAACAGCACCAAGCCCATTGTTGCTGCAATCAACGGAACTGCCTTTGGCGGCGGTCTTGAAGTTGCATTGTGTTGCCATTACCGCGTCATCGCCCCTACGGCACCGGTTGGTCTACCTGAGGTGAAGCTGGGTCTGTTACCTGGCGCTGGCGGCACACAACGCCTACCCCGCCTCATCGGCGCGGAAAAAGCCCTCAACTTTATTCTTTCCGGCGATCCCATCCCCGGCCCCGCGGCGAAAGAACTCGGCATTGCAGACAGTGTGGCTGACGGCGACATCGTCGACGCAGGTATCGCTTTTGCCCAGGATATTATCGCTAAAGGCAGTCCCATCCGCAGAATACGTGATGAATCAGAATTGCTGGTAGCCGATCGCGACAACGCTGAGCTGTTCGACAACGCACGCAAAACATCAGCGCGCAGAATGCGCAAACGTTTTGCACCTGAAATGATTATTCAGTGTGTCGAGGCGGCGGTTAATCTGGGCGATTTTGACGCCGGCATGAAAGTTGAAGCTGAATGTTTTGCGAAGTGTTTAAAACACCCTCAACGCGAAGCACTTATCCACATGTTTTTTGCAGAACGCGAAGTTGCAAAAATACCGGATGTACCCAAAGACACGCCTACCCAGGAAATCAACCAGGCCGGCGTCATCGGTTGCGGCACCATGGGTGGCGGTATCACCATGTCTTTCCTGAACGTCGGTATCCCCGTCACGGTGCTGGAAGTTGATCAGGAAGCTTTGGATCGCGGTATTGGCGTGATCAAGCGGAATTACGATATCCAGGTACAGCGCGGCCGCATGACCTCTGATGAAGTAGATCAGCGCATGGGCATTCTGACTGGTACTACCGAATACTCCGGGCTCGCTCAGGCTGACGTCATCATCGAAGCGATTTACGAAAACATCGATGTGAAAGTAGACACTTTCAAAAAAATGGAAGCCGTGGCTAAACCAGGCGCCATCCTCGCCAGTAATACCTCCGGTCTTGATATTGACAAGATGGCCAACGCTACTACGCGCCCTGAAGCGGTTATCGGACTGCATTTCTTCAGTCCGGCTAACGTCATGCGTTTGTTGGAAGTAGTACGTGGTGAAGCGACCAGTAAAGAAACCATAGCCACCTCCATGAAGCTGGGCAAACGACTGAATAAAGTCGCGGTTCTGTCCGGCAATGCACCAGGTTTTATCGGCAATCGAATGCTGGCTGGCTACACCCGTCAAGCAGGTGAAATCATCCTTCAGGGTGCTACACCCTATCAGGTTGATAACGTCATCCTGGGCTTTGGTATGCCCATGGGGCCCTTCCAGATGAACGACCTTGTCGGGCTCGACCTTGGTTGGCGCGCACGAAAACTGGGCGGTGTGAAGCCTGAGGATGTGCCTATCACTGCGCGGGTGGCTGACAAGCTGTGTGAACTGGAACGGTTTGGCCAGAAGACCAACAGAGGCTTCTACATCTATCCAGAAGGCAGTCGCGCAGGCACCCCGGACCCGGAGGTTGTCGCCATCGTTGAAGAAACGTCTGCAGAGTTAGGCATCACCCGTCGTGAAATTTCAGATGAAGAGGTGTTGAAACGTTGCCTTTATCCGCTGATCAACGAAGGCGCTCGAATACTCGAAGACGGCATCGCGATACGCCCATGTGACATCGATATTGTTTATATCAATGGCTACGGCTTTCCAGAAGTGACCGGCGGCCCAATGTTCTGGGCAGACCAGATAGGTCTGGAAAATATCCTGGCGGATATCAAAAATTTCCAGAGCGAATATGGTGGCGACATCTGGCAACCTGCTCCACTGCTCGAAAAGCTGGTCAGCGAAGGTAAAACATTCGCCAGCCTGCAAAGCTGAGTTGCAGCCACTGCGCTTTCTGGATCTGCCGCAGCATCGACGGAGTTCTGACTCCGGGCTGCGGCAGGCCTTCGAACAGCAGTTTCCTGTTTCGTTTCGGACAGGCTTCAGCTGCCTGCTGGTCACGCTGCTTACAGTCGTGACCGGATGGGCACATGCACATGGTGTCGCCGACGGCGATGCCATTTTTCTGCAGAGTCAACAGGGGTTCCAGTTCTGGCCCTACTTCTATCTCGGCGCAAAACACATGGTGACAGGCTACGACCACCTCCTGTTTCTCGCCGGGGTAATCTTTTTTCTCTATAAAATACGCGAGATTACGGTTTATGTGACCTTGTTTGCCATTGGGCACAGCCTGACGCTGATTGCCGGTGTCTGGTTCGAAATACCGGCAAACGCCTATCTGATCGATGCCATAATTGGCCTATCTGTGGTCTATAAAGCATTCGAAAACCTCGGCGGTTTCGACAAACTGGGCTGGCGCATCAACACCAAAGTGGCGGTATGGGTGTTTGGCCTGTTTCACGGCTTTGGCCTTGCTACAAAACTACAGGCGCTGACGCTTTCTGAAGAGGGTTTACTCGGTAATCTGCTGGCCTTCAACCTTGGTGTGGAAGCTGGCCAGCTGACCGCCTTAGTCGGCATCGTTGCGTTAATGAATCTGTGGCGGGCGAGCGCCCGCTTCGACTCTCAGGCTATTGTAGCCAACGGCGCGCTGATGACGTGCGGATTTATCCTGATAGGTTATCAACTCACCGGGTACGGTCTCTCTTTTTAACGTCAGCGCCAGTTAACTTAAGAGCCAGCCGCCGTCCACATCAACGGTTGTGCCGGTGACAAAATCATTCTGCACCACAAACAGAATACCCTGGGCGACCTCTTCAGGCGTACCTGGACGGGGAATCAGGTTTTTGGCTGTGGCGCCCTGCAACATACCCTCGCGGGCTTCGCTATCCGGACCAAACATGGGTGTTGCGATGACGCCGGGAGAAACAATGTTTATGCGTCGCGGCGCAAGCTCGGCGGCTACCGCACGAACAAACTGTTCAACCGCTCCGCCAACCGACGCAATGGCTGCCTGACCAGGTTTTGCGCGACGCGCCGGTGAGCCACTGACCAGCACGATATTGCCCCGTTCGCTGAGATGTTGGGCGCCCAGACGGACACAGTTGGTATACCCCCATAATTTATCAAACGACCCCTGGTAGCCATCCAGATCCATCTGCAGAAACGGACCATTTGCCCGCTCACCGCCTGTCGCGGCACTGATCAGCACGTCAAATGGCGCTTCTTCCGCAAATAACTGTGACAACGCATCACGGTCACGTACATCACAGGCCCGCAATGCCACCCCGGGCAGTTCGCCAGCCTTCGCAGGGTCACGACTGATTGCCACCACGTGCGCACCCGCCTGCTGCAGCAACAGGGTTGTTGCCAGGCCGATGCCGGACGTGCCGCCAAAAATCAAAACCTTTTTATCTTGCAGTTCCATCTCAACCTCTCCTTAAAACGTTATTTGAGCAGACCCGTCGACAAGTGTCATCCAGTGCGCACCCGGTTACAATGAGACTTCTTATTTGTGAGCGATTGGACCTTAGGTGTACCCGGAAAATAGACTTGACGATGCCTTACGTCGCCTTGCACAGCGACGCTCTGTGAAAGCCATGGATATCTGTGAACCCGGGCCCGAACCTGACGATCTGCAGATGATCCTCAATATCGGAGCACGCGTACCCGATCATGGCAAGCTTGGGCCGTGGCGCTTTGTCTGTTTTCAGGACGATGCAAGAATAGAATTCGGCAACATCCTGGCGGAACGTTACAAAACCCTGAACCCCGAAGCGAGAACACAGAACATTGTTGCTGAACGAAACCGTTTCACGCGGGCGCCCGTTGTTGTCTGCGTCATTGCTGATGTTAAACCTCACGTAAAAATACCCGAGTGGGAACAACAGCTCTCAGTTGGCGCTGCGTGCCAGAATATTCTTGTCGCAGCGTCTCTGGCTGGCTACGCAGCCCAGTGGCTGACCGAATGGTATTCGTTCGACCCTGTTATCAATGCCGCACTGCATTTGACCGAAACGGAGCGGGTTGCAGGCTTTATTTACCTGGGCTCTGCTACTGAAAAGCCTGCAGAACGGGTACGACCCGAACTGCAAGATCGCTTAACCCACTGGTCATCACCAGTGCGCTCAACCGAATAACTGTACAACCAAAAAGAGAGAATCAATCATGCAAGATATAGTCATCGTAGATGCCGCCAGATCACCCGTTGGCAAGAAAAATGGACGCCTTGGCGGCGCCCACCCTACGGATGTCCTGGGCCAGGTCATGATGGGCCTGCTCGAGCGAAATGGTGTTGACTCGGCAGTAGTCGATCAGGTCATTGGCGGTTGTATCAACAAGCTTGCCGCACAAGGCATGAATGTCACCAGAACCGCCTGGCTTGCTCATGGTGGCGCAGTAACTACCCCCTGCATAACCATTGATTCACAATGCGGTTCTTCACAGCAGTCCACCACGCTGGCTCACAGTGTCCTGGCTGCGGGTCATGCAGACATTGTGCTGGCATGCGGTGTGGAAAACATGACGCGTCTGCCTATCGGTAGTGATGCGGTTGGTCGGGATCCGAAAAATGGTAAACCCGTTTCAAAAAGCTACTTTGAGCACCACGAATTCACCAGCCAGTTTGAGGGTTCTGAACGGGTGGCTGAGAAATACGGTATCAATCGACAGGACACAGACGCATTTGGCCTGTTGTCCCAACAGCGAGCACGAGCGGCAATTGACAAGGGCTATTTCAAAAGCCAGATCATTCCTGTAAGCGCGCCAGTGATGGATGCAAATTTCGAAAAAACCGGTGAAACCATCACGGTGACGGAAGATGAGGTTCCACGTGATACAAGCCTTGCCGCGCTTGCTGAACTCAAGCCCGTGGCTCGGGAAAATGGCGTACATACCGCGGGAACATCGTCTCAAATTGCAGACGGTGCCGCGGCGGTTCTGATGATGACCGCCAGCAAAGCGGCAGAACTTGGGCTGCAACCGATGGCCGTCATACGCGCCTCCGCCCTGGTAGGTTGTGATCCCGTCCTGATGTTGGAAGGGCCGATACCGGCGACTGAAAAAGTGCTGAACACAGCAGGACTGGGCATCAATGATATCGATGTTTTCGAAGTCAACGAAGCGTTCGCCTCAGTTGTATTGTCCTGGGCCAAAACTGTAGGTGCAGATATGGCAAAAGTTAACCCGAATGGTGGCGCCATCGCTCTGGGACACCCGCTTGGCGCGACCGGATGTTTCCTGATTGCAAAGGCGGTTCATGAACTACAGCGCACTAATGGCAGGTATGGCCTGATCTCCATGTGTTGTGGCGGCGGGCTGGGCACAGGCACCGTCATTGAACGTGCTGGCGCAGCGTAGAACAGTCGCTCTTAAGTGCGAATGGGCGGTTGGGTTTATCGAATTCACCCGCCTTTTTTCTAACAGCCTTTTTGCCCCGGTGTTTTGTTCAATGTCAGCTAGACTGAGAGCGATACATTCCTTTTCTCGACATCGAGCAACCAATATCTATGTCAATGCGTCTACCAGAACACACTTCAAACCCTGACTATCTGGCGGTACTCGCGGCACTGAATAAAATGCCCGACAAAGCAGCAAAACATCTGAAAAGTGCGTTTGCTCTACTCACAGAAAGAACGGCAACCACACTCGAAGTGTCACGCGCCAACGTCTGGCTGTTTACCGACAGTAGCCGTTCCACGTTACGCTGTATTGACAGCTACAGCTTTCTGACAAAATTGCACAGTGCTGATGGAGAATTGAATATTGAGCAGGTGCCTAACTATATCAAAGCGCTGAAGCAGGAGCGCGTGATCCGGGCCGACGATGCAGCAACTGATGTGCGTACCGCTGAATTTCGCGAGGCGTATCTACCCAAGCACAATATCAAATCAATGTTAGAAGCGCCCATACGTCAGGATGGTGAAGTTGTTGGGGTGATCTGCGTGGAACAGATCGGCAATAAAAGACGGTGGGACGATGCCGAAGCCAATTTTGTTGCCACCATGTCTGACTTCGCCACTATGGCGCTCCTCAGCCACGAGAAAGATCTCGCTGAAAGCGCCTTGATCCAGGCACAGAAGATGGAATCTCTCGGTCGTCTGGCAGGCGGGATAGCGCATGATTTCAACAATATATTGATGGTGCTCTCTGGTGCCGTGGATACTCTGCAGATCAATGGAGGAGATCCCGAATTGCGCCAGCGGATGCTTGTACTGATGAGCGATGCCTGTGAGCGGGCGCAGAAACTGACGCGCAACCTGCTGGCTTTTGGTGGCAAACAGAACCTAGATTTCAAACAAATCAGCACACACAAGCTGTTAAGCGCTATCGAAGGGTTGACCAAAGGTATTATCCGCGAAGATATTCAAGTTCACTTTATTGTGGGCCATACACCTTATTGGTTTGAAGGGGATCAAACGCAACTGGAACAGGTTGTCCTTAATCTGATGATAAATGCGATGGATGCCATGCCAGAAGGCGGCAAGTTGACCATTGAGGCACTGGCACCAGACCACAACAATCTTGTTGGTCTGGCTGTAATAGATACAGGCACCGGCATCTCTGAAGACTGTATCGACCGGATATTTGAACCCTTTTACAGCACCAAGGGTAAATTGGGCACCGGCCTGGGCTTATCCATTTCCTCCGGCATTGTGCAACAGCACAACGGTACTCTGGAGTGCACAAGCAGCTCCGATAAAGGTACGCGCTTCGAAATGAGAGTGCCTCGTGTTTCTCAACGTCAGGAAATCGGTAAAAAGATAGAGCCGGATGGCGAAAATCAGAACAGTCGCGAGCGTATGCGCATCCTTCTGGTGGAAGACGAAGAAAGCGTTCGCGATATTGTCAGCCAGATGTTGTCTGCAATAGGTTATGACGTGAAGATAGCGCAAAGCGCAGGACATGGATTGGCGATACTGGGCCAAGGCTGCATCGACCTGGTGGTATCTGATGTCATTATGCCCGACATGCGCGGCCCCGATCTTTACCAGAGCGCCTTGAAAAAACAGCCCGACTTAAAGGCGCTGTTTGTATCAGGTTACAGCGAAGAACTGACAACAGAACTTACCGCAAACAGCGCAAACGTGGGTTATTTAAGCAAACCGTTCACATTGGCTCAATTACGATCTGCCCTGGGTAAGCTGATGGAAAGTACAGGCGAAAATTAGAAACACTGACTCCTAGTCTCCATTAAAGGCGCGTTTGAACTCACCACTGGGACTATAGGTTGTTGAAGCCGTGTAATAGCCTGTGGTTTTCAACTTCACGGTCACTTCCTCGTCACCGCGATTCTCCCAGAACCATCCGTGAACACCGGAGTAAGGTGCAACGTAAGTACCTCGCTGGATCGCATCTCGACCGACGGAGAAGCTTACTGAGTCTTCCGGCAGCGTGCCCTCTTCTTCACTATGGAAATCAAACACAACCTCACCTTCCGCCTGCCACTCAAACATCATGGCCTGCCCTTCACCCAAGGTGTATTTGTACTCAATAGACTCAAACGGCGCTAACGGAAACTCCACATAATCTGAAACAAACCCTTCGTTTTCTGTAGATAGTGCACTGACCTGGTATCCGGCCATACCAGTAAGGCCCATTTTCGCGCCCACCCCGGTAATATCTATGTTGTACTCCGCAGGCAAAACAAACAAAACAAGGACCAGCGCTGCGACCACAATACTCAGCATGAGTGTCGCGATCAGTTGTTTGGTTTGAACTTCCGTTGAAAGCATCTACCCGCCTTCCTGGGTTTGCACGATATACCGGTTGTGACAGGCAAGGCATACGCTGTACAACTGTGCTCCAGCCTGGAACAGCGCATCTGCGTCTTTTGCCTCTGCAGCGTCTCGCGCTTTAAGCCCGGCGGTAGTTAATCCCCTGGCGTACTCCATCCAATCGCTGTCTTGCGCGTAGCCGGGTATCATCAGCAGATTACCTGATTCTGCAACCACGGTTGCTGCGTTGCGAACGCTATCCCAACCCTCCTGGGTGGTCGGCTGCAAATCGACTTCGCCCGCTTCAGTAACAACATAGCCGGCTGAGTCCCAGAGCACATCCGCCACGGGTTCCAGATGCCAGTTCATGAAATCCAGCACTGAACCGGTAGGTGAAAATTTTATTGGTGTTGTTTCCGCAGGTTCGCTGCACCCTGCCAGACTTGCGATTAGAAGCAGAAGACAAGCGCAGGTTCGGGAGGAAACATTAGATTGTGGTGGCATCAGTTTCATTTGATTGCTCTCTGACGTTCGAGGTGTTGAACCGTCATAATACCATGCTCAAGGCTTCGAACCCCAGGCACCCAAACTCTGAGCAGGAAAAGCTTAAGCCGTAAAACCTAACCAGGCTTTGAATATTGCAGCTACTCTCGGGGTAAATCGTGACCGGTTATATGCATCTGCCAGTCGTTTTAAATACTCAGATCGCGTGGGATAAGAAAACAACGCTTTGCCTGCCGCGCTAAGCCCTAAACGATTGCTCATCAACAGACAGATCGGCGCTATCTGTTCGCCCGCATCGTGCCCGACAATAGTTGCGCCGAGAATTTTATCTGAACCCTTCTCTGTATAAACCTGCGCAAAGCCGTCACCGTTAATTTCTGCTCGCCCACGATCAAGTTCAGCAAAGTTGAATTCGTAACAATCGTAGTCAACGCCGGCAGCTTCGAGATGGTCCGGGTTCTGGCCCACCGATGCCACCTCAGGTTTTGTATAAGTACAGTGCGGTACAACAAGTTTGTCTACCGAAGCGGTTGGTGCAAACAATGTATTCTGCACAATCGCTCGGGCTTGAGCGTCTGCATGATGAGTGAACTGCAGCGTAGACGTGCAATCGCCAGCAGCATAAACCTTCTTATTCGACGTTCGAAGTTTTTTGTCCGTCACGATCAGGCCACGCTCTGTTGTATCGATACCCGCAGACTGCAGATTCAATGTTTCAGTGTTTGGTATTCGGCCGAGCGCCACCAGAACATGTGAGGTGAGTACCTGCTTGCCGTTAACGCTGACACTATGCCCGGGTGCACCATCATCGCGAGCGGCTACAGATTCAACGCCAGCCCCCAGGTGCAGAGTCACCCCAGCGCTTCGCAGCGCCTCTCCTACCGCCTCACTGGCAGCTGTCACCTCTAAAGGTAATACCCTGGGCGCTAATTCGAACAAATGTACTTCAACGTTCAAGCGTGCAAATACAAGGGCAAGTTCGCAGCCAATTGCACCGGCACCCAGGATGGCAAGAGACGCTGGCTTTTCCGTTAAATCGAAGACGCTTTCATTGGTCAGTGGATTACTTTCGCGAAGCCCGGGAATAGGCGGTATCGCGGCCCGCGCACCGGTGCATATGGCGATACGCCGAGCCGGCAATGGTTGATCTCCAACACAGATTTCACCAGCACTGTTAAAACTTGCATCGCCAAGATAGACATCAACGCCGGCTTCGCCATAGCGCGCCACAGAATCGTGTGGCGCTATTCCAGCGCGTACCTCACGCAGCCAGGCAAACGCTTCATCAAAATCAGGATTGTTATGGTGGCCGGTATATTCCAGCAGCGCCTTACTGGGCACACAGCCCACATTCAGACAATCGCCACCCATACGGTGCCGTTCAATCAGTGCAACTTTAGAACCCAGACCAGCAGCTCCGATTGCGGATATCAGACCGGCAGGGCCGGCGCCCACGACAACAAGGTGATAACGCCCCTGCGGCGTGGGATTTACGTAATCCGGCGGACTCAGCAAAGCCGCTGTGCTTGCATCAAACAAGTGGCCAGGATAACTCATTGCGATTCTCCGCCTGCGGTATCTAACTTGTTACTCAACGCATTGGTCGCGATACGTGAAATAACAATGGTAAGTATCAGTGTTGCCACGAGCCCAACATAAAGCGGCCAATTACCTACCGGTGATTCACCCAAGTCACCCGCCAACAAACTGGTCAGATCAGATGCGATTGAACCAAGATATACGTACAACACAGTGCCCGGCATCATGCCGACCCAGGAGACGACAACAAACGTCCAGAACTTCACCGCAGTTAATCCCAGCGCGTAATTAAGTAGGTTGAAAGGGAAAACCGGCGACAGCCGTGTCAATAGCACTATTAAAGCGCCTCGCTCCTGTATAGCGGCATCCAGGGCTGCAAAGCGCGGCAAGCCAACTAACCTCGCGGACACCCAGTCTCGAGCAAAAAAACGCCCGATAAGAAAGGCAAGACTGGCACCTACGACGCTGGAAAATGAAACGATTAAAAAACCGTAACCAAGTCCGAATAGAAAGCCCGCACCCAGCGTCAGCAAACTGCCCGGCAGCAGCAATACGGTGGAGGCGATATACAGGATAATAAAGACGGCCCAGGATACCGTACGGTTTTCATCTATCCAGGCGAAAGCGGCTGCGGCCCAATCCGCCACTGGCAGCAGCAACGCACTGACAAACAACACCACAATCGCAATGCCAAACATAAGGGGTTTGCGCATTAAAGTTGCTCCGCCAGTTCACGCAGGGAAAATTTCTGCACTTTGCCCGTTGAGGTCTTGGGCAAATCGGTGAACACAACGTTTTTAGGCACCTTAAAACGCGCCAGATGAGAACGACAATATTCGATAACGTCGCTATCGCTCAGCGTCTCCCCAGCACGCAGGGTAACAAAGGCACAGGGTGTCTCTCCCCATTTTTCATCACTCTTGGCAACCACTGCAGCTTCCATTATCTGTGGATGTTTGAACAACAGATCTTCAATTTCGATACTGGAAATATTTTCACCACCCGAAATAATAATGTCTTTGGACCGGTCTTTAATCTGAATGTAACCATCCTCGTGCCACACCGCGAGATCGCCAGAATGAAACCAGCCACCCCTGAAAGACTCCTCAGTGGCGCTTGGATTTTTCAGATACCCTTTCATGACATTGTTTCCGCGCATCATGATTTCACCGATTGACTGACCGTCTTTAGGCACTGGCACCAGCGTCTCAGGATCAGCAACCATCAGCCCTTCCAGCATCTGTCCGCCAACGCCCTGACGTGCTTTCAGCACAGCTTTTTCTGCCGGCTCCAGACCACCCCACAGATCGTCACGCCAGGCGCAAAGGGTGACCGGTCCGTATGTTTCAGTTAAGCCGTACACGTGGGTGACATCAATGCCCATATTCTGCATTCCTTCAATGATTGCAGCTGGCGGAGCGGCACCAGCGGTCATCACTTTGACCTCGTGTTGAATCATTTGTTGCAAGCTTTTTTCAGCATTCAGCAGCGTGTTCAAAACCACCGGGGCGCCGCAGAAATGAGTCACCTTGTGCGTGGCGATACTCCTGTAGACCAGTTCCTCACGCACCTGTCGGATACACACACTGGTGCCCGCGTTGACGGCAAGCGTCCAGGGGAAACACCAGCCATTACAGTGGAACATAGGCAACGTCCAGAGGTACACCGGATGCTCTCCCATGTGCCATGTCAGCGCGTTCGATACAGCATTGAGATAGGCACCGCGGTGATGATAAACAACCCCTTTGGGATTCCCGGTTGTACCCGAGGTGTAGTTTAAAGCAATAGCCTGCCACTCATCGTCGGGCAGGAACTCAGCTGCATCCACGGGCACCTCTGCATTCCCACCAAGCAGCAGTACGCCTTCTTCGACCAGCGTCTCGTAGCTATCCTCTCCCAACAGCTTACCTTCATCGCAGGTGCTGTCTGCTATATGAACAAGTTGTGGCGTCACTTCTGCGTCTAACAGCGCCTGCTCTGCCACCAGGCCAAATTCTTTGTCGATAAGGAAAACTTTCGCTTCACCATGAGAGAGAATAAAACCCACAGTGTTCGCGTCCAGGCGCATGTTAATTGCATTCAGGACAGCACCTGCCATCGGCACTGCAAAATGCGCTTCAAACATTTCAGGTAGATTTGCACTCAATATCGCGACGGTGTCACCCTGTTGAACGCCACGCTCGTGCAGTGCTCGGGCTACACAGACGCTACGCTGCCAGACGTCGAGCCAGCTTAGTCGACGCTCCCCATAAATTACCGCAGTTTTCTCTGGATAGATCGCTGCAGCCCGACGTAGAAAAGATATCGGTGATAGCGCGGTAAAATTAGCCTGGGTTTTATCCAGATCGGTTTCGTATATTCCCACAACAGCTCCCGTGTTATACGTTACTCTGAAAGAGTTGAGATGAGCTGGCTGCGCAAAGCAGCCAGACGACGTTCAGGTAGAGCGATGGCGCGCCTTTGCTGCAGATCCATTCGCACTGCCGCCGCTTGAGCTGACACGGCTATGCGACCGTCCCCAGCGTGATACATTAAATGCGCAAACTGCTGAACCTTGGCGCTGACGTCACGCACACCGGAAACAATTTCAAACGTATCGCCGCACAGCAGTGGTCGGTGGTAGTGCATTCTGTATTCCAACACCGCACCGCCCTCCTCTACGGGCGCAGCGGCGTTACTGTCAAGTTCATCAGCCTGATCAAATCGCCCCCATAAATGGGGCATAGCATCCGATACACGGCCCATGTAATGGTGCACCCGCAACTGGTTAGCAGCAGTGCATTCTTCACTGGTCGCCATACCTTTGCCCACGGTAAAGAAACCATTATCAAGGGCCGCCTCCAGGGACAAAGCTGCGTGGGGCAAATCCGCTGGAGATATCCCTCTAGGCTGAGCGTGTACGGGTAATTCTGCGATATCTGCCCGCTTGGTCACTTCCAGCTGCAGACTATGTAAACAAGTACTCAGGGGAGCCTGGCTGTGTGAATGGCGCAATTCTGTTAAAACGTCAACTTGGTCGCCCGTCAAACCGACGATACCCACATACCCTGAAACAGGTGTCGACAGCCGCGCCTCGGCAAGAAACCGAATGTGCTGGGTCTTAAGCGCAGCGATATAGTCGTCGGGGTTTACAACCGGTGGCAAGCCAATAGACGCCGCAGCGGCGCATAAACTCTGCCAATGTTTCTCAACAAAAAAACGCACGTTGAGGTGATCATTTTCATCACACTCCCAACGGTTAACGCTGCCGCGAAAATATAAGTTCATCAGTTTGTGAAGAGCCCAGATATAAAAATAACCGCGACCGCAGGCACAACAACCCAACGCATTAACTGATGCCATAGATTGAATGCGGTTCTACTGACCATGCCAAGCTCCTCTTCAGCTGTTCCAGCGTTAACAAACCAACCCACAAAAAAAGCAATAAGCAGACCGCCCAGTGGCAGCATGATCTGATTTGGGAAATAGTCGATAAAGCCACCCAACGACATACCCAGCAGACTCACACTGGACAAAATGTTGTAGCTCAGCGCGCTGACCACGCCACAGCTGACCGCGACCAGCGTTAATACAGTGGCTGCTTTATGACGCGACCACCTGAAACGTTCTGCCAACCATGCACACAAAGGTTCACACAAACCAACCACTGAGGTGATGGCTGCGACGGACAGTAAAAGAAAAAATATTACGCTCACCCACTGCCCCGCAGGCATTTGCGCAAATGCCGCTGGGAGAGTCTGGAAAATCAGGCCCGTACCACCTGCGGGGTCCAGGCCATTGTGAAAAACCATGGGAAAGATGACAAAACCCGCCAGCAACGCCACTCCGGTATCGGCAATTACAATCAAAATGGCACTCTGAGCGATGGACACGTGTTTCGGCAGATACGCGCCAAACATCATCATTCCCGCCATAGCCACACCAATGCTGAAGAACGCCTGGCCCACAGCAGCAAGGAGCATGGCAGAATTGATTTTGGAAAAATCAGGCGCCAGCAGATAGTTGACGGTTTCCGGCATGCCACCAGCAAAAATGTTGAACAAAAACAGTACCACAAGAAGAAAAAACAGCAGCGGCATCAGTACCTTTGCCGCCCGTTCGATACCCTTTTGGACGCCTTTGTAAATAATAAACCCGGCTACCATCAGCGTCATCAGTGACCAGAAAACAAGCACGTGGGGCCGCGCAAGCAGCGCCGCAAAATGGGCCGTGGATGCATCGGCATCAAAACCAAGCAGTGCGCCACTAACCGACCCGTAGAGGTAATACAGCACCCAGCCGGCAACCACCCCGTATGCAACCAGAATAGAAAAAGCAGTCAGAAGATTCAGGTAACCAATGGCCGACCACCAGGGTGAACGACCATCAACCGCAGCAACCGCAGCCACAGACGCCGGCGGCGTTAAACCACCCCGACGCCCCAGCATCAGCTCGGCCATTAAGATCGGAACGCCAATGCCGAAGGCGCATAACAGGTACACCAGGACAAAAGCGGAACCGCCGTTTTCTCCAGTGATGTAGGGAAAGCGCCAGATATTTCCAAGGCCAACAGCAAATCCCACTGAGGCCATCATAAATCCAAAGCGCGAACCCCACGCCTGCGTAACGCCGGTCATCGTTAACGGCCGCTGAATTCCGGGGCGCGTTTCTCTACAAAGGCGACAGCAGCGCCTTTGTGGTCTTCTGTCATGAAGCAGCGCACCATGTGTAGCGCTTCTCGATCAAAGGTGTCACTGAGTGAACCGCCGTAAGCCGCATTAAGATTCTTTTTCATATACCCCACCGCAACAGTCGGCAAGCTCGCCAGCGAAGCGGCAAATTCCGCAACCGCATTTTCATATTCATCAACCGTCGCGATACGATTCACCAGGCCCATATCCAGCGCTTCTTTGCCAGAAACAACTGCCGCGGTGAAATACAGTTCGCGGGCTTTGGCTTGACCTACAAGATAGGGTAGGAAAAACGAGCCACCATAGTCACCGGAGAGACCCACTTTCGAAAACGCGGTGGTTAATTTGGCAGTATCCAAAGCTATCCGCAGATCACACGCCAAGGCCAAGGCAAATCCTGCGCCAGCCGCTGGACCTGGAATCGCAGCCAACGTGGGTTTGGGCATTTCATGCAGAATGCGCGACAATTCCATACCACTACGTAGATTTTGTGCCCGCCCTTCAAGGTCGAAACCCCGTGGCTTTTTATCACCGCCGGTGGCATCAGAACTCGCTTCAGAAGCAAACCCTTTAACATCTCCACCGGCACAAAAAGCCCCACCGGCACCCGTCAGAACAACACAGCGCACACTATTGTCCGCTGCCAGGCGCGGCAACGCCTCGGTCATGGCGGCCATCATTTCGCCGCTCATGGCATTACGTGCAGACGGTCTGTTCATGGTCAGGGTGGCTACCCCGTTATCAAAGGTTTCGATTAGATGATCGGTCATGGTCCCTACTCCGCTGATGAATGTTCAGGCGCTACCCTATCTCTAGAAACGTAGTAGAACAACCAGCCCGAAACAATCAAAATTGCACCGACCAGGGCTTCAATAGGTCTTTCCCAGACAACAAAAACCAGGGTCCAGAAGGTGATACCCACGTATATCAGCATCGGCCACGGATACCAGGGCACCCGGAACAGATCCGGCGCCGATTTCTCCTTGTGGCGAAGTACCGCGACGCCAATCACCGTTAAAAGTGTATTAAGGGCAAGCGTGAAACTGGCAAATACGAGGATTTTATCGAAGGTTGATGTCAGCACTAGGACCAGCGTTATGGTTGTTTGAAAAGCGATAGCCACCGCCGGCACGCCAAACCTGTTTTCATAGGCCAGAAAACGCAGGGCATGAAAATCCTGCCCAATGACCTGCAGCGCACGGGGTCCAGCAATCACCATGGCACTCACCGTGGAGACGAGCAAAGTAGCTAACATCAAGCCAACAAGCGTGGAGCCGGCTTCCCCAAAAGCAAACCCAGCAACGATATATCCGATTTCAATCTGTCCGCTCATCGCTGACATCGGCGCGACCGATAAAAACATGATGTGCAAAAGGAGATAAAGCGCCATGACCAGCCCGGTGCCTACCAGCAGAATTCGGGGTAGATGACGACCGCCACCGCTGACTTCACCAACAAGGTACGTCGCCGCATTCCAGCCGGTATAAGCATAGTTCACGTAAATGAGTGCAATCGCAAAACCACCACTGGTGATCAAGGTCAAATCTTCTGTTACCGGTGACCAGCGAATCGTCTGCAACCGATCAACCTGCCACCAGGCGGCAATAATGAATAAGACAATCAGGATTACTTTCAACGCAGTGAACAACAGCTGAAAACGTGCGCTGCCGCGTCGGCTACCCAGGTGCACCAATCCCACCAGAACAACCAGGATTGCAGCGGCACCCACAACCGGCACTGCAGGTACGACCGCATTCAGATAGGTCGCGCCGGTAATCGCAGCCAGCGCTGTTGGGGCGGCAAAACCGATGGTGGAAGATATCCAGCCGGATATGAAACCCGCAGCAGGATGATAAATCTGGCTGAGAAAATTGTATTCTCCTCCGGAGCGCGGCAGAGCAGCACCCAATTCTGCGTAACACAGCGCTCCACACAGTGCGAGAACGCCGCCAACCACCCACAGCAACAGGATCACCGGTGCAGACTGAATATCCAGCAGCTGAAACCCCAGACTGGTAAATACGCCAGTGCCGATCATGTTCGCGATGACAATACTGGTGGCGGTATTCACCCCGAATTTTTCTGATTTGTCTGTCAAACGCGCCTCCTTCAGCTATCCTGCGCATCATGACAGATCCCTACACAATACGCGCGATTGAAGCACAGGACCTGGAAGCCATGGTTGCCCTTCTGCCACAACTTGCAGACTTTCCCGTGCCTGAACGGCGCAATCCCAATGATCTGTGGCAAAGCGATGCACAACTCTTGAGTGAGGTAGTCGCCGGGGCCACGACCAAAACATTTGCTGACGTTATTGTAGACACAGCCAACCGGCCGCACGGTCTGGTGCTGATAACTCTACGCGAGGAACTGATGAGTCACGCACCCAGCGCTCATCTTGAGGCTATCGTCGTCAGTCCGGAAAAGCGCGGTAACGGACTGGGACAGAAGCTCCTTCAACATGCAGAGCAGGCAGCTGCTCGGCGCGGAGCCCGCAGTTTGAGCTTGCACGTATTCAGCAACAACCTGCGCGCCCGTGGCCTTTACGATCAGGCGGGTTACGACAGTGAGTTGATACGCGCAATCAAATGGTTCGACTAGGCAATACGTCGGGTAAACGGATTCAAACGCCAATCTTTTCCCGCGGATTCACACGAACCTGAAGCGTAATGTGCCGAAATAGCCCGACGAAAATCTTTGCTGCGATTACGGCCTGAGCCGTGAATCAGCAACGGATGAAATAGCAGCGTGTCGCCGGGCGCCATTTCCACATGCACACGTGCTTCGACGTCGACATCATTGAGGCCAAAAAAACCATAGTTCACATAATCCCAATCAGGACTTTCGTGTGGCAACAGGTCCTGTTTGTGAGATCCGGGAATAACAGCAAGGCATCCAGCTTCCCGCGGCGCGGGTAACAAAGCGGTCCACACACCAATTATCTGGTCCGCGGGTCTGAGCTTGAAATACCGCAGGTCCTGGTGCAATGGATGACGACCGTCCACCCCAGGCGGTTTATTGAAAACGTTGGAGCTGAGGCTGTACAGCTCTTTGCCAAGCAAGCTTTGAACAGCGCCAACAAGCTCGGGGCGCCGGGCAAATTCGAACAGATCCGGGTCTTCTTCCAGACATAACAGCTTGTTGACACCATGGACTGGTGATTCCGGGGCAACCGCTCCTTTTACCACCATCACATCCTGCATAATTTTCATACCATCAGACAAAGGCACTTTGCCGTTGACGAGATCGACAAACCGCTGGTTAAAAAGGGAAAGTAGTTCTGGCCCGATCAACCCGGGCAACAACAGGTAACCCTGGGACCAGTAGCTTGCACATTGCTGTTCCGTGAGATGTTCTGTGAGCGGCATTGTCATCACCTTCAACCTTTTAACTAGGACAACTGCTACTGTTACACTGCCACCTTTCACAAACAAATAAAACAGGTGTGCTATGACAGATTACCCCCTCCCTAATACCAGCCAGGACCTATCTGGACAGGTTGCACTGGTTACTGGCACCACGTCTGGTCTTGGCCGCAGATTTGCCCAGGTGCTGGCCAGCTGCGGCGCAAAAGTTGCCATCACCGGTCGCCGGGTCGAGCGCCTGGAAGCCCTCGCTGAGGAGTTACGGGCCACAGGCGCAGAGGTCGAGCCCATTGCTTTAGATATGCGCGATAGCGAAGCGATTGTTGCCTGTGTTGAACAGGCGGAGGCCGCCCTGGGGACAGTGACCATTTTAGTCAACAACGCCGGTATCCCCGATGCTCAGCGTGCACACAAAATGGACAATCAACTGATTGACGATGTATTTGATACCAACCTGCGTGGCCCCTATGTGTTGTCTTGCGAAGTCGCCAGACGCCTGATTGCTGCAGAGCTCCCGGGCCGCATGGTGAACATTTCTTCCGTAGGTGCTTTTAACTATGCAGGTCAGGGGGCTGCACTTTACTCCATAACCAAAGCCGGAATAATCAGAATGACCGAAGCGCTCGCTGTTGAGTGGGCCCGCTACAACATCAATGTGAATGCCATTGCCCCTGGTGCATTCGCATCAGAGATGATGGATGGCATGCTGGAGCGCATGGGTGACATCAGCAAAATGTTCCCCCGTAAAAGAATCTGCGATCCCGCGCAAATGGACAGCACTCTGCTCTATCTCGTTTCACCCGCATCTGAGGCAGTGACCGGCACATTTATCAAAATTGATGATGGACAGGGCTCACGGTGAGTGAAGTGCGGTACTTCGGGAATTACTAGCTGACATTCTCCTCTCCTCACCTAAACTTCAATCAGAGAGAGGGGAATTTATGTTCAGACCAATGATAACCATCCGGTACAGCCTGCTTGTGACTGTCTGTTTACTTACAGCGGCTTGTACTAGCCAGCAGGAGGCCCAAATGGCATCGACCTATAAAGCGCCAAACGCCTGCCCCGAGGGTAAAGTCCGCTATTGCGATTCACGGAGCCAGCGGAGATGCGGCTGCATCACACAAACTGAGGTCAAGGACTTCATGGCAGCCTTTTAAGCACCTGCAGCCAGGACTACTGGTCACTGTCGGGACAATCCAGAGCATTTATCCCAACGCTAGAGTTGATGCGCTTTGTACCTGCAATGACTTGTAAAACATCGAAGCGGAAACAATGACAAGGTAGCCACCAAAAAGTCTTTTCAGGCGGACTTCATTAAGCCTGTGCGCCCATCTTGCACCTATAGGTGCAGTCAAAACCGATGCAGTGCAGATGGACAATAATGCCGGCAGGTTTATATATCCTAATGACCCGAACGGGAGATCATCGACGTGCCAGCCCAAAATCAAAAAACCAATCGCGCCTGGTAAACCAATAATAAAACCTACACCCGCCGCAGTGGCAACTGCCTGATGAACAGGTCGGTTACACATCACCATCGTCATCACCGTTATTGTTCCGCCACCGATCCCGAGCAAGGCAGAGAACCCACCTAAAAAAGATGCCAGCGCAGCACGGAAAATCCCGGTTGGCATCGAGAACGATTTTGTTGCTCCAGCAAAGAGATTGGGAAACAAAAAGTAAATAGAGTACCCCAGGACGCCCACAGCAAAGATTATAAAGAGATTCTCGCCATTGGTTACCGACGCAACAAGCAGACCCACGCCCACCCCCAAAACCAACCAAACGGACCAGGAGCGCAAGACTGAAAAATCCACAGCGCCATGAACTCGATGTGATTGCACAGACCTGGCAGAAGCTACCACTATGGAAGCCAGAGAAGTGCCTATAGCCACGTACATCAACTGCCCTTCAGCCTGATCGAACAAAGAGAACACGCCAACGAGTGCCGGCACTACGACAAACCCTCCGCCATTTCCAAACAGCCCTGCTGTTATCCCCGCTATCGCTCCCGCGGCACCCAGCGCAAAGAACAGCCATACTAATTCGATCGTCAATGCATCTGGCACGCGCTGAACTCTCCTTAAAGAGAATGAAACTTCTCAGCGTATAAAGATCCAAGAAACGTGCCAAACCCAAAATCGTATTCTGACCCTTTAGCATTTTGTTAAGGCGGCTTTCGCAAGCGCCTAATATATAGCGTTAGAACAGGATCACGCACCAAACAAAGTACTCGACACAAATAGTGCACAGACAGAGTGCGAAACACAGGACCTCCCCCCTACGTTATGCTTCGGCATCGCTTGTATCAACGCGCCCCATAACGACGCGCAAATTTTCCCAAGTGGCGTTTTCTTGAACCTGACTCTAAAAATTGGCACCGCAAGCGTGCAAGCGCACCAAACACCCTCACGACTGCGCACCAAAAAGGAGACCTGAAAGACACCCACCAGCACATAAAGAAATCGGCACGCTCCTTGCAAATTCATCGCTGAGCACACGTTGAATGCGGTGCCAGGTTTTGGTGTCAGGGAGTCATCAGATAAAAAATAAATGCCTATATAGGTTGAACAAACAAGCTAACAGGAGTCCCGTTATGTATTTAGGGAAAGCTTTATTCACAAGGATCAGTCTCCTTATTCTGGGGTTAGGATTTTTTTCCCAGTCTGCAGTAGCGCAGGACACTGCATCAGAAGAGGTTTCTATAGAAGAAGTAGTGGTCACAGGTGTGCGGGGAAAACCGCGAACAGTTATGGATTCTGCTGTGCCAATCGATGTGTTTGGGCAGGAGGAAATAGCATCGGTCTCGCACAGTGATACGCACGATATTCTGCAAACGTTGGTACCATCGTATAACGTTGGCCGCCAACCCATCAGTGATGGCAGCACTTTTATCCGACCGGGTTCTTTGCGAGGTTTACCCTCTGACAAAACACTTGTGTTGGTTAACTCCAAACGCAGGCATCGAGCCTCACTTGTATCAATTGGGGGCTCCGGCACCCAGGGACCAGACGTCGCTACAATTCCTGCGGTAGCAATCAAAACCATAGAAGTTCTGCGCGATGGAGCAGCAGCTCAATATGGTTCAGATGCCATTGCCGGCGTCATCAACTTCATCTTGAAAGACAACAATGAAGGATTCAGTTTCACTGTTGATACCGGCGAATATTTCGAAGGCGATGGGCTGCAAACAACCATCCAGGCCAACGCTGGCTTTAAAATTGGCGAGCGTGGTTTTTTAAGCGTATCGGGGGAATATGCGGATGCTGAATTCAGCGAACGCGCGGAACAATACTGCGAATCCTGGTTCTGCTTAAATCAGAACAGCTCTCGTTATAATCCCGAAGCAGGATATGTGGCGTTCACTGAAGACCCAATTTTCCTCGCCGGAGTTCCTCAAGCATCGCTAGAAGGAGGTTTTGTACAGCCTTGGGGGCAACCCAATTCCGAAGCCCTGCGATTTTTCTACAACGCAGGCTACGAACTGGGTGATGGTGCGGCAGAGCTGTACAGCTTTGGCAGCTATTCAGCCAGCGAAGGCGACGGTGGGTTCTTTTATCGTTATCCAGGCAACGGTACGATCGAAAACCTGCGCTTAGAAGATGGCTCCGTTTACAGCCCGCTGGAAATTTTTCCCGGTGGATTCACGCCTAGGTTCGAAGGTGAAATAGAAGACTATTCATTTGTCGCTGGTATTCGTGGCGCGTTTGGTGAAAGTGCCGGGTACGATGCAAGCTTTCGTTATGGTTACAACGAGATATCTTACACGCTCAACAACACAATCAATCCCTCGCTGGGTCCAGATACACCAACATCGTTTAAGCCCGGCGACTTAAGTAACGAAGAGGTTCAGTTCCAGGTCGACGTGTACCAGGATTTTGATCTTGGTTTAGCAAGTCCGGTCACCGTAGCCGTAGGGGCAACATTTATGGACGAGACCTACGAAGTGATTCAGGGACAGGAACTGTCTTACATTCCCGGACCTTTTGCGAGCCAGGACCCTTTTGGGTTCTGCAGTGACGAAGCGGATGTATTGTCGCGCAGTGCTACAGCAGCGGGCCTTGCGGTTATTGGAAATGGTTCATCATTGGATTGCACCGCGGCGTCTGACCCGGTGTACCGCGTTGTTGGCGTTGGCTCGAATGGTTTCCCTGGTTATTCCCCTGAATTTTCCGAGGAATACACCCGCGATTCTTATGGAGTCTATCTAGATGTCAGCGCGGACATCACCGATCGCCTGTTCATGCAGAGTGCCATTCGCTATGAAGACTACTCTGACTTCGGCACTGAAACTGTTTGGAAAGTCGCTGGAAGATTTACGGTGACAGACAATTTTGCCATTCGCAGCTCAATTGGTACTGGCTTCCGTGCTCCAACGCCAGGTCAGCAAGGTACTACTAACGTATCTACACGCCTACCCAACGGATTCCCAGTTGCCACGGGGTTATTCCCAGCGGGCAGTAGTGTTGCGCAAGCACTGGGCGCAAGCGACCTCAAAGCAGAAACATCTGACAATTTCACACTAGGCTTCACGGCCGACATCGGCGAATTAGGCCTGACCCTGGATTTCTACAGCATTGATATCGCAGACCGCGTCTACGCAGTATCAACACTGGATGTTTCAACTGACCCCACAAGTGGCAGCGCGTTTGACAACTATCAGGCTCTTGTGGGCGCAGGTGTTGCAGGTGCAGAATCAATCGGCGGAGTGTTCTACTTTACTAACGCATTCGACTCAAGCACACGGGGTGTTGACCTGGTTGCCACCTACCCTCTGGATTTTGGAGAAGCAGGTACTACAACGCTGACTGCCTCGGTAAATTACAATCAATCCGAACTGGATTCCGACGCCAGCGCGTTCTTAAACGGCGAAGATCAGTTTGATTTTGAAAACCGTGACCCGGAGATTCGCGGCGTATTCACAGCCAGCCACAGCGTTGGGCCTGTCTCGATCCTGGGGCGCATGCGCTACTTCGGTGAATCTGAAGATGCGGACAGTTCACCTGCCGGGTCTGTTCAGAAGTTTGATGCACTGACCTTCTTTGACCTGGAGGCTGCCTACCAGATCAATGAGAACTTCCGTGTGACCGTCGGCGGGCGGAACATTTTTGATGAGTATCCAGACAAGGTTGATCGAGCAGTGAACGGCAACGACTATTGTTGTGGCCGAGTCTACGCGTCAACCTCTGTTGCAGATTGGCAAGGCGGGTATTACTACCTTCGGCTAAACGCGGATTTCTAGCTCTGTCCTTTTGCAGGTATAAAAAGGGCGCCAACTGGCGCCCTTTGCTTATCACTCCATTATTCAGAACTTTCAGTAAGCGCTTGATATGTAGCTATTTTTAAATCCGAGCGGAACGGGTACGGAGACCCCATCAGCTGGATCATCCCCACCACAACCACGTCTTCAACGGGGTCAATCCAGAACACCGTTCCAGCTGCGCCACCCCAGTTGAACTCACCATTGCTACCCAAAACACCCGCAGCCACGGCATCGGTAACCAGGCCAAAGCCAAGACCAAAGCCGAAACCTACGCCGTTGGTAGTAGCCCCCAACAACGTTGGTTGCTCGCCATTACCGCCAGCCACAATACTGGCCGGCAGGTGATTCTGTCGCATGTAATTAACGGTTTTCGGGCTCAGAATCCGAACGCCGTTGAGCTCGCCACCATTACGCATGGCTTCAGCAAACTTCATGTAGTCCATCGTGCTTGACACAAGACCGCCGCCACCGGAAAACAAAGTAACTTTCTTATAGTCCTGCATGGCATCAGTGCCGCCTTCAGGGATCTGTGTCAGCGCTCGGGTTTTTGGATCGATATAATGATTGGGCAGAAATCTATCAAGTTTATCCGCAGGTACTTCAAAGAATGTGTCTTGCATGCCCAGAGGGGTAAAGATGTGCTCTTCAAGGTACTCATCAAAAGGCTGGCCGCTGATGCGCTGTACCACCAAACCAGTGACGTCTACTGCCACAGAGTAGTGCCATTGATCACCCGGGTTAAATTTCAAAGGTATTTGAGACAGCTTAACGGCAAAATCATCCAGATCTTTTGCAGCCCAGAGCTTTGCGTCGACGTAGTATTGATCAACCGGATCTCCTTTTGGATTAAATCCGTAGGAAAATCCCGCGGTGTGGGTCAGCAGCTGACGCATGGTCATTTCACGCTCTGCGGGCACCTGCTCGCCGTCTGCATTGAGCACCTTCAAGTTTTTCAATTCTGGTACAAACTTAGAAACCGGATCCCACAGAGCGAATTTACCCTGCTCGTACAACTGCATTGCTGCGGCCGCGGTGATGGGTTTTGTCATGGAATAGATGCGAAACAGATCATCTTTCTGCAGGGGTGTTGAATCGTCTGCACCACGCTGACCAACCGCTTCAAAATGTACAATTTTGCCTTCACGGGCAACCATTGTAATCACGCCAGCCAGTTTGCCTTCATCAACGTAGGCCTGCGTGACTTCTGTAAGCCGCTGCAGTCGCTCAGTGGAAAAGCCTTCCCGTTCGGGTTTCACATTGGGTAACGGTTTAGCTGAAACGCTGGCGCTTAGCGACAGCGTTATAACCACCATCAATACATTTCTTAACATTTATCTCCCCTCACAAAATTATTTTAAAGTTCTACTTATCCCGGTACTTACCCGGACGCTTTTCAAAGAATGCCTCGACTGCCTCAGCATGGTCTGGTTCTGCGTGGCAGACAGCCTGGAAAGTTGCCGATTTATCTAACAACTCATCCAATGATGAATTTTCACTAGCGCGCATAAGTTGTTTCGTCAGGCGGACGGCGTGCGGTGGATTGGCGGCAATACTGGTTGCCAGAGCAATGGCTCTGGTGAGCAGATCTTCAGGCTCAACCACCTCAGAAACCAGACCCATCTGTAATGCTTCCGCAGCTTTCACTGGTTCACCGCTGAAAGCCATTTTACACGCATTGGAATAGCCTACTGCACGAGGCAGAAACCACGCTCCGCCGTCGCCAGGAATAATACCCAGTTTGACAAAACTCTCAGCAAACATGGCTTTTTCACTGGCGATTCGTATGTCACACATGGTCGCCAGGTCACAGCCGGCACCCACAGCAGGGCCATTAACCGCAGCGATGATCGGTACATTCAGCGCATGTACGGCGCGTGGGATGCGCTGGATGCCACGGCGATAGGCATCAGCTTGATCAAAAGGGTCGCCGGAGAACAAACCCGTACGATCCCGCATATCTTTGACGTTGCCGCCCGCACAGAAGGCTGAGCCTGCGCCAGTCAGCACAACGCAACGCACCGACATATCATTATTTATGTCGCGGCAGGTCTGCTCAAAATCGTCAAACTGATCATCTCCAGTCAATGCATTGCGGGTATCAGGGCTGGACATGGTCAGCACCAGCACATGGCCCTCACGACTCTGTTCAAGAAAACTCACGCTTGTTCTTCTCCAAAAATTAAATGGTTACGCAGTGTGCGCAATTTCGCCAGGAGTTCAAGAGAACTCTAAGCAGGCAAAAAGGATGATTGCCGATAGCGCAGCATCTGACCCGCACCCACAGCGGTGTGCTTTGAGTCCTGGTAGGCCACGCGTCCGTTGACCACCACACAACTAACACCTTCGGGTTCCTGCTGAGGCTCGTCATAGGTCGCTGTATCAATCACCGTTTGAGGATCGAACATCACCAGGTCAGCCCAATACCCTTCCCTCAATTCGCCGCGATCCAGCAGTCCAAACGTCTTTGCGGACACTGACGTCATGCGTCGCACCGCTTCAGGTAAAGACAGCACGCCGCGCTGCCTGACATAACGGCCCAAAACGCGTGGAAAGGTGCCGAACAACCGTGGATGTGGCCGTCCGCGCAGATCAGGAATGCCATCTGAGCCCACCATCATGTCGGCATGAGCAAGATTTGTTTCAATGTCGTGTTCATCAATAATGAAATGTATACAGATGGTGCGCTCCCCTTTGGGTGCGGTCAGAATCTGTTTAACCACATCTTCTATACTGCGACCTTCGGCTGCGGCGATATCTTTAACCATCTGCCCTTCGTATTGTCTGAACGCGGGACAGGAGGCAATTCTGACCACCTCGGCAAATTCTGTATTGATCCTGTCGAGGTTGAAGTACTCGATCATACGACCGCTGCCCGCTGTGTAGGGATAAACATCTAATGTCACCCGCTGCCCAGCCTGCAGAGCCGCATCTACTTTTGCCAACGAGGCAACAACTTTGCCCCAGTTAGGCTTGCCTGCAGCTTTATGATGAGAAATATGCAGATGCACACCCGCCTCTAAACCGATACGCAGACTTTCATCAACAGCGTCCAGCAGGAGGTCACCTTCGTTACGCATATGAGTTGTATAAAGGGCATCAAATGCGGCAGCTTCACTGGCCAGCGCAATCACCTCTTCAGTATCACTGAATCTCCCAGGCCGATATATCAATCCGCTGGAGAAACCGCAGGCACCTTGTGCCAGAGCATTAGCCACATGCTGCTGCATTTCCAGTAACTGGCTGGCTGTGGGTGCAGACTTTTCGTTGCCCATAACAAGCGAACGTACAGTATTGTGCCCGACCAGCATCATATTGTTGATGGCTGGTTCGCGCTTCAACACGGCGGCAAAGTAGCCTTCCAGATCGGTGAATTCCCCTGCCAGCCCGGCCAGGATGCCACCACTTGCTGCCACTGAGTCTTTAGCCGGGTCTGCGGGGATCGCGCTGAATCCACAGTTGCCACTGACAACAGAAGTAACACCCTGAGCGAGTTTGAAAGCCATGTCCGGGTGACGAAAGAAGGCACCGTCGTCATGAGCATGGGTATCAATAAAACCCGGCGCTAAAACTTTACCGTTACCGTCAATTTCGACTTTTCCAGCCCCGACTGTGCCTATCGCAGCAATGCGCCCATCGTTAACAGCCAGTTCACCCTCGACTGCAGGGGCGCCTGTACCATCAAGCAATTGTACGTTTTTGAAAACCAGATCAAACATGCATAGACTCCCAGATCTCGGCTCCTAGCAATCTACAAGCCATATTGATTTTTTTCGGTGCGGATCCACTCGCCGACCTTTTCGCCGATCATAAAACACGTCAAATTGGTATTCGCACGCGGTACGGCCGGCATGATAGACGCATCCGCAACAACAAGCTGATCGACGCCGTGCAGTTTACACCTTGCATCCACCACGGCTAACGGATCATTTTCGGGTCCCATCTTAGCTGTGCCGCAAGGATGATATCCCGAACCGGCAAATTTCCGGCAAAGCGCTTCGATGGCCTCACGGCTCTGACCGCGACCTGGGTCCGGGAATTTAACCGCCGCAATCATATCCGCGAGCGGCGCGGCCTTGGTAAATTGCAGCGTATCGAGAACACAACCAGCCAGAATCGCACGGTCCCGTTCATCAGCACAAAAATGATTCTCAATAACCGGCGCCTGATGGGCATCTGCAGAGGTAAATCTTAACTGCCCACGACCGTATTGATATTCCAGCACTGGTGCCAGTAAAAACATCGGTGGACCACCGCGTCGACCGGCAAAACTGATCTGTTCGATCTGCAGGTCACAACGATGTTCCGAGTGCTCGCCGGTGTAACGCAGAATAGTCTGGATAATCGGAGCATCAAAATTTATCAGACTGGCATCTTTGACTTCACACAGAACCGATAATGCCGGGTGATCCGACAAATTCTTACCCACGCCGGGGACATCCCGGACCAGATCAACACCAATATCCGCGACCTCCGCGCGGGCGCCGATACCACTGCGCATCAAAACTGACGGTGTCATCAGCGCGCCTGCGCTGAGGACAACCAGCCGTGCAGAAATTTCACTGACCGCACCTGTCTCGTCCTCGACTTCGACCCCGCAACATTTGCCACCGACAATCAGCAATCGACGTACCAGGGTGTTTGGAACAATGGTTAAATTTTCCCGGATTCTGGCGCTCGCCAGATAGCCCACCGCGCCCGATATCCGCACCCCGTTGAGCTTGTTCATCGGCTGTGGTCCGGCACCCCAGGCCCATGGGTCATTGGCATCTGGACAATCCGGATAGCCCAGGTCAGCGGCGCTCTGCAGGAATGCCTGGTGCGCGGGCAGCAGTTCGTCGGTTGGATAGCGGCGAATTGATATAGGCCCGCTGTCACCATGGTAGCTGGCATCGGGATAATCCAGATCACGCTCGAGTCGTTTAAAGGCGGGCAACACGTCCTGCCAGGACCAGCCGTCATTGCCGGCAGCTGCCCAGGCGTCATAGTCCTCCGGCAAGCCCCTCAAAGCGATTGTTGTATTCACGGCGCTCGACCCACCCACAACCCGGCCACGTGGAAAACGATCTTTGCGGTGCGGGGTTGGTGAATACTCCATGCCCCAATCGTGAGCAGTGTAGGAATTATTGTGTCCGTTGCGCAGATCGTGAGGCAGTTGTGTCAGATCGGGGTAATCAGGCCCCGCCTCGACCAGGCCCACTGAAACGGTAGGATCTTCGGAAACACGGGCAGCAATTGCGCAACCTGCGCTGCCGGCACCCACTATCAAAACGTCAAACATATCCCCTCGATACACTACTCCTGAACTGATGGCATAATACGCGCAATCACAGCACTGGGGCAAAAGGGGAGAAAATGAATTCTAAACTATGTGAGAGCCTGGATATTGAGTTTCCGTTATTCGCGTTCAGTCATTGTCGCGATGTGATCGTCGAGGTGAGCAAAGCGGGAGGTTTTGGTGTTCTCGGCGCAGCCGGCCATACTCCGGAAAGTCTGGAAATCGAAATGAACTGGATCGATGAACACATCGACGGCAAGTCATACGGCGTCGATTTGATTGTGCCAAACAGCATCGATTCCAAAGAAAGCAGCAACCTGTCTCCGGAAGATATCGAAGCAAGAATACCGCCGGAGCATAAAGCCTATGTCGAATCGATACTGGCACAGGCTGGCATCGATACCCGGGATCTCTGGCAGCGTCCCAAGGCGGGTTACGGCGACAATATGCGCGAAACGGGTGCGAACGCCATTCTTGACGTTGCCTTCTCCCACCCTATTAAAATGATTGTAAATGCGTTGGGCGTGCCGCCACTGTTTATGATGCAGCGTGCTAAACAAGCGGGCGTCGCCGTTGGTGCGCTGACGGGTGCTAAAGAACATGCCATTAAACACTGCGAATCCGGCGTTGATGTATTAATCGTTTCTGGCACCGAAGCGGGTGGCCACTGCGGCGAAGTCTCTACGCTGGTACTGGTTCCTGAAGTGCTGGACGCTATTGGCGATAAGTTTCCCGATGTTGCTGTGCTGGCAGCAGGCGGCATCGTGACGGGTAAACAAATGGCCGCCTGCATGGCCATGGGCGCTCACGGCGCCTGGTGTGGTTCGGTGTGGCTGACAACATCTGAGGCCGAAACCAATCCTGCTGTTAAAGAAAAGATGTTGTCTGCAAACTCAAGACAGACCGTACGCTCAAAAAGTAGAACGGGTAAATACACCCGTCAACTGCGTTCACAGTGGACCGATGCCTGGCAATCTGAGGATGCACCCCCGCCGCTACCTATGCCCTTGCAGTCACTGGTCAGCGAGCCGGCTTTGCGCAAGATAGACAAATTGGCTGAATCTGGCGATGCAGGTGCACGCAACCTTGCTACTTACTGGGTGGGGCAAGGCGTAGGCTTGATGAATACGTCTGTCAGTGCACGTACTGTCGTCTACGACTTCATGGAAGATTATGCTGCTGCGGTAGAGCGACTTGGCAATACCGTCGCCTGAAGCAACGGTTCGCAATACAACCCTGCTGGTGCTCTGCGGTGGCGCCGGGCACCGCATGCAGGGTCAGGACAAACCGCTTTTACCCTGGCACGGCGTTCCTATGGTGCAGAGAATTCTGACCACTGTACCTGCTGAGATGCCAAAACTGATCAGCGCAAACCGCAATCTGGATACCTATCGCCAATGGGCACCGGTGGTCACCGACCTGCCTGTGACAGCTGAAGCAGAGGATTACCAAGGCCCGCTGGTCGGTATCTTGAGTGGTCTACATGCCTGTAACACGCCCTGGTTATTAGTCTGTCCAGGAGACACGCCGGCGCTACCGATGAACTGGTGCGATGTGCTGATGCAAAGCGTGGATGGCCATGTTGATGGTGCGGTAGTCCACGATGGAGAGCGTCAGCAGCACTTACACCTGCTACTCAAATGCGACGTGGAGAAAGATCTGGAGAGGTTTTTGGCAGCCGGTGGCTACCAGGTGTACAAGTGGTTGCAGACGATGCAGCTGTCGACGGCCAGATTCGCAGACCGCATGGCGTTCCGCAACATGAACTCACCCACGGATCTGGATTACCCGGCTGCCTGAGGGTTTGGAAAAGTATCGCTTTCTTCTTCCCCCGCTCTGGGCGTGATACAGGTGAAGTCTTTTTCAATCAACACGCTGACAGCACCAATCTGTAGGGGTGTTTCACCGCTATAACCTACCTGCTCAGAAGATGCCCAGCTGTGCGCCTGAGCAGCAACGACCTGCACAACGATCTCGGCAAGATCCGACTCTCGCCGCATGTATATATTGTTAGATGGCCCGGTAACCAGCTTATAGCTCAGGGCGGAACCATCGGGCAGATGCAACGTTTCCGCAACGCTTTGTGCGGCGCCGACCGCATCCACCTCAGATCGAGTGAGGCGCAACCGCAGGGTGTCGCCTCTTAAACGTAGTTTCAAGTGTACTCTTCTTTATTCTGTCGCCATTTGCGCCTGAATGTAGTTCTGCACACCCGTTTTTGCAATCAATCCCTGCTGGGTTTCCAGCCAGTCAACATGCTCTTCTTCGGAATCAAGAATTTCCTGCAATAAGTCGCGACTGCCGTAGTCTTTAACTTCTTCACAGAAAGTAATGGCTGCGCGCAGATCGGGAATCGCTATCATTTCTAACTGCAAGTCAGCGGCAATGACCTCTTCCACATTCTGGCCGATCATCAATTTGCCCAGATCCTGCAGGTTCGGCAACCCCTCGAGGAACAGAATGCGCTCAATCAGCACATCCGCGTGCTTCATTTCATCAATGGATTCGTGATGCTCGTGGGCAGCCATACGCAGCAGTCCCCAGTCTTTCAGCATCTTTGCGTGCAGAAAATACTGATTAATGGCCGTCAGTTCATTCTTCAGGATAACGTTCAAATGCGTGATGACACCCGGGTCCAGTGATTTCATAGAGATACAGTCTTAGTTAATGTGCGCAGATGATGCCTGAGGTAACTTCACACAGCAAGTCGCATGTTCTCTAAACCATTGATTTATAACAATAATTAATCTCATCAGCAGACGGTAATCGCAGACAAAAAGTTATTGCTATCGAGAATGATTTGCATTTACACTAAGCGCTAACGTTCAAAGGCAGTCAAGCGAGAACAAAATCGTCATGTATGTTTGTATTTGCAAAGCGATATCAGATCAGGACATAAAAGAGGCCGTTAACGAGGGTCTTGAAGACCTTAATGCCATTCAGCTGCACCTGGGTGCCGCAACAGGCTGCGGCACATGTATAGAGCACACTCAACAGGTCATCGAAGAAACCCTGGCACACAAACTGTTCTACGCGGCCTAATAATCTATCTGGTCGTCTACCGCATAGCCGCGTTGCGGAATAAGCATCGCTCTATCGAAGCTGATCACCTCCACCCTCTCCTGCTTAAAGCCAGTGGTTTTCACACGCACAATGCCCTGATTTGGTCGAGACGCAGAAGCACGTATCTCGGTAACCTCTGACTCCGCGTAAAGGGTATCACCTATGAATACCGGCCCCGAAAGCCGCACGTTATCCCAACCCAGGTTCGCGATGGTCTTCTGCGAGATATCAGAAACTGACATGCCCGTTATGATCGATAGCGTCAAACAGGAGTTCACCAGCACTTGGCCAAACTCGCTTTTTGCTGCGTACTCGCGGTCGAAATGCAGGGGGTGCTGATTCATAGTCAGCAATGTGAACCAGGTATTATCAGTTTCGGAGAGCGTGCGTCCGGGTCGGTGTTCATAAACGTCACCCACCCTGAAGTCTTCCAGATAGCGTCCAAAAGATTCCCGATAACGTTGTTCTCCAACCTGTTTTGCTTCAGCCACCATATTTTCGCCTTCCTATAAGTTATTTCTTGCACACGGGCATCACAGAGAGGCAGCATAGCTGGGCACAAGTGGTGGAACAAATTTATGGCAAACCCAGCTCCAGGCTTTGACCTTCATCCAGGCTATCAGCTTAAAATCACACCCATGCAGGATACCGTCAGTGTTGAGGTGAACAACCAGGTTATTGCGCGCAGCAACCGGGCTGTACTCGTCGAAGAAACCAAACACAAACCTGTCTGGTACATGCCGCTGGCGGACATCGATGCGGGTGTGCTGAAACACAGTGATACCAGCACCTACTGTCCGTTCAAAGGCCAGGCCAGTTACCGATCAGTGGCTGTGGCGGGGAAAATTTTAGAAGATGCGATTTGGATTTATGAAACCCCCTTTGACGAGTGCGCGGCCATCGCAGGCTACGCCTCCTTTTACACCAACAAAGTAAACCTTAAAGTTGCTGGTGCTGCCGTCGACAACAGTGGACCTGGCAGAGCGTAAACCTGATATACCGGGTCAGCGCCCCTGATATACCGGTGTGCGCTTTTCAAGAAACGCTGCTACACCCTCTTTCGAATCTTCAGTTGCCCGCAGGCGGGTAATCTGTTCAATTGCCCACCTGCCGGTATCGCGCCAATCGGGCTCTACCGTGCGCCGCAAACCTGCTTTCAAAGCCTGCACCGCAAGCGGTGGGTTCTGAGCGATTTTCTGCGCCAGTTCGAGCGCTGTCGGCATCAGTTCTTCGTGGGGCACACATCTTCCAACCAGACCAATCTTCTGCGCGGTTTCTGCATCAATAATATCGCCGGTGAACAACATTTCTGCCGCTTTCTCGCGTCCTACCAACGCAGCCAGCCGGCCTAATCCAGGCGCGTCACAACATAACCCGCGAATGACAAAAAGCTCACCGAATTTAGCGTTTTCAGATGCGACACGCATGTCTGCCATTAAAGCCAACTCCATCCCCCAGCCGACTGCCGGGCCGTTAATGGCGGCGATGACAGGAATATCTGTGTGTAACAGGGCATCTGCTGCAGGTGTTAAGCCGCCCGTCGCCTTAGCCCGATCACGGAATTCAGCCGGCGCTGGCTCTGGATTACCCAAAATCTGTTTGACGTCATCCCCTGCGCAAAATGCCCGCCCATTGCCGGTGATGACCAGCACTCTCGCCGTGCTGGAACGCACCGTATCTTCCAGATCCGCATAAAGCTGATAGGTTAACGAATTCATCGCTTCCGGCCGATTCAGCGTGATCACCCCTATGTGGTTGTCGACCTCGTATAACAACGCATTGTCTTCACTCATACCGCTCTCCCAATAATGACGATCAGAGTTTGCAACGCATCGCCGCAACGCACAAGTTGCAGCCGCTCATAGGGGTTGCTAACTTGGCATCTCTGCAAGGAAGGTGTGCTATGCAAAGACAAGCGCCGGTTGATTACATTCAGCGAACCAAAGAACAGTACGATGGACTGGGTTATCCAAGCTATCACTGGGTCTATAACCCTGACTCTCCCCCGATGACGGCCCTGAAAAAGCCTCTATCAGAGTGCAAACTTGCGCTGATCGCCTCAGGCGGGATTTACGCCAGGGGCCAGATCGCCTTTCATTTCAAAGATGACCTGAGTTATCGACAGGTCGATATAGAAACACCCACAAGCTCTTTGCGTGCTACACATTTTGCCTACGATCTGACAGATGCACGCGCTGATCCGAATGTAGTCTTTCCTTTAGATACACTTAAAAAGTGTGTTAGCGAGGGGATTATCGGTGAGCTCAGCAATCCGGCTTACACCTTCATGGGGGGTATTTATTCATCCCGAAAAGTACGCGATATCCTTGCGCCTGCGCTGGCCGATGCGTTACAGAAAGACGAAGTTGATGTCGCTCTCATGGTACCGGTCTGACCTGTATGCCATCAGTCCGTTGGACTGATCGCCAGAGAACTTGAATCCCGCGGTATAGCGACGGTTTCGATGTCCAGTGCCCGCTCGATAACCGCTGCTGTCAATCCACCTCGCGCAGCTTACCTGGACTTTCCGCTGGGACACACCGCAGGCAAGCGTCTTGATTCGAACAATCAAATGGCCATCATGCGCGATACGCTTGCCATTTTTGAACAGGATTTGGAACCAGGGACAATTGTCGATCTTGAATATCGATGGCAGGAGGATGATGAGTGGAAAGACAGCGTCATGCGGCCGCAACAAAACCCTCAGGGGCAGGACAACGGTCACAACGATAACCGTACCGAACGCTTCGACACGCCCCAGTACCAGAATGATGGAGATATTGCAGCAGCAGATCCAGCTTGTCCCAGCTGTGTGTTTCTGAAGGAAGCATAAGCCAGGCCCGGAAACGGGCCTGGCATCAGGCTTTGCGTCTGATCAGCCGCCGAAATCGTCGAGGCGAATATTCTCCGGCTCTACACCCAGTTCTTCCAACATCTGTAGAACTGCTGCTGTCATCGGCGGTGGTCCGCACAGATAGTATTCACAGTCTTCTGGAGCCGGGTGGTCTTTCAGATAGTTTTCCAGCACCACCTGATGGATAAAACCGACATGGCCATCGAAGTCGTCTTCCGGAAGCGGGTCAGAAAGCGCGACATGCCATTCAAAGTTATCGTGTTCCGCAGCCAGCTTGTCTATCTCTTCGGTATAAAACATCTCTCTGAGTGATCGAGCACCATACCAGTAGCTCATCTTGGTGGTACTGTGTTTGCGCAGCAGTTCGTCGAAAATTTGCGACCGTAACGGCGCCATACCTGCGCCGCCACCAATCCAGATTTTTTCTGCAGGGGTATCCTGCACAAAAAACTCTCCATAAGGACCAAACACCGTAAGGTGATCGCCAGGCTTCAGGTTGAACACATAAGACGACATTTTACCCGCTGGTACATCCATTCCAGGTGGCGGGCTTGCCACACGAATATTGAACTTGAGAATGCCTTTTTCTTCGGGGTAATTGGCCATGGAGTAGGCGCGAATGGTTTCTTCGTCAACTTTGCTGTAGTTGTCCCAGACTTTGAAACGATCCCAATCGCCGTGATATTCCTCGTCCACGTCGATTTCAGAGTACTTCATCTCGTAAGGTGGGATTTCGAGCTGCACGTAACCTCCGGCCTGGAAGTCCACATCGGCGCCTTCGGGCAGTTTCAGATTCAGCTCTTTGATAAATGTCGCAACGTTATCGTTAGAGATAACCTCACAATCCCAGCGCTGCACACCGATGGCGTCTTCCGGGACCTCAATCTTCAAGTCCTGTTTGACAGCCACCTGACAGCTGAGGCGCCAGTGCTCACGTATTTCACCACGGGAAAAATGACCTTCTTCGGTCGACAGTATGCTGCCGCCGCCTTCAATGACCCGGCACCGACATTGTGCGCAGGTGCCACCGCCGCCGCAGGCGCTGGCCAGAAATATGCCTTTGTTTGCAAGCGTGTTGAGTAATTTGCCCCCAGCAGGTACCTGTATTGCTTTAGAGGGATCGTCGTTTATCAGAATCGTTACATCACCGGTACTGACCAGGCGGGAACGAGCAAAAAGGATCACCCCCACCAGAAAGAGAACGGTGACGGTAAACATGACAACGCCGAGAAGAACTGTGGTATCCAACATAATTATTGTCCTTTAACTGCCAACGGACGACTAAATGTCTATGCCGCCGAACGACATGAAACACAGGCTTAACAAGCCAACGGAAATAAACGTAATTCCCAACCCTCTCAAACCATCTGGCACATCGCTGTATTTCAGTTTTTCACGAACGCCTGCCAGCGCGGTAATCGCCAGCGCCCAACCGACACCAGCACCCAACCCGAACACAACGCTTTCGGCGAAGGTTTGATCCTGCTCAACCATAATCAGCGATGCACCCAGAATAGCGCAATTCACTGTAATCAGCGGTAGAAAAACTCCCAGCGCGTTGTAAAGCGCAGGCACGTACCGATCCAGCACCATTTCCAGAATCTGCACCATTGCAGCAATAACGCCGATATATGACAGGAAACCCAGGAAGCTGAGATCAACCTCCGGAAAGCCTGCCCAGGCCAGAGCACCTTCACGCAGAAGTAAATTGAAGATCAGGTTGTTCACGGGCACAGTGATCGCCAGAACCACAACCACCGCTATGCCGAGACCAATTGCAGTAGACACCTTCTTGGAGATCGCGATAAAGGTACACATGCCAAGGAAGAACGTGAGCGCCATGTTTTCGATGAAAACAGCGCGAACAAAAATACTCAGGAAATGTTCCATGCTTAGATCGCCTCCTGATACTGCTCGTTAGGTGCTATTTCGTATTCAGCTTCTTCTACCTGCTCTGGTTTCCAGGCTCTAATCGCCCAGATAAACAGACCGATGATGAAAAATGCGCTGGGTGATAAAAGCAGCATGCCGTTGGTGTAATACCAGCCGCCATTGCTTATGGTTGGCATAATTTCGTAACCTAGAAATGTACCTGAGCCCAGCGGTTCGCGTATCAGAGCAACACCGATAAGAATCACGCTATATCCCAGCGCGTTGCCAAATCCATCTAACGCGGAGAGATAGGGGCCATTCTGCATGGCAAATGCCTCTGCCCGCCCCATCACGATACAGTTAGTAATAATCAGCCCGACAAAGACCGATAGACTCTTGGATATGTCGTAGGCCACAGCCTGTAACACCTGGTCTACAACAATAACCAGCGACGCAATGATGGTCATCTGCACAATGATCCGGATACTTGTGGGCACGCGGTTACGCACCAGCGATACAGCAACATTTGACATCGTGGTGACAAAGATCACCGCAGCACACATCACCAGGGTTTGCGACATACTGATAGTCACTGCAAGCGCTGAACAGATACCCAGGACCTGTAAGGCGATCGGGTTGTTGTTGAAGATCGGGTCTACAAGAACTTCTTTTTGAGTCGACATCGTTTTCTATATTCCTTTGAGTATCAGGCGCTTGCTTTTAGACGTTTGAGATAAGGGCCAAAACCCAACTCGCCCGTCCAGAAGTTGACCAGATTTTCAACACCACGCGTCGTGAACGTCGCGCCTGACAGTGCGTCTATTTCATAATTTGCCGCTGTTGATCCGGCAGGTGAACGTCTTTTCACCAGGCGCACATCTGGCTCGCCTTGATCATTGTACAATTGCGTTCCGGGCCAGCTTGCCTTCCAGTTGGAATTGTCGACTTCGCCACCCAATCCAGGCGTTTCTTTGTGCGAATAAAACCCCAGACCGGATATGGTTTGCAGGTCAGAGTCCAGTGCCAGGTAACCAAACAAGGTGCCCCACAGCCCATACCCGCGAACAGGAATAACTACTTTATCAATCTCGCCTTCGTTCAGTTTGATGTAGACAATGGATGCATTTTCCCGCCGACGTAATGTTGCAGGGTCTTCTGAATCGCTCAGCGGCCGACTCATATCAGGATCTTTTGCAGCGCGAATCGGATCAAAGCTGGTGGGATCAAGATCACTGCGATATTCACCGGTATCCAGGTCCACAACGCGCACATCAAATTCAGCAAACAACTCATCAACGTCGCGCCCCTGGGCGTCAACGTTGCTGTCCTGGGCCAGTAATCCCGCGGCACGCAGAATATTCTGTTTCTGGTCGAGCAATTTGTTCGCCTGCTGGGTCGGTTTCAGTGCTACGGCTATGCCGGAAACCACAATCGAGCACACCAGGCAGATGCCGATGGCGACGATAAAAGTATTGCTGAGACTGTCTTTGTCGAAACTAGACACGCGCTAACCTCCGCTTGATATTTGATTGCACCACGACATTGTCGATTAACGGTGCGAATAAGTTGCCAAACAAAATGGCCAGCATCATGCCCTCAGGGAAAGCCGGGTTCGCCACGCGGATGAGCGCACACATAAAGCCAATGAGGATGCCGTAAATCAGTCGACCGCGATTGGTATGGGCCGCCGAAACCGGGTCCGTGGCCATAAAAACTGCGCCAAACGCAAAACCACCCAGCACCAGGTGCCAGAGGGGATTCATTGCAAACATCGGATTGCTTGAGTCCATCAGGTTAAATAACCCAACGGTACCGACAAGACCAATAACGCAACCCAGCATGACGCGCCAGGAAGCAATGCGGGTTGCCAGCAGAATCGCTGCGGCAATGCCAATGGCCAGGATTGACTCTCCACCGATGGTACCCGGCATGTAGCCCAGAAACGCGGACGTCATATCAACCCCGTAATCCAGGCCTAATGCTGCGTTACCCAGAGGTGTTGCCTGGGTTACCCCATCTACCGCCACCCAGACGGTGTCGCCGGACATCGCCGCCGGATAGGCAAAATAGAGGAAAGCCCGACCGGTGAGCGCCGGGTTGAGGAAATTCTTACCCGTCCCACCAAAGACTTCTTTACCGATGACCACACCAAAAACAATACCGATCACCGCCATCCAGAGAGGAATGCCGGCGGGCAAAGTCAGCGTGTAAAGGATAGAGGTCACAAAATAGCCTTCATTGACCTCATGCCCACGTACTGAGGCAAACCAGATTTCGAAGATGATGCCAGCGGCAAAAACCACCATGTATAAAGGAATGAAATAACCCAACCCATGAATCAGGCAATCGATCATGCTGTTTGGATCAAAACTCAGCAGAGGGTTCAGAAATGCGCCCCGCCACCCTTCAATAGCGGTTAAGCCGGCGGCCTGCATCGCTTCGTTAGCCTGCAAACCTACAAAGTAACTGCCGACAATCGCAGGAATCCAGGCGCACAACCAGACCGTCATCATGATGCGTTTCAGGTCCAGTCCATCCCGAACATGAGAGGCGCCGCGGGTCGTATGACCGGGTGTATATAATGCAGTATCAATGGCCTCGTAAGCAGGATAAAGGGCGTGAAATTTGCCCCCTTTCTCAAAGTGCGGCGCAACACCATCCATGATGCTTCTTAAACTCATGGCTTAACCCTCTTTCTCTATTTGTGTCAGCACTTGTCGCAGCACTGGCCCATATTCGTATTTACCCGGACAGGCGTAGGTGAACAACGCCACATCGTCTTCGTCCAACTCCAGGCAACCCAGATTAATTGCTGTCTCGATATCACCGACCAGCAAGCTGCGCAGCAACTGAGTTGCCAGAATATCCATCGGCATGATGGCGTCATAGGTACCAATGGGCACCATGGCCCGGGTGCTGCCGTTGGTGGTCGTGGAGAATTCTACGTCGCGCTCGCCCAACCACTTAGACAGAAACGCCGGGTAGACCGAGTGCCGCCGTGTGCCGGGCGCGAGGTAGCCAAAAAGCTTGCGCTCTTTGTTTTCCGGCAACACAGATACCTGCAGGTGATAGCGACCCAGAAAAGCCTCCGCACCTTGAGCCGTACGTCCAGACAACACCGACCCGGAGATTACCCGTTGATTTCCATCAACCAGTTCGCCAGCACTCAGTTCCTCGAGATCAGCACCGACAAGGGTTTTCACCAGTCGCGGCTGAGACGCTCCGGGGCCGCCCAGGGCAATCACACGTTCGCTCATGATCTCACCGGTTAAAAACAGATGGCCAATAGCGATGACATCCTGATAGTTAAGATACCAGACAGTTTTGTTCACACTGACAGGATCAATGAAGTGAATATGTGTGCCAGCCAGGCCGCTGGGATGGGGGCCGCTGAACTCGTGATTGGTTATCTGGGCTGAATTACCAGTCGGCAGGAATTTACCCTGCTCGTGACAGACATGCACAGGGCCGTCAGTCAGACGCGCTATTGCATCCAGGCCTGCAGCAAACTGGTTAGCATAATCGGCGATGATGACTGACGCATCTGCCGCCAGCGGATTAGAGTCCATTGCTGTGACAAAAATAGATTTCGGCGTGGTGGATGGATCCGGCACTTTGGCAAACGGCCGTGTGCGCAGACTTGTCCACAGACCACTATCAACAAGTTGCTTATTCACTTCTTCACGGGGCATGGCAGCAATCTGCTCTGCACTGTGAGCACCAAAATTTATGCTCTCACCGTTAGGATCCAGTTCAATAACAACCGACAACAGAACCCGCTTGGCACCGCGATTAACCGCGGTTACCTTTCCTGCTGCCGGCGCGGTGTAATTGACACCCTGGGTTTTTTTGCAGCTGAACAGGAGTGCACCCTTGGCGACAACATCCCCTTCCGCCACTGCCATCGTCGGCTTCATGCCTGGATAGTCATCGCCGAGGATTGCCACGCGACGTACAGTGCGGGCCTCACCAATAGTCTGCTCAGGTTTACCCGAGATGGGTAAATCTAAACCCTTTTTAATTTTTATCATGCGTACTCAGTTAAATTGGGGCCGACGTTTGCCCAGGGCCAACGTACGGACGAAAAGACCTGCCTGCATAGACCCGAGCAACGGGCGTCCTGATATGTAAACAAGTCTAGTTGCAATTTCGAAAGATCCTGCGAATCTCAATGGCTATAGCTCAATGACGTCAAACACCGTTAAAAAATATGCTCGGTGGGCCAAAATGCGACAGTTTGCGTCTGAGCGGATACTGATAGAACAGATCCTGGCGCGAGGCCGCGCAAATTATAAAGAGATGGCCTTTAGAAGCCAATCGTTTGAGGCGAGTAATCGAGGGAATTTGGCGCTAAGAGGCCTTAAAAAGAATATGTGCTGAATTATCTATGGCAGAGCCGCTCAAACAGCCCCACTTTTCAAATTGTCCCCGCCGCCCTTCCTAGTAGTAGAAAGAGACGAAGAAGCGTGTAACAACAGAATCGAACCCGTAAAAAGGTTCCGTTCCTGGCGCCAGACCTGTGCGAGTGACGTCACGAAAGTCTTCGTACTGAAAATCGATGTAGTCCATAAACAGATTTACCGACCCACGTTTGAACCCTGGCAACCAGTCAGCATTGAACTCGTAAGTGATGCCGCCACCAATTGTCTGAGTCTGGAATGCAGCAAGTTCTTTGTCTCGCGCCATGAAATTCTGCGCATTCGAGCGCGGAAACAGATCACTGTAAAAATCTGCTGCCGTCTGTTGATAGTGTCGATACTTCAACTCGAGCGTGAGGCCATAACGTTCGATCGGGTGCACATAACCCAACTCAACGTTGTAGGCGTCAATGCCCCAGGTATCGCTATAGTTGCGGAACTCAAATTTAAGCGCTGCCCGATACGGGAGGAAGTACATGGCGCGTATCGCCTGCGCGCTACTCGTACGGGTGCGTGGATAAACTTCCAGTTCATAACCATAACCACGCGCTTCGTTAGGATCCAGATAACGTACCTGTCGATAGGGGTTGTTAAGGAAACCCTCATCGGTGACCCCTTCGTAGTTCATGCTGATCAGCATGTTTTTGGTAATCACCTGGGTAAGGTCGACACGATAGGTCTGTCGATCGGTCTCCTCTTCAAAATTCAGATCACCGTTGCGACGTACCGTGTCAGCACCTCGTGCGTAGCTCACACCTAACGTGGTCAGGTCGCCAAAAAAGTCCTGGCTGATACCAAAACGCCAGCTGTGAGCAGAATAGTCAGACTCTTCGGAATTGGTGTACGACAGACCCATAAAGGTTTTGCCGTGCAGATAATCCAGCCCGAGACTTTTTTCTTTACGTTCTTCGGTGTATTCACTGGCCGTTGAGACGACGTCTATCGAAGCGCTGGTGATCATATCAACGTAATAATTTGCCCAGACGGAGACTTTGTCTTTGTAACCTTTGCGCACCAGCACCGATGGGCCATCAACCTGGAGACCGCCACCTTCATAACCGTGGTACATGATGTCTGAACGATCTTCAGGCAGCACCGCAGCGACACTGACGCCAGCGAAAGCGGCAAGCAGAATCATACCCAGCAGAGTCTGCAGCAGCAGTCGAAGAGCAGAGGGTTGCAAAATTTTCAACGGCGTATTCCTTTAGCCTGTCTTTCTTAAGGCGTGAGCGCCTATGAGGATGTTAGTTACAGCCACAGCCGCCACCAGAGCCACCTTCGGCCCCACGCGCACCTTCGCGAGCCTGATAAACGTGGTGCAGATATGCAGCAGCCACCGGATCGCGACTGAAGCTCATTATCGGGTCTGCCAGATTATTGCGCTCAAAAGGGCTCACCCAAGGTTTAACTTCAAATGAGCTGCAACCACCGGAAGCAAGACTGGCCAGCAGACCAAAAGCCAGCAGCAGTTTCTTGCCAGCAGAAATTTTTGTCGTGAATAAAGTCATTCCCAGCTCCTAGAAGAAGAACGTCAGGCCGCCGCTGAATTCAATGTTGTGCTTGTTTTCCATGGTGCCCAACAGATCTGACTCGAAAAAGTGATCGCGCACATCAACATGGAAAGCCAGCCAGTCAGTTGCGATCAGGCGGTATCCGACCCCCGCATTGATGGTGAAACGATCGTCTCCGCCAAATTCGGTGCTGCCGGCGCCAGCTATAACGTAGAGACTGCCTTTAAAAGCCCATCTGCGACCGACAAACGCCTCACCTGGAAAAATGTTCCAGCCCAGAGAAACGTTGTAATACTGCATATCGCGCTCATCATCTGACAAGAGCGGTGCGCCACCGCTGAGCAACTCAAAACTGGTTTGTCCGAGCGTGGTTTTTCCGTATACAGCTTCGACGAAAAAGTCTTCAGTCACGTGATATGCGGCGCGGATACCGGTCACCGTATCAGAGCCAAAGTCTTCAACATTCATCACGCCGCTGAATACGCCGATCTCAAAATCTTCACTGTCGAGGTCGTCGACCTCAACTTCGCGACGTTCCGGTTCACGCACCAGCAGCGGCTCGAGTTCAAGCTCACCCGGATCTGCCGCGTAGGCTGATAAACCGGACATACTGAACACAACCCCTAACAAAAATGCTTTCAGGGCGAGCCGGCCACTGGCCAGACGACTGTATGTTGGCATTAGAAAAATATGCTGAAACCTGCTTTCCATTGATCTATCTCTTCGTTGTCATCCCGACTTGTCAGCACCGTGTGGCGCTTGTATTCCATTCGCAGCATGAAGCGATCGCTGAGGTACAGGTTTGCCCCGACCCCTGCATGGACTATTTCATCTTCGCGATCTTCAGCAGCCACAATTGTGGTTTGCGGCTGCGTTTTAATTATGCCCGTGCCAATAGTGAAATAAGGTGACAGACGCCACTTTGGAAACGGGTACATGAGAATATTTGCGGTACCCATCACACCATCGGAAAAATCTCCGAGGATCTGAGTGCCTTCAAGTTGAACAGTTATATTCGGCGTCAGTGCATACCCTAGATAGCCGCTTAAGGAACTGGCACCGTTAAAGTCACCGCCATTAAAACCCATCTCCCAGCGTCGCTTGCTGAAGTCATCCAGTCCCAGCGCGCCAAAATCTATTTGTTCACCGTCAAGGTCCAGGGTGTGTTGCATTTCAGAGATATGCACCCAGCCTTCTTTGTCCCGGGGTGTGCGCACTTTGAACCAATCGGTCCTGCGCTTCAGCATGACCACTTCGTCACCCTGCCCTGCAACATAAAAAATTGGATATCCACGGCCGGGACCGGTTCGCAGTTCCAGGTAGGGATCAGAGACCAGCACCTTCGGCTGATATTTCTCAAACACCGTCCAAGCGTTTACCTGAAAAGCGGCAAGCAGGAAGCCGAGAGTAAGAAACCCTCGGCACAGGCGTCGCGTTATGTCTACGCTACTTATCTTCACAGCCGAAAATCCTTGTGCGGCACTCGACAATGCTATTGAGGCACATCGAACGGGTTGTTGTAGTACTGGCCACCAATGTCTATCCACTCTGACAGCAGTTTCAGTTCAGCATCCGTCAAGCGACCGGCATGCGTGCCACCAGCAGCGAACCTGCTGAAAAATCGCGGACTTAACAAAGCACCAGCAACGTTCAGTGAAGGTACCTGATTAACCGACTCCAGGATGGGAATCGGATCACCATTTATATCGAGAACCAGATTTCCATCTTCGTCAGTTTCAAACAGCAGGTTGCCGTTCCCATCTGTTGCCTGAACCAGAATGTCCTGTAACGCGCCGTCAACTAGTTCCTGCTGATTGTCGTTAAACAGCAGTTCCCTGTAGCTCTTCAGCTGATCCGCCTCATCCACACTGGGTCCATCTCCTAAATCGAGTTGGGCAGCCGGTACCATCGGCATAGCGGCTGCATCCACATCAGCATGGCAAGACGTGCAGGTGTCGTCGGAAAGAACCGTGATGCCATCCACATCGAGAATCTGTCGATCGACAGACCAGATTGGATGTACGTGATCAATATAGTTGATGGTTATTCGACAACCCGCGTTCCAGTTGCTGACACAACCTGGGTCAACTGGCGGCGTGGTCGACAGATCTGCGTAGTTGTAAGAAAAAGACAGGTCTTTCGCGCGCACACTGGGGTCTGTCCACAGATCGTCGTAGCGCAGATCAACATTCGGGCTGGGTATACCGTTGATACGGGTAATGACCTCCGCCATGGTTTCGCCAGTGTTGGCAAACAGTGCAGGTTCCGTGTTTGGAAACGGCGAGCCATCGACGGCTGCACCCAAGTTGGCACTTGGTGCTTCCGCATCACGCCGACCGTGGGGCAACTCAGAAGTGGGCGTGTGACAGCCATTACAGGTCATCTCCTCACCGGGTCGAACCTGCATCCAGTTGTTGTGACGCGGTGAAACGCGTCGACCCTGGGCATCCAAGACGTCTACCCAGAAGGCAATATTGGCGGGCACTTTGACCTTTACAGAACCATCAGGCTCGATCGGCGCATAACCGATAATCTCCCGCATGAGTTGAGCCTGGGAGCGGCCGAATGCGGCGTTATCGATATCGAGAATATCGTCGTCTGGAAAGGAAACCGATTTCACAATCCGTAAGAATCGGGCTGGTCGTTCTGCCGCCGTTGCCTGACCCGGATCTGCAAGGCTTGCGATATCCAAACTTGGCGTCCCGTCAAAATCGTAAACGCTGCGAATATGCAGCACGCCTACCGCTTCACTGACCAGGTCAGGATCAAGGTCTATGCCTGCAGTTTTGTCCAGAATAACCGGCGGACTGATACGCGACTCCATGACCACAACATCTGAGATGGCAAAACCCTCTTCCCCCAACACAATGGGTTGTTGCGTGTTCTCAAGGGGATCATTCATCCAAACGCCATACAGTGGGTCGGCTTCAACCATGTTCACGTTCGCCAGATTTTCTTCCGTACATGGAACGATGACCGGGTTTTGCGGATCACTGGTGGTATCAAGCAGACGACATTGGCTCCAGGCCGTAATCAAGCGTTCTGTGCCGTCATTCAGCGGCGAAATGTGGGCATACCGTCCCTGCAGAGCGGGTTCAGATTCATCAAGGCTGAGATCGCCGGGAATAAGTATTTCCTGCGCATCGGTGAGCAATCCGGCGCTGGCGAAAGTGGGTTGATCGTGTTCCACGTAGTTGTTTACGTCGATCGCTACAGGTAGCGCGCCTAATCGACTTTGCTGGCCAGGCGGGCGCATCATAACCAGCAAACGACCGTCAGGCAGTTCAGTGGGTTCTACAAATTCAATGTTCTGACCGTCAGGGCCAGTATCGTGACTATGGACGCCATAAAGCAGCTCCATATCAGTGCCATCGGGATTGGCACGATAGAGGCTAATGCGATCGCGACCTGCAACATTATCCCAGCGCGAGTAGACGACACGTCCATCGCTCATTATGGTCGGATCAAGGTCAGAACTTGCGTTATAGGTAATCTGTTGGATTTCAGTGCCGTCAGGGTTCATGACATGCAAAGTCAACGCCTCTTCATCACGATCCTCATCAAATGCTGAGAATTGAGGCTTGCCTTCATCCAGCAGAATTGCTTTGGATTGACGCTGGCGGGTTGAGGCGAAAACGAGACGCCCGTCGGGCATGAACTGAGGCGCTATGTCATGGCCATCTTCTGCGACAATATCTGAAACGATAGCGCGGTTCAAAGTGCCCTCTTCCCGATTCAGCACCCATATATTCCAGGTTGGCTGTTCATCCTCATCCAGATCGGGATCTTCTGGAGCACGCATCGCAAATGCCAGTTGATTACCATCAAAAGAAACTGTCAGGTCTTTGACGTCATACAACGGTGGATTACCGTCTTCATCATCAGGAAAAATCCCAGCGGTTAAAGAAACTTCCTCTGCGCTGGGCGATGCCCGGTCTCGGATCAGGATCTCTGCACCGGGAAAAAAATCTGTGCGCCTGCGCACTTGTGTAGTTAGCAGATTGCCGTCGTCATCGGTCAAGAGCGGCCTTTTTATATAGGCAACTGGAAAGTCGACAACAACAGGATCTGGTGATTGACCACCACCCAAGCCAGAGCTGGAGCTGCCTGAGCCACTACCGCTGCCGCAACCCGTCAGTACAAAAATGAGGAGAGTGCTCACCCACGTACCTGACGTGGATATCGCAAAATAGTGTCTCATGTGCGCTCTGACTCCTGGAATTAATGCACTGCAAGTGCCGAGCTCTTGCCCTACAGCTGACTAACAGCCCTATCGATTTACATTTTTTCACAAGGTCAGCGCGGCAGATGTGCACTGGTTCACAGCTGCCCGATATCAGGAACAAAACCGAGCCGGCACGTCGGCCGACAGGATCGCCTGGTGAACAATCAGGTGAAATTTCGACAGTCTCCAGAAACGAGACTCAGTGCGCTTTTTTCTCGCGCTGAAACGCTGATTCTTAGCGCTTCGTGAACCCTGAGGGATTTAGGGGTTAATGGCTGCCTGAATTTCGACCCAAGAATTCGCATTAGGCACAAACGTGAGGAGCATTTCATGAGGTTTTTAACCCCCCGGTTCTTAACCACCATATATAGGCGAGGACCAGCAGCAACTGTTGCTGTCATGATTTTCAGCTTTGCCGCGTTGTTGCCTTTGTCAGCCTGGGCTGACTCAGTTGATCAGGCCAAGCGCATACACGACCGAATTGCTGGTGTACCGCCTGATGCGGCCACATTGGCTTCGATGCGTGACGACATTGACGGTGTCAACTCCAGATCCGCACTTGATGCGGCATTGACCGCGACCGAAGATCCTGAGTTCTACAGGGTTACACTTAAAAATTTTGCCGCGCCATGGACCAATCGAGATCGCAGCGTATTTGTGCCGTTAGACGATTACATCGCCACAGTCATCGGTATGGTTCGTGACGACGTTGATTTTCGCCAGGTGCTTTCTGGCGACATTCTTTATACAGGCAGCGGCAACGGTATACCTGCTTATTCCAATAGTTCTAATGCCCACTACGAGGCTTTAGAAAATGCAGGTACAGACTTGCAAGCTAACCTTTTAGCCCGCACGCAATCTGCAGTTACCGGACTGCCCTCCTCAGCAACAGCCGGAGTGATCACCACGCGCTCCGCAGCCAAAGCGTTCTTCATTGATGGTACCAACAGAGCCATGTTCCGCTTCACGATGCTGAACCACCTTTGCCTGGATATGGAACAGTTACACGATGTTTCCCGCGTACCTGATCGCATCCGACAAGACGTTTCACGCAGCCCCGGCGGAGACAGCCGAGTATTCCTGAACAACTGTATAGGTTGCCACGCCGGGATGGACCCTCTTACCCAGGCACTCGCCTACTATGATTACGAATACGATGTTGTCAACGACCCGGATGGCAACAGCGGCCAGATTAACTACAACGACGCTGGCGAAATTGATCCGGTTACCGGCACGCGTGTTGAAGAAAAGTATTTCAACAATAATCTTAATTTCGAGCACGGTTACATCACACCCGATGACAGCTGGGACAACTACTGGCGCGAAGGCCAGAACAAGCTGCTGGGTTGGAACGAGAGTCTGCCGGGCAGCGGCGCCGGCGCTAAGAGCTTTGGCGAGGAGCTGTCCAACTCCCAGGCATTCGCTCAATGCCAGGTCAAAAAAGTCTTTGAGAACGTCTGCTTAAGACCTCCTCAAGACAGCGCAGATCATAATCAGATAGACGCGATGACCACATCTTTTCAAAACAACGGGTATAACCTGCGCCGTACATTTGCTGAATCAGCCGTGTACTGCATGGGTAGCTAAGGGGATATTGCAATGAACAGATTATCTGTGGCTTTTGAAACATCCCTGGCGACATACAAACCCTTTGGTCTGTATAAATCTCTGGGATTACTTGTGATCACGCTATTTCTGCACGCCTGCGGTAGTGGCAGCGGCGCGTCAACATCTGAAAATCCAGTGACGGCAGCACCCGACGTAAGCAATTATTCTGGTCCTGCACCAGCGACAGCGGATGTGCAGGCTTTCAAATTAAACGTCTGGGACAACCTGGTAGCAAACAACCGTTGTGGCTCTTGTCATACTGACGATCAGACGCCGCGGTTTGTCCGAGCAGACGATATCAATCTCGCCTATTCGGAAGTAAACACCGTTGTTGACCTGACCGACCCAGGCAACTCCAGGCTGGTCACCAACGTGCGCGGCGGCCACAACTGCTGGCTCTCCAGTGATGATGCCTGTGGCGACATCATTGAGTCTTACCTGGAGAACTGGGCCGGCGACACGCTGGGCGGCGGCGGCAAGGAAGTCGAGCTCGAAGCACCTCCATTACAAGACCCCGGTGAAAGCAAAAACTTTCCGGTAGACACCGCGTTGTTCGAAACTACAGTCTACCCACTACTGACCACTTATTGCTCTGATTGTCATACCGATACCGCAGCAGTACCGCAGAGTCCTTTCTTTGCCAGCGAAGAAGTAGAAAGTGCTTATAACGCCGCTCAACCTCGAATAGATCTGGAAACACCAGAAAATTCCCGTTTTGTGCTGCGTCTGGCTGATGAATTCCACAACTGTTGGGATAACGATTGCCAGTCCAGTGCAGCGGAAATGGAAGATGCCATTATCGCGTTCTCAGACGCCATCACGCCTACCTTAGTCGATCCAAGTCTTGTGACCTCTAAAGCCTTAACGTTAACAGACGGTATTGTTGCATCGTCTGGTGGCCGCTACGAGGCGAATGTAATTGCACTCTACGAGTTCAAGACCGGTACCGGCAATACGGTATTTGATACCTCAGGTATTGAACCATCCCTGAACCTCACCCTCAGCGGAGATTACAGCTGGGTTGGCGGTTGGGGTGTGCAGTTCACTGCAGGTAAAGCTCAGGGTTCAACCACAGCCAGCGCCAAGCTGCGTGATCTGATAACCGCAACCGGTGAATACAGTATCGAGGCCTGGGTCGCACCTGCAAATGTAGTTCAGGATGGCCCTGCCCGCATTGTGACTTACTCCGGCGGTTCAACTTCGCGCAACCTGATGTTAGGACAGACCCTTTACAACTACGACGCTTACATCCGTACCGATCAGACCGATCCAAATGGTGAGCCGGCGCTGTCAACTGCAAACGATGACGAAGACCTGCAGGCAACCCTGCAACACGTTGTTGTCACCTACGATCCTGTGAACGGCCGTCGAATCTATGTCAACGGCGTATTCACAGACGATGTTGATCCGGTGCCCGGCGGGCTGTTGAACGACTGGGACGACACTTTTGCTTTTGCACTTGCCAGTGAAGTCGACAACGACAGCCGCTGGGCAGGTACAATACGTCTGTTGGCTATGCACAATCGTGCCATGACGCCTGAACAGATTTTGCAGAACTTTGAAGTGGGTGTCGGTGAAAAGTACTTCCTGCTCTTCAACGTCAGCGACCACATTGATGTTATGGATGCTTATGTTGTGTTCGAAGTCAGCCAGTTCGACTCCTATGCTTACCTCTTCGATGAGCCGTTTTTCATCATATTAGACGGTGAAGCAACACCTGGATCGATCCCGATGTCCGGTATCCGTATTGGCCTGAACGGACGGGAACTTCCTGTTGGGCAAGCTTTCGTCGCGGTTGATACCACCATCACAGATGCACTTTACACACCCAATGGCAGCCAGAGCCTGTCAAGCCTGGGCACCATTGTGCCACTGGAGAAAGGTCCAACGCTGGATGAGTTTTTCCTGACATTCGAAGTCCTGGGCGAGGAAACCAATGTCTATGTCGAAGCTGATCCCGCGCCGGCACCGCCTCCTGCCGTGTTGCCTCGTGACCCGGACGTAGGCATCAGAGATTTTGCTGAGATTAACGCAACCATGTCTAAGTTAACCGGTATTCCGGTGGCGAACAGCGAAGTGGCGGCAACTTACGACCTGGTTCATCAGGCCATGCCTGTAGGCACCGGTGTCAGTGGCTTCATCTCTTCACAGCAAATGGGTATTACACAGCTGGCAATCAAATACTGTGCAGTGTTGGTTGATGATGTGAACGCCCGCTCAAGCTATTTCCCGGGTTTCCCATTTGGTGCATCCCAGAATACCGCTTTCGACGATCGCAGCCTGGTGATAAACCCGCTGGTCGACAACATGGTTGGCAACGGCATCAGCACACAACCCGATCTACCAGCCCTTGAAGGGGAAGTGAACAGCCTGATCGACGGCCTGATCGCCAGCAGCGTCAGCGTCAACAGTGAAAGAACCGAAAGCATCGTTAAAGCGGCTTGCGCGTCTGTGTTAGGCAGCGCGGCAATGCTGGTCCAGTAGTTACATAAAGAGAGTTAAAACAATGCGTAGAAAAAGACAACGTAAATATGATGACCCTTTGTGTCACGCAGATCACCGTCGCCCGCGGACACGTCGAGAATTCCTGTCCCAGGGATTCATTATGGGAACGGGCGCTGTATTGGGCTCCTGTGCGGTTACGCTCAGCAACAATGTTCAGGCGCAGCTGGCACCAGACCTGCTGCCGCTGATCGCAGACTGTGGCATTGCCACACAAGGCGCTGGGAAAATCCCCTTTATCGCCTTTGACCTGGCAGGTGGTTCAAACCAGGCGGGTTCAAACGTGCTGGTTGGACGCCAGGGTGGACAACTCGACTTCCTCAGTACCGCCGGCTATGAGCGACAGGGTTTGCCTGGCGACATGATACCGCCAATTTTGAACCCGGATACACAGACCAACGATTTCATCGATACAACCCTTGGCCTTGCCTTCCACTCCGATAGTGCATTTCTGCGCGGCATGATGA